GCGCCTGCCGCGCCATCGTCGCGCATCGTCGGAAAGCGCGCTATCGGGGTCGAACGATCGAGATGCACGGGGATCGGTAGCCGGCGAGTCGGCGAGCGATCGTTTCTCCTCTATCGGAACAACGTTTCGCGTTCGACGCGTCGGTGCCGCGACTCCGCCGCGCGCCGCCGCGAGCGTATCGAACTTTACCGCCGTCGAAAACTATTTCAGGCGTCGGTCGACGTTGGCGGCGCGGCGCGGCGCGGACGAATTTGCGATTTCCGTGTTTCTCCTCGGGACGATCCGTGCGCGCCGCGTACCTGCTCGTTCGAAGAAACTCGATCGGCTCCCGTGGATCCTCCGCCCGATCCGTTTAAACCGTTTAAACCGTTTAAACCGTTGCCAGCTTCGGTCGATCCGGAGATTCCGAAGCCAGCGTCGCGTAAAGAGGACGCATCGGCCCGTTTCGACGCCGAACAACGCGCAAAGGACGAGAAGCGCTCCTCGCGACGCAAAGAAAGCCATCGAACCGTGCTACCGGGAACCGACCGAAAAGCGACCGACGATCGCGAGCTTGCCCACGACCGAGGGACGAGACGAACGCCTTCTTGCGCGCGAAACAGTGGTTCGAGTTCGTCGGTAACGCCGCGATGCGGCGATCGTCGAGGAAAGCCCCGCGATAGCGAGGTGGTCCGCGGCCGATTCGCGGTTCCCGTTCGGTTCTATACCCGCGACGGTCGCTTCTCCCAGCCACGTTCGACCTTGGATGTCTACGGCGGTCGCGCTTCCCGGGTCGGCGTTTAACGTTGCGCGCGCGCGTACGTATTCGGATCGGTGGAATCGCGGCAGCGAGATCGTCTCGGGTATCACCGATAACGAACAAGATCCGTCGGCGGATCGAAAGAGAGAGGAGAGAGAGAGAGAGAGAGAGAGAGAGATCGCACCGCGGGGTCACTCGGTAAAGTAAAGCCGTGGAACGACGAAAGACCGAGACTAGAATTTCTAAAAACGCGAGCGCGCGATTACCCCGCGTGCCCCGGTAAATATCGTTCGTTCGATCGACGCGTCGTAAAATTCTAATTCGGTATCGAGAACGGGAGGAGGGAACGAGGATCGAAACGATCGTAAAAGATACGTCCCCGCGAATTTACGATCCGCCGCTTATCTCCCGTTGGCGCACGGTTGGCCGAGTTACCGCGAACAAATCGGAGACATCGACGCCGGAACAGGCGGTGTCGCGTCGATCGCGTTCCGTTTCGGAACGGACAACGACGCCGCCGACGACCTCGACGCTTTTCGCGGACAATTTCGCGGAAACTCGTTTCCTCGATCGTCCGATTCGAACGAATTTCGCGGCGCGAACGCCTTCGTAGCGTTCGTAACGAATCGTAAATTCTCGTCGATTCGCGCACCGTTCGACGTTCTATGGAACGTTTCGTCGTTGCCGGGCGATCGCGCGCGATTCGCGGATCTCGGAGACGACGAACGATCGAAGTCGAAAGTTTCGTCGAGAGCGAAGGGACCGAGAAGTCCGGGACGCGCCGGACGCGGGGGACACCGGACACGGCGAGACTCCGTTCGACGAGGCCACGAGCGCGGGGAAAGTCGGCGCGAACTTTATCGCCGGGATTCTAGTAAATTCTGATCGGAGCCCGTCGCGATAACGGGCGACATCGAAATTTAATTAAACGCCTCGATCGACGAATTTACCCTTTTAAGAAGAGATCGTCGTCGGGTCGGACCGTTACGGTCCGCCGTCCTATCCGCCGGGGGAATCGAGTCGCGACCTTTTCTCGGAAGAGAGCGGAGCCCGAGTCGATCGTATCCCCGAAAACCGCCGATGGACGCGGTTCGAACGAAATCGGACACCCGATTCTCGTCGACCGACAAGATCCACCCGTGTTCGCTTCTTCGAAGCGAATTTCTTCCGTCGGCGCTCGCGAGATTACGTCGTACCGCGACGGAGAAGGGAAGGAAAAAGAGGAGCAGAATTTTCCAAAGGAGAAGTCGGCGAAGAGGCGAACGTTTCATTCGACGAGATCGTTCGCGTTGCGACGAGACGCGACGAGACGCGACGCGACGATCCGAGATCCGTCGGTCGGATCCGAAGGAACGTTTCGGAGGACCACCGGCCGTCGGTCGCCGTAAAATAATATTGTCCGACCGAATGCCTGACCGATACGCCACCGCGCGCGCCGGACAAACTGTTTTGAGTAAACCGCCGCCGCGCGGTCTCTTCGTTTATTTACGAGCGCACTGCTTTCGTGACCTCGGCGGACCGACGTGTTATTACAAGGACATTCTTACGCGGCGCGGGAAAGGGAAACGATTCTCTCGCCGACGACTCCGCCCGCTGCGCCGCGCGCCCGACGAACAAATTTTCTCGCAGCGGAGCAATTCCGTCGCTGCGTTTTAAGACGAATCGGTGTACGGCGATCGCGACGGTGCAACGGGATGCGTCGCGCGGCTCGCGCGGCTCGCGCGCCTGGAACAACGTTCGAGTCGGGATCGCGTTTTCCATCGACCGGACCGACACCCGTTGTCGATCGTTCGCGGAAGGTGCGATCGCGAGAGTCCGACCGTGGAATCGCGACGATTCGATCGTTTCTCTTCGCGCCCTGTTTTCCACGACGCGATCGTCCCCGAACACCGGGCCGTGCACCGCCATTGTGCCAGCCGACTCCCCTGAAAGGACTCGCCGGGATCCGGGATCCGGGATCCGGGATCCGGGACAATAAACGCGAAAAGGCGGGTCTCGCTTTCAAAGGCGGCTCGGGAGGAATTACGATTCGCAGCACGCGCGATTTCTATTTCGACTACGCTGCGGCGAGGCGCGGCGCGACCCGACGGTTTGTTTCCTCAGCAAACACGGGCACGATATTGCGTGTGGTCGAAAACATTTTTTCGCCCGCGAAACCACCGACGAATCGACCGAAGAAGGACTCTCCATCCGGCGGTTTCTCGAAACGGCTGCGAGGCGAGAAGATGTCGCGCGTCGCGGTCGCGGTCGCGGTCGAGCGTAACCTACGCGCTTCTTTTCAATTTGTTCCGTAGCCCGCGTGTCCGCATTGTCCCTTGAGACAACGACGTCGAAGTCGACGTCGCGACAAATGTTTCTGCTCGCCGTAGACGCGGTTACCGCGACTCGCACCGTACAAGGGCATCCGTGAAACGTTGCGACGTTCGACGATCGAGCGGTTCCGCGCGCGCTCGTCGCGAAGGAGGAAACGATCGAGCAACGATTTCCCGATACGCGCACAGCCGTACCGGCCGTACGGTGGTCCTCGAGGAAGCCGATCGCGAGCCGATCGTTGTGTTCCAGCGGCAGGAAATTTTCGGGTTCGCGCTCGTCGCGCTTGAAACGAACACGGTCGGCGAGCATCAAAGGGAGGACCGTCGAAACGCCGAAACGATTGGCCGCGGCGCGTTCGTCCAGGCTCGAGAAATCTGCAAGCTCACGCCCTTGAAAATCCTTTCTCGCCGCGTAACTCGAGTGGCCGGTGGCCCCCGTGTATCGCCGCCCCGGTCCTCTCGAGGCTCGGAGACCGAGCAACCTCGTACGCCGCTTCTTTCTGCTGTTGCAACACGTTTCTTCCGTGGCAAACAACGCCCCGCGCGCGGTTTACCTGGTAATTGCTGGAAACACCGGCCGAGTGTTTACAGTGTCATCGAGGTGCGGCCACGCTTTGTCCGGTAGGTACCATCTCCTGGAAGAGTTCGTTTTCCCCTGTCCGTGACCGCGCGTGCTTCGACGCTCTTCCTCGGGGACGTCGAGCCGTTCGAAGCCGCGCGCGAAACAAATATTTCGCTGTCGCGGCGATATCGCGTCGCGGAGATGATATCGCGTCGCGTCGAACGGTCGATGCTTTCCGTTCGATGAAATCTACGCCGCGATACGAGAGACGATCGACGATCGACGATTTATCGACGCGCGAGCTCGAGACGCCATCGTCGCTCCAGCTGGAACAATGAAACGATCGACGAAATTTAGGAACGTCGATGCCCCATATGGTTTCGATCGATCGACGTTGTCAAAGACGAGACGGTTTTATTATTCGATTCCCGTTCCTTGCAGCCGATGCGGACGATTTCATCGATCGCTTCTATAGCAAAGATCGTCGTAATTATAGCCCAACGATCGGAACTCGCGTGCTCGAAACAGATAATGCGACCACGAGATACGGTAATCGAGAGCCCGAAGGAATATTCCGACGTATAAAAGTATTCGAGCGAAAATTTTCGGTATACGTTTCGTGCTGATTCCATTTGTAATTCTATTTGTTGCCGCAAACGTGCGAAGCGGACGATTGCTCGTTAGCTACGAGTGTACGATGTCAAATCCGGCAAAAATCAGTTGCTGTTCGAGCGACGGTGTCGCCTCTCGCGGCGAAATTCGGAAGCTCCGTTTAAGGTCCGTACGGCGTCAATTGGTAAGCGACGAAACGGTGAAACATCTAGCCAAAATGTGCTTCGAAATTTCGCCGCGAGAGGCGCCACCGTTCGGTTTCAGCTTTTCGCCATTTACTCATTGGCGCTGTACAGACCCCGATCGAAGCTTCTAATATCGCCGCAAGAGGCGCGACTGTCGCCAAATGCGGCAGACGTAGGTGATCGAAGTTTATTCCATATATGTAATACGATCGCAGATTTTATCGATCGATTTTTACGATTGAAAATCTTTCGTTGTTTAAATCCGATTGGTATTTTTTATTAAAAAATTAAGATGCGAAATAAAGATAAAATAATAAAGGTAAAACTTTCAAAGTATAAGAAAGAACGTTTTAGCGAAGTATGCAAAAACATCATTTTTTGTGCGTAGAGACGTTGAATGCGAGACGCAGTTTTTTCTCTCAACGTCTAGATTTTAACAAATTAAACGGACTATTTTTTGAAAAACCATACATAAACGCGTTGGACGACGATCTATCGCGTAAAAACGAGCGAGCAACATAGCCACGGAACATTTTCTATCGAATGACACAGGAGGATCGAAACTGTATTTTAGACGCGTAACAACATCCTTTCTTACCAAATTCGTAGGCTTCAAGATTTTTATTTTTCGCTTACTAATACGGTATAACAAAATATCTATTGGTAGTTTACATTGTTCGACGGATATTATTAGTTTTCCATATCATCTTAAACGAGAGAATTAAAAGTGCATATGTTTTTTCTTTATATATATATATCATTCCCTCTTTTATTCCATACACGTTATTCTCGTATAGCGGGAACCGATAAAATAGCTGCGAGGAACAAAGTCTTCGCGTAAATGATCGCAACGTACGTTGTTTAGAAAGTTGGAAATTAGTCGACGGTGCTTACCGCATCAAAATATTACAATATGTACAGTCTACTTCGTTGTAAACGAGTATATAATTCGACACACAGCGTATATAATTTAAAATAAACGATATAGAAAACGTCGTATGTATCGTTATCTCTCGTTTTGATCCTTCGTAGTTCATAAATCTACCGAAAGCGATTGAAATTTATTAACCGTGCACGCCGGTGTTTCCGATTCGTCGCTCGACGTGTCGTCTGCATCCTGATCGTTCGCTTCGTATTCTTCTTCGCCTTTCGAAATGCCCGAGCATTCGTCCGCGTTTTCTTCCTCCTCGTCTTCGTCCTCGGACGACGAAAGCACCTTTCCTTCGTTGCGAACATCTCCTTCCTTGTTTCTAGCTTGAATCCATTTGACCAACTCGGCGCCTGGATGATTCTCCCACTTTTCTGCAAGTACGAATTTATTCGGATAAAAGAACCGTTTCTCTTGTCGCTTCGTTGTTGCGCGATAGTATCCGCGTTACCCTTGTCGTCCTGCCAACCCGGTGGATAAACGTAAACGCAAATTTTCCCTTCCAACGCCATTCTCAATAAGGAGTTGGCCGCTCTATAAGTATCCGGTCTAGCGGTTCGCGCGGTCATGAAATTTCGTTTAATAGCCCAACCGTCGCAAATGTCCATCGCGGACCAAGTGTCGTCGCCGTCCGGGTGCTGAATTTTCAACAACTTTGGTAAATCTATCTTCTCTGCTAAAAACTTCACCGACGAGTACGGTTGCCTGGCTTGCGCGATTGGGAAAGAGCCAATCAGAATCTGTACACGTCTCGGGACCGTGGACGGGAATACCAATCCCGGGCAATCGCAGAGGCAAACCGTTTTTGTCAGGAATATAGTTTGAAAGTGTTTCGTGTGTCCAGGAGTGCGCGATACGCTTACAACTTTCTTTCCTGTACAACATACGTCCGATTCAAGCTTTTCTAACATTTTCATTTTATAATTATACGGATATACGTAAGTTTCTATTTACCCATCAGCGCATTCATCAGCGATGATTTTCCAACGTTCGGCATGCCGATACAACCGACGGTCAACACTCCGTTTTTGTACCGTTCGTGTTCGACGTAACTCGTGTCTTCTTTTTCGATGACAACGCTATCTTTGTGGTCGACGTCGTCCAAATCAAATTCCATTTGCATTTCCTCCTGAATTTTCTCGTCCCACGAACTCAGGTCCACTCTGTCTTTCACGATTTCTTTGCAAGTATTTAATAACGTTTGGGCCCCTTCCGCAGCCATTTTTAATTTTCCTCTTCTACGTCTTTTTTTTATTCCTTCCGTCTCGTTTGTGTTACCACGTAAATTATAAGTGGGATAAGATGTGAACATTAAAATGTGTAATTTCGGGTATGCGGCGTGAAGGTAATGTTGCCACGCCACTACCAAGGCCGGGGGAGCTAAATCGATTTTGTTCATTACTAGAATCATATCTTTTTTCAGCTCGTGCGTCACGTGATGATACAAGTAGGGGGGAAACATTAGGGCAGGGTATCTGATATCGACGACGATCAACAAAATGTCGGACATTTCTAGAACCCTCCACAACTGTCTCCACGTTTCTATGTTCAATTCAAAGTAACTGTTAGCACACAATTTTTCCATGCCTTTCGCATACTCCTAAAGCCAACAAGTTATTAGCCGATTCGAAAGATATACGATAATAAACTTAAATAAAGATTACGATTGCTTACGGTAAAATATTTTTGCTCTCTTAATTCTAACTGTTCTTTCGACACATTGAAATCCCATGGCGGTCTTTTGGGCATATCTAATTCCGGTGGGAAATAGTTATCAGAAACTTCTTGTTCCTTCAAGGATAAAGGTTCGATCGTGCTTCTAGCTTCTTCCTTTTGTTTGAACAGTTCCTCTTTAGTCTCTCGGAAAAATAATAAAGCGTACGACTTTTTATGGGAATTGCAGTCTTTCAATTGTTTGTTGATCCTTTCTGTGAAATTAGCTTCGCGATCGTCGGCGGTACTCGATGTCTCTTCTTTGGCCTTGTTGCGAACATCGGCTAAGTATATATAAAACAACAAATTATAAGCGATTAAATGTAATAAATATTCCGGTCGAAAACACGTGGCATTTATTATCACTGTTATCATTATTACAATATTATACGTACGAAACATGCTTGGATTCTGACGTTGTTTCTTAGCTTGTAATTGCAGCCTTTTTGCTTTGCCGCTGTATGCTTTTTTCCTCGGCATTTTTCACTATTTCTTCGAATTGACAAGCTCGTCGCTCTGCGACAAAATCACAGCTCTTCAACTAACCCTTCTTTATCAACTCACCAACTCGACAACAAAGTTAACGCTTTCCTTCTTACGATTTATTATGCTTACATACGCATCAATTCAGAAATATTTCTGAAAAATTCAGATCACATAATACGTAATCAATTCGTGTTATCGTATGAAGAAATGGGAGTGTCGAGTACTTGTACTTACTAACCATTTTTTTACAGCAATTCCGGTCTCCATACTCGACTGCTTAGCAAATTGCAGCCTCAAGCCATGCCATATTCCATGCAATTCAGGATCGAGGAGCAGTTTGAAGCAGGGTCAGAAGTCGGAGCCGGAGTCAGGAACGTCAGGATGTACCGGTGTATAGTTGAAGTTAGGCTAGTGAAGCGGCTCGCAGTTGCCAATGGAGCCGTTCAATTGCCGTTGGAACTTGGAACTTGAAACTACATACAATCTACGTACAACAGTGCTGGTATGCGCGGTGTACAATACGTACTAGAGATGGCGCGATTAGTCACTAATCGTGACTTATCATTGTGATCCAAGTGGCGGAGAAGAGACCTCATGAATGGGATTGGATGATTCCAATAAATTGCCAATGAAATCCAATGGCATCATCCAATCCCACTTGTGACGGTTAATTTTCCCATTCTTACTTTCCTCGAATAAAATCGTAAAAATCGTAAAAATCGTAAAAATCGTAAATCAGGCATCTGAGAGTACCGAGAGTACTGAGTTCTCTCTCTTGCAAATGTATAAAACCGCACGCATACGATATATGTACACTCACCGTAACACAATTTGACCTTGTATATCGTTAATTTGACCTTTGATGTTCGGTTATAAACTTACATATAGTAAACCCATACGAAGATATTATCGACTGCAGATATACATACAATCTATTTACTGTCAGTGGTTAAGTTTTATCGTACGTATATATATATATATATATATATATATATATATATATATATATATATATATACGAATGTACACATACGAGGTTAGCAATTCTGATAGGAAACTACATATGCACGTATGCGTATATGTGTACAAGTATTGATTACGGACACGTCAGGCGTATCAGCAACGTTGCATCAGAAAAGATCAAGCTAAAATTGCGAGCAACGTGCAAATATAGGTTATGTATATTATTTTAAACCTAATTTAGGTGTACTCTAGAATTTCAGAAAGGATAATCAGCTGAAACTGTTTAATAAAACGGAAAATGTCCGGAAAGGAAGACATAGATTCGTCGCCGGGTAAGTTCTTATAACATGAACTATTTTAACACGTCATGAATTAAAATTTAGTTTTTTTAATGTTTATCATTGTCACATCGAAAGAACTATTACAGACGTATTATTAATCTCTGTTACAGATGCTATTTACACNATGCTTGGATTCTGACGTTGTTTCTTAGCTTGTAATTGCAGCCTTTTTGCTTTGCCGCTGTATGCTTTTTTCCTCGGCATTTTTCACTATTTCTTCGAATTGACAAGCTCGTCGCTCTGCGACAAAATCACAGCTCTTCAACTAACCCTTCTTTATCAACTCACCAACTCGACAACAAAGTTAACGCTTTCCTTCTTACGATTTATTATGCTTACATACGCATCAATTCAGAAATATTTCTGAAAAATTCAGATCACATAATACGTAATCAATTCGTGTTATCGTATGAAGAAATGGGAGTGTCGAGTACTTGTACTTACTAACCATTTTTTTACAGCAATTCCGGTCTCCATACTCGACTGCTTAGCAAATTGCAGCCTCAAGCCATGCCATATTCCATGCAATTCAGGATCGAGGAGCAGTTTGAAGCAGGGTCAGAAGTCGGAGCCGGAGTCAGGAACGTCAGGATGTACCGGTGTATAGTTGAAGTTAGGCTAGTGAAGCGGCTCGCAGTTGCCAATGGAGCCGTTCAATTGCCGTTGGAACTTGGAACTTGAAACTACATACAATCTACGTACAACAGTGCTGGTATGCGCGGTGTACAATACGTACTAGAGATGGCGCGATTAGTCACTAATCGTGACTTATCATTGTGATCCAAGTGGCGGAGAAGAGACCTCATGAATGGGATTGGATGATTCCAATAAATTGCCAATGAAATCCAATGGCATCATCCAATCCCACTTGTGACGGTTAATTTTCCCATTCTTACTTTCCTCGAATAAAATCGTAAAAATCGTAAAAATCGTAAAAATCGTAAATCAGGCATCTGAGAGTACCGAGAGTACTGAGTTCTCTCTCTTGCAAATGTATAAAACCGCACGCATACGATATATGTACACTCACCGTAACACAATTTGACCTTGTATATCGTTAATTTGACCTTTGATGTTCGGTTATAAACTTACATATAGTAAACCCATACGAAGATATTATCGACTGCAGATATACATACAATCTATTTACTGTCAGTGGTTAAGTTTTATCGTACGTATATATATATATATATATATATATATATATATATATATATATATATATATACGAATGTACACATACGAGGTTAGCAATTCTGATAGGAAACTACATATGCACGTATGCGTATATGTGTACAAGTATTGATTACGGACACGTCAGGCGTATCAGCAACGTTGCATCAGAAAAGATCAAGCTAAAATTGCGAGCAACGTGCAAATATAGGTTATGTATATTATTTTAAACCTAATTTAGGTGTACTCTAGAATTTCAGAAAGGATAATCAGCTGAAACTGTTTAATAAAACGGAAAATGTCCGGAAAGGAAGACATAGATTCGTCGCCGGGTAAGTTCTTATAACATGAACTATTTTAACACGTCATGAATTAAAATTTAGTTTTTTTAATGTTTATCATTGTCACATCGAAAGAACTATTACAGACGTATTATTAATCTCTGTTACAGATGCTATTTACACATCTCAGAAGAATGGAAACGATGAAACAGGCGATGGTTCAAAATGTAATCCTTTCAAAACAGTATTGAACGCAATGCGATACGCGGGAAAAGAACCATTTCCTCCAATTTATCAGGACTCTAAAGACAATACCGAAAAATATGATCTAGTTTCGAAATCTCAGTTAAAGAAAGTACAAAAAATATGGTCGAGAGAACAATATAAGAACGAAGATAAGCAAAAGAAGTTGCTAGAGGACGAGGAAAAGAGGTTGAAGAACTTGGAAGAGGCTAAAATGATTGTAATTAAGCAGGACGATACTTTGGAACCCGCTAAACTTATAAAAATTAAAAACGGCATAGAGTATAGGGGTCGGCGTGTAAAACTTTTCGGATGGGTGCACAGACTTAGACGTCAAGGTACGATATTACATTGTAATTTATTATTTTCTACTTACATCGGTATACGTTACAGGCAAGGCTTTGATGTTCGTTACATTGAGAGACGGAACTGGATTCCTGCAGTGCGTAATCAACGATATCTTATGTCAGACGTACGAGGCGTTGACGTTATCTACAGAAGCATCCGTCGAAGTATATGGAATTCTCGAAACCGTGCCGGAAGGCAAAAATGTACTATAAATATCGCCAGCATCCAGCAACGTAACGCGTCTCGGCGTACGCTGATGAAAATTTTCTAAATCTCGATTTCCAGGCTCCGAACGGACACGAATTACACGTAGACCATTGGAAATTAATTGGCGCATCTCCTGCCGGTGGCGCGGATTCTATTTTAAACGAGGAGGCTCATCCGGATGTTCAACTGGATAATAGACACATCATGATACGCGGTGAAAATGTACAAGAATTCGTATAATCGGTAATTTTCGGCAGAATCGGAATCATGTATTTTAACGTAATCGTTAATTCGTTTGTTTCAGACGTCTCGTATACTGATGATTAGGTCCATTTTGATACAGACATTCAGAGATCATTACCACGATAGAGGATATTACGAGGTTACACCACCAACGTTGGTACAGACGCAAGTGGAAGGTGGATCTACGCTGTTTAAATTAGATTATTTTGGGTAAATACAGAAGAAATATTGCGCGTCGGTTTTCTTCCATATCTTCATCTTCGGAGGGTATCGAATATAAATATAACTTTATCGTATAAATATTTATCGCTAGGGAAGAAGCATTTCTAACTCAAAGTTCCCAACTATACCTCGAGACTTGTATCCCCGCGTTGGGCGATGTTTATTGTATCGCCCAGTCTTACAGGGCCGAACAATCCAGGACCAGGAGACATTTGGCAGAGTAAATGCACAGAATTATAGTATTAACGAGAAAAAAATCTTCGGATGCAGAATTCGTTTCAAAGCAAAATTCGTACATTTTAGATACACGCATATAGAGGCAGAATGTGCGTTCATCACGTTCGAAGAAATGCTCGATCGTTTGGAAGATCTAATATGCGACGTGGTGGATCGCGTTTTAAAATCACCTCTTGGACACTTGGTGAAGGAATTAAATCCAGATTTTCAAGTACCGAAGAAGCCTTTCAAAAGGATGAATTATTCCGAGGCGATCGAATATCTTCGGAAGAACGACATTACCAAAGAAGACGGAACATTTTATGAATTTGGAGAGGTACCGATCGATTACTTTTTTTAATTTCAAGAAAAAGGGTCAGTTTCTCTCTCTCTAATGTTCCAGCATAGGATGATTTTCGACGGCGTTCGAATATATCGTTGGGTTGATATCTACCGAAATCATTCTACGTTCGGATATTAGATTCGGGCCAAAAAAACTTTTATCAAAAGACGCAGAAACGATATTCTTGCAAGAACGATTAAAAAACTATACGAAATTCTAACAGATTCCGCTCGATTTGCTATTTTATACGCGTTTATGCTTACACGAGATCGAACAAGAGTCGCGAACATTTAATTTTCTTCTTCGAATATTCTCCAGGATATACCCGAAATGCCGGAAAGGAAAATGACCGACGCGATCAACGAACCGATAATGCTCTGTAGATTTCCTGCAGAAATAAAGTCATTTTATATGCAACGTTGCGCGGATGACGAGCGCCTCACAGAATCGGTAGACGTGCTCTTACCGAACGTCGGTGAAATTGTTGGCGGTTCGATGCGTGTTTGGGACCACGACGAATTAATGGCAGGCTATGCTCGCGAAAACATCGATCCGAAGCCATATTATTGGTACACGGATCAGGTGAGTCTCTACGATCCGCCATCGTTTAAATTGCGACGCGAACCAAGTTTTATTGAACGTACAACTTTCAGCGAAAATACGGAAGCTGTCCTCACGGTGGATACGGATTAGGACTGGAAAGATTTCTATGCTGGCTCCTGAATCGGTACCATATACGCGAGGTATGCCTCTATCCGCGCTTTTTAGAACGTTGTCGACCTTGAAGAATCGAACGAACGTATCCGAACGCATATTATTCCACGCGCATTTAACCTATAATCTCACCGGACAAATGTATACATTAGATTGTGAAATATATTAATAAAATTGATATCTTTCCGATTTGTTACATCACGGTAAATATCGGGGTTTCGCGTAAACGCATCAACGACAACTGGGTGCTGAGTAACACAAAAACATCTGTTTTCATTTGTGGTTTCATTGCTATCGTCAATGTACATATTCATCGAACACTATTCAACTAAGTGTGCTTGCGGTAAACGTTTCTTTACATGATAAAAGCTATTTTTAAAAATCTATCCCGTTACAACAATATTACAATAACAGTGCCTCGTATAAATACAATAAATTGCTTTTTGTAACGAAAAGTTAACTACGTAATACTAAATAATATTTATTTAACACATGCTATTAACAATTCGAGGCTAACTTTGAAGTACCTTTCGAAACTTTACACGTACTCGAAGTATAGAAATATTTCCGTATATATAATACATGCTACGTTTAAAGTTTTAAAGGTGCCAAACGATCTTAACGTATGTATAAGTATATGCGTATCCATACGTGTATGTATATGTATATACGTAGCATTTGAAAGCATCGAAAATGAAAATGTTGGAGAGAAGCGAACGGAGAAGAGAACGCGCGCGCGCGCGCGCGCGAGACACCGGTCCTACAAACAAGTTACTGCTACTCCGTCTTTTGAAAATCATTTGCCAATACTTTCGACGAATGAAACCAGCGCAGAAACGTCTTCGAGTAAAAGAGCGATACGTAGACGGTTCACCAATTATGATTCGGCAAAGGAGAAACTGAATTCTCGTTGAACATTGTGCAAGAAATATTTACGAGGAATATACACATTTATGTATAATATTTAATATCGAACGTATTTTCATTGAAATCGTTTCGTTTCGATCGGATCGATTAGCATGTTTCTTCCATTATTCTAATATAAAGTGTGCACAACGCAATCGCGTTCCGGCAACTGGCGAACTTTCATGGAACCATCCGCGCCACAGGAAAACAAACGTCCCGCGGAATCAACGTGCAACTGCGTCACGCCCTGAAAAACGATCTCGACGTTATTACTTTACTTCGAGGAACACGCGTACGCGTCGGCTATACGCGATCGACTTACTTGTCCAATGTTTTTGAAAAAGCTAGACCGAGGATGTTCTCCGGGGAAAGAGTAAAGCAGAGAGTGGACGGTCAAACCCCATATCTAGAAACAATCAGACGAAACGGTCAATATTCCGCGTTCGAATTCCAAATATTCGAAGCATTTTCTCCATCGTTTTCGGCTTGGAGAAATTCGACGTTGAACAAACGTAAAATCGTTTGTATTTTAAGAGGAATTTCTCGGGCCTCGACGTCAACAACGTTACAACCGTTCCTTGTACGAAGCGATTCCATGTTACGTACGTAGATCGGATAAACTGTACGGATTACGATAGACCGTACGCGTAGATATCGAGCCTCGTAAATGCAACCGAAACTACGGATCGAATTTCCCGAAAACCGAGAGCAACGGATAAAAAGCTAGGGAAAACGGGGGGTGGTACCTTGATGTCACCGTCTCCTGCCCCGCTGACGAAAAATTCTTCGTGCGGATCAAGAGCCAAACACTTGATGGCCGACTCGTGAGCTTGAAAACGGTGGCGTTGTTGCCGCTGTCGAACATCGAAAATGGTAATGTCGCCCTTTTTTCCACCACTGATCAATAGTTGATGCTGGGGTGCGAGTATCAGCGAGCTGGCCCCTTGCTCGTGACACGTAAAGCCTGAAAACGCAACGAAGAAGATAGATTCGCGTCGATTCGATCGAGCGTTTCGATCGCGTCGATCGAACGATACGTGCCTTGAATCAAAGATTTATTTTGCGGAAGCAGGGTATCCCAAAGCGCGACGTTACGTCCTTCCGAACCATGACCGGCGGTCGCTATTAAACTGCACGCGCCGAGGAAGACAAAATCTGCCGTTACTTTGCTATGGCACTGATAGTTCTGCAACGAAAAAAGAAACAGTATCGTACGCGCGATCGACGCGGCCCGATATCGAAAACTGGAAAATCCTTACGAAGAAAGGCCGAGCAGTCCCTTCTCTGCAGGCTACTTGAAAGAGGCTGAGATGTCCGTCGGAATCGGCGACACCGAATTTATTTCCGTGCTGCGAAAACCGTACGCGGGTCACCTTTGCAAAGGTTCCCGGTTGCCTCGGAGTGGCCACAGCCGTCTGATGTCCCCATTCCCACAGCGAGACCGATCCATCTTGCGAACCGGTCAGGTCTGTTTGCGAATCGACGATAAAAATCGTACAGTTTCGTTTCGTTTCGTTTCATTTCATTTTATATTATTTCGCTAATCTCCGACGAGAAAACGAGGCAATCGTTTTTCGCAAGACTGATCGCGAGAGAGGCTCTAGTAGCTAACAAACGGTATGCTTACACAACGGCAAAAGTGGATGCGACGAGATTCTTCTAATGCCGTCGATTTTATGCTTCAAGATCTGTTCGAACAAAACAAGGCCAGCATTGAGTCAAGGTTGTACGATCGCCGATAGTTTCGCAATTGATAATTTCAAGTAGGACATTCAGAGAAAATTCTTGTGGCAAATCAAAAGAAAATCTAAGGAAAATACATCGAATCAACGAAAAACTAACGTAAACGTCAGCGAACGGACGCGGTATATGTATATGTATATGTATATGTATATGTATATGTATATGTAGTAAATGCAACGGGAGACGAAGAAAACACGATCGAAAATAAAGGTAAACGAATACATATAGGAGAAACGTATGCTGAACACGTACACACAATTACGATACACGATATACAGTATCGACTCGCAACCAGTGCGAAACAGTCGCGCGATCGGTTCAGCTTCGGGGCTATGGCTATTGCACGTTTTCGAAACGCGTCATGCTAGGTGAGAGAATTTCTCCTCCGCCTTCTCGAGGTTTCATCGAGAAGCTCAAGCTAGGACCAAATGCTCGCTCCGTGGACGTGTGCGCGAACAATAGTTTTCTCGACCGATCGCTCGATCAGATAAAACCGTACGTTCACAGCACGTTCACAGTACGTTCAATTACGGATATTCGTTCGATGCCTCTGCTTCCCGATCTATTCGTATTCGTATTCGTATTCACGTTCACAGAGACGCTCTTCGGTCCATTTCAATGATCGAGGCGTAAGCTGATCGCGAACCATCGAGCCGATCCATCGAGGTCTACCGCTGACTTTCCGCAACACTTTTTTCGTCTCCCGTTTTCCTTCTCCGTCTCCTTTCCCATTTCCTTTTCCTTGTCTCCAGTTTTCAACGAACGCAAAACATCTCGTCATCTTTTAATCGAATCGCATCGAATCGAATCGAATAGCTAGCTAGTAGACCTCGCGGCATTCCAAGATTCGGAACCACGTATCTCGTAGTTTGCTCGTAACAACGCGGCTGGATGAAAAAAGCGCAATAGCATCTAAATACTACGGACGACATTCAAAACGAACAAGATGCTCGGATTTTCTAGAAACACAGACGAAGGGTTGTACTTTGTACTTGGGCATGCAACGTTACGAGAGGAAAATTTGTCAACTTCTTGGTGTCATCGATCGCTAAAGTTCTTTCTACTTTCAAGCTTTACCAGCTTACAGAGCGTTCGCGATCGCATCGACCGAACGGCTTCGTAATCGCGTCGTTGCGATATAATCGGTGTAACGGAATAGAAAAAAAAAAAGAAAAACAAGGAAATCGATATTATCCGCGAGAGGCGCGAAATTTCCATCTCTTCGGTTTCTACGGGTTTCGCGTATCTCTCTATACAAGCGTAGATGCATTTTTACGTTTACATGTATACACGTGCGTACGGACGTATGCGCGTATGCACGTACGCGAAAGAAAACGAAAAACGAACCAAACACGTCTCGATTTCGTGTTTCATTTTGTTCGAACCGTTGGTCGGGTGCAAGGTGATGCCAACGAGCCGCGATACGTACGGTATCGACGATGAATTGCGACGAACGAAAATAATACCAAACCGATCGCGGAAGTCGAGTTCGACGGTTTCAACGAGGGGACAAAGTTGAACGAATTCGGGAACAAAGAGCGTACAAAATTTTGTTTTTTCGAAAGCACGGCCACGGTCTCTCCGCGCCCGTTACTTTTGCAATCGCTTCGTCGCGTTTAAACGCATCAACGATACCATCGAGCGCTGCAAGCGTACGAACGCCGATCGGAGTCGTACAAGCGACGAAGAATCGTCGGAATCGGAAAATCTACGAAAATAAATCGTTCGCGAGGTATCGGCGCGTTCGAGGGAAACGTTAAACGCGCTTTTCTTCCACCTCCATCAAATTTGAACAATCGTTTCTACCAGCTGTCGCGAAAACCAATGGCAATGTCGACAACCCGTTCGAGTTCTAATGCTCTCGCGCGATATTACGAACCGGAGCAAACCGTGAATCGTTGTAAAATCGACCGATGGAACGGGAAGCGAATCGACGAATGAACGGATAGTAAGGAAACCGCGAAGTAACGAAAGAGAGCGACGACGTCGATACCGATAACGGTAACGACAACGAAAACGACAACGACAACGGTGACGGTGACGGTTACGTTGATGTAGACGTTGACGGTGGCGGTGACGGTGACGGTGACGGTGACGGTGATGGTGACGGTGATGACGGTGACGTGACGAATAAGAAAAAGAAACCGGAAAAATCAAAGGAAATACCGAATGCGAAACTGGCACTAAAACACTATTATAGAATATATCATTATGCAGGCTAGAGTCTGTTAGAAGTTAGTCTCACCGGCTGCAACAAGTGTTTGCTTCTATCGGCAACGAACTGACAGAAACGCAGGTCGTGGGAGCCAGGAAAAGCGGGCATCCCCTTCATCTGAGCGAGCGAACGAGCCACCAGGTCGGTGACGACGGTCAGACGCGAACCAAGTTAGACGTTAGGCAAGCATTGAACAAGGAACATGTCTGTCACCAGTTGTGCTACTCTGACGTGACCCAGTGCGACGACTACTCAACGGTATTATCGAACTACGTATAATTACAGCTGTCGAGGCTTCCTTCCTGCGATANCGACCGAACGGCTTCGTAATCGCGTCGTTGCGATATAATCGGTGTAACGGAATAGAAAAAAAAAAAGAAAAACAAGGAAATCGATATTATCCGCGAGAGGCGCGAAATTTCCATCTCTTCGGTTTCTACGGGTTTCGCGTATCTCTCTATACAAGCGTAGATGCATTTTTACGTTTACATGTATACACGTGCGTACGGACGTATGCGCGTATGCACGTACGCGAAAGAAAACGAAAAACGAACCAAACACGTCTCGATTTCGTGTTTCATTTTGTTCGAACCGTTGGTCGGGTGCAAGGTGATGCCAACGAGCCGCGATACGTACGGTATCGACGATGAATTGCGACGAACGAAAATAATACCAAACCGATCGCGGAAGTCGAGTTCGACGGTTTCAACGAGGGGACAAAGTTGAACGAATTCGGGAACAAAGAGCGTACAAAATTTTGTTTTTTCGAAAGCACGGCCACGGTCTCTCCGCGCCCGTTACTTTTGCAATCGCTTCGTCGCGTTTAAACGCATCAACGATACCATCGAGCGCTGCAAGCGTACGAACGCCGATCGGAGTCGTACAAGCGACGAAGAATCGTCGGAATCGGAAAATCTACGAAAATAAATCGTTCGCGAGGTATCGGCGCGTTCGAGGGAAACGTTAAACGCGCTTTTCTTCCACCTCCATCAAATTTGAACAATCGTTTCTACCAGCTGTCGCGAAAACCAATGGCAATGTCGACAACCCGTTCGAGTTCTAATGCTCTCGCGCGATATTACGAACCGGAGCAAACCGTGAATCGTTGTAAAATCGACCGATGGAACGGGAAGCGAATCGACGAATGAACGGATAGTAAGGAAACCGCGAAGTAACGAAAGAGAGCGACGACGTCGATACCGATAACGGTAACGACAACGAAAACGACAACGACAACGGTGACGGTGACGGTTACGTTGATGTAGACGTTGACGGTGGCGGTGACGGTGACGGTGACGGTGACGGTGATGGTGACGGTGATGACGGTGACGTGACGAATAAGAAAAAGAAACCGGAAAAATCAAAGGAAATACCGAATGCGAAACTGGCACTAAAACACTATTATAGAATATATCATTATGCAGGCTAGAGTCTGTTAGAAGTTAGTCTCACCGGCTGCAACAAGTGTTTGCTTCTATCGGCAACGAACTGACAGAAACGCAGGTCGTGGGAGCCAGGAAAAGCGGGCATCCCCTTCATCTGAGCGAGCGAACGAGCCACCAGGTCGGTGACGACGGTCAGACGCGAACCAAGTTAGACGTTAGGCAAGCATTGAACAAGGAACATGTCTGTCACCAGTTGTGCTACTCTGACGTGACCCAGTGCGACGACTACTCAACGGTATTATCGAACTACGTATAATTACAGCTGTCGAGGCTTCCTTCCTGCGATATCTCTCTCTCTCTCTCTCTCTCTCTCTCTCTCTCTCTCTCTCCCTCTCTCTCTCTTCCTTTCTCTCCTTCTTTCTACACCCGTATCTCGTTCGCTCTCCGTCTCTCGCTCCGTTCACGCGAACACGACATCGAACTTTGTCCATGATTCCATTTATACGATTCTTCTTAAGAAACAAGCCTCGAAGTAGCCGTGTTTCAGCTACGCGTCTCGACGTATGGTCCATGTGATGCGAAAGTTTTTTTATACGCCATGCAACGCGACGCACAGCGGTGTAAACGCGAAGAAAACCCTCCGTAATTTGATTTTTACGAACCGAACGCTGTTTCGCTACCGTTCAACGACGAGAGCGCGACGCGTCGATGTTCGATATTTTTTTCATCAACTTTTTATACAAAAACTTGCGCACGACGCGTTGCTTCTTCTTCGCGCCTGAGAATTTTGTCGACTCTCGATACGACGGTTTTCGAAGCATCGAATCGTTTCGAGGTTTACAACCCCTGTCCGTCTTCAAAACTACGGATAGATAACAACGGAGGGCATTTATTTTCATCGCGGGCGCATCGGAAACGCGTCGTTCGGTAATTTTCGCACCGTTTTCGTAAACCGAAAATTGTTATTTCGATCTTTTTATAGCACTCGCGTACGTACGAAAACGACCGCGAACGAGGATGCGATCCAAGAAAATTCCGACTATCCGTGACCGAAACGGTGACGACTATCGTGGCTCGACGCTCCGTACTCGAATATTTTTTAACCCAAACATTCCTGACGCGCGCGCAACGTCGCGACGGAGACGGAGATTTCGAAAATATATACTTGGCTATGTACACACGGAGTAGAGAACATCGGACAGGTAAAGAGAACAATATCAGAAACATCTGGGTTAGGCCGGAGCAAGGTCACGATACGATACGATACGATACGATATGATATATGATACGATACGATACGATACGATACGATACGATACGATACGGTACGACACGACAGGATACGTGAGATCGTCAAGAGATTTCAATCAACAAACATACGATAGAAGAGTGCTCGATATTTGAATTGCGATCGCGAGTTGCATGGTTGACGGGTGACCGATTTAAAGTTACGTCGAGGATAACTTACCACGCTGGCTCCTCTTCCGCTCTGACTCGCGATACCGGATTGCGGTTGAGGGCTGTTGGTTTGCGGACTTTGAGCGAGCATGGGTCGATCCGCTGCTGTCTAAACGAGAAAACCGGGCAACGTAACGGAATCATGATTCATGATTCATGATTCGCGATTCGATACGCTTACCTGAATAACCAAGAAACTGGTCGGCTGCACCGCTTCCGGTTCCGGTTGTTTATTCAAATTTATCAGATCGAATTCGCATTCGTCTTCCAACCAAGACGGTAACTCGAGCAACAACGATATATTCATCTCTTGTACCTCGCGCGGAGTAGCCAACGCCATCAGCCCCGGATTCACCTGGAACGTAACGCGCGACACGCTGTTTTATCGTCGAGGTCGCGATAAAACGCGATCGTCGCGGACGAATCGACCATCGTACCGCGCGAAACTGCGAACGAAGACGGGACGAAAATCTATATAATATAACCTGGTTCAGACAGAAAGCGCTGATGCTGTCCTGTTCCTTGTGAATGATACGGACCGGCTCGGGTAAACTCGTAGTTCCGCTGTCGCTACCCTTGTCTTCCGTCGTAATTCCACGATTCAAATGATCCATCGCGCTTTGATTGCTCTCCAGTATCGACGACAACGATCTTCGCTTGCCGAACACCGCTCGTATGAATATGTCCTGCACCAATTCTTGTCTGATCAAGAAACACCAGAGTCGATTGGCCGGAGCTGCCGATGCCAAGCGCGTGCTGATCGGAAAAAGAACAACGGGTTCCATCGGTTTTGTTCGCGCGTTCGTTTCGACGACCGCTCTACGTACGCGTGTACGCATACACTATGTGTCTACGTATGGTCCGAAGGCGTATGCTCTCTTACTTGAACGGTGTGTTGCCCTTCTCCAGCAACGATCGATACTTGTGTATCGCCGGTTTTCCCGGAGTGGGTGTTGGATCGGGTGCGCACCCGGGAATGTAATTGATCGGTGGTGGTCCCTTGTTGTCCAATTCCTCGCGCAACGTTTCCTGCCATTGGGCTACCACCGCCAACGTTCCGTGTATCAATGGACTGCTGACCGGCAATTCTATCGACCGAACAAAATATCGTCGTTCTTAGGAGCTCGATAGCGAACCAAGAAATCATTCCGTGTAACTCGAACGCTACTACCTTGCATCTCTATGCCAGCGACGTTTAAGAAGTCTTGAAGTTGCCGTTGCAGTATCTTCGCTATAGCTAATCGCATCACGCACCAGCTGTGCGAGTTCGGATTCGAGTGCTCCGTATTGTCCTTTGGTTTTATCTTTGGTTTCGAATTAGTCTCGAATACGTCTTCTTCGTCCTCGGACGAATCCAAATCCGACACAGCCGAGTCGGACGAATCGTAATCGATCTCGTCCGCGTATTCGCTATCTATGTGCGGCTATCTCGGTGGAAAGATAACGAGAAAACAACGAGAAAAAATATATACGTACGCATACAAGAACATGCGCGCGCGACGGTCGAAATTTTCTATCGGAAAGAAACGTCGTTCGACCGCGGACAGAACTACTAAATATAACCTACCTTCATCAGAAAATACGAAACCATGCTCATTTGAGGCGGCACGAACTGTTCTCTGTAAGTCGGCTTATCCTCTTTCATGTTCGGTTGCTGGCCGCCCAACTGACACAGTACCCTCATATTCAACTTTACTCGCTGCTTCGTCAACGACGTCATCGTGCTCCATACAGCTCCCGCGGTGCTTTGAGCTTCGTTCGAAGTACCATCGCCACCTCTTTCTATCGCTCCTGCTCCGGTTCCACAGGTCTGTCCAGTTCGAACGTACATCGAACGTTCGATTTCCGAACGAGCGAGAATTGTTATAGAACGTAGAGATTAACACGGGGCATCGAGTATACGTGTATACGTATATAGAGAATATACGTATGTATACCTGACTGGTTGTGCTCGCGACTCGCAGCAATTTCTTGACCCCGCCGCCGAAGAGGCAGGACCAGGTGCTGTTGTCGAAACACTGACCGACGAGCCTGTAAAGAATGTGGCTGTCGCAACTCCATAGAGCGTAAACGAACAAGCTCATGTAGGTTGCCACGAAAGCTTCGCAGAGAAGAATGTTCAGTTTCGGCGTGTCCTCGTCTTTCTCGCGGGCTAGCAACGACCGCAAGTTTGTTACGCCGGGCCACTTGGAGGGCGTCGTGTTAATGCACACGCCATCGTCCGTCGAGTATCGCCGATGCTGTCGATTCGAGGCTACCAAATGCCCGCCGGAAAACGCTTCTACTTCGGCAACAGCTGGAAAACTATGCGCCGGCCAATTCCTAATTCATAATAACGATAATCTAGCGGAACACTCCGAATGCGATTCAGAAAACTTACCTGTCCGGTTGATGATGTTTCATGACGAACGTATCGGAATCGCAGAGCGATTGATAAATACACGCGCTCAGAGCAACCGCTAAATCCCTCATTATAAATACTTCGCTGTAATGCGTATTTCTCGTCGGCATCGGCGGCTTTCTTAATTCAACCAACGTTTGCAGCATATCGTGAGCGAGCGACTAAAACGAAAAAAGTCATTCGGTTCGCTGGTATTGTTCCTGATCGTCCACGCGACGGAACACGACACACGATTACGATTACGATTACGATTTTAAACACGATCCCGCATACGTATGTATACGTACGTATAGAGATACACGCGTACGTTGTACGCGTAGCGCGACATGTACCTGCAAGTGTCTGACCGGATCTGCGACAACCGTTTTATTACAAGCTACGCTGGCGCTCAACAGTGGTAGCGTTGTCGGAAACGGAAGAGGACTGAGCAATTGTTGCTGCGTTTTCTCTTGTTGCAGCTCTTGCAGTAGAAGTACAAGTTCCATCCTTACGGATGCCAAGCCTCCACCCGAGGCTCCGTGCAACGAACAATAGGAAAGTAATGTCCGCAAGAGCGTTTCGTTCGCTGAAACCGGCGTCCAAGCAGAATTTCATACGTACGAAGGAATCGCGTTCGCGCGATCGACACGATACAATTAGTAAATGTATTAGATACCTATTAGTAAATGTATCTATACCTTTCAACCATTTCTTTCTCCGAACGACTCTCTGTACCTTGGCCTCGAAATCTAATTTATCGGCTACCAATATCTCGTGTAACGTCGGCTGTTCGCCGGGTCTGCTGTGCGATTGTATGTCATCTACCATACCTCCTCCTTCGTCTACGAGCAACGTGCGCGATTACCGTGGTTTATCGAAAAAGCTAGGAATCGTTCCGAATTCGTCGTTGCTCTTACATTCTGAAACATTGTACGGTTCCCCGTCCGAGTTGACGCTGTAACTGCAAAGTTGTCTAAGGGCATCGACTTCTCGTTCGAGCCACACGTACAGTTGATATCTCAGTTGTCCTCCGTCCACTTCGAAACCCGTTGCCAACGTTGACAATTCTTCCATTAAAATTTTCAGACACGCGACAAATTTCAATTGCTGCGCCATGATATCCAATTGACCCGACGCTTTTCCATTTTTCTCTGCGAACGATCACGCAAACACGTTCGACATTTCACACAATTTTCCGATACACACTTTAGCCAGCCGCTCGCCAAACTTTCGCTCACCTTCGTTCTCCCGCACTTTGCTTTCGTCGGTCTCTATCCCATCTAATTTCATGCTCAAGGGCGGACTGTCGACATCGTTGGCTTCGGTAACGTCGTCGTCCCAGTTCAGTACCAATTCGTCTTCGGTTTTCCCGCTCACGGGTTGCGACCAGTCGAACAAACCTATAATCGTATCGCGCATCGGTGTATACACAGAAATTGTGCGAAAATATTCGATCGCTGGTTCTCGACAAATAAATACGCACCTTCGTCCTCGTTGGTCTTCGTTGTTCGATCGTCCCAGCTTATTATGCCCGTATCTATTTGAGAATCCTGTCTTCGGGTTTTGCTGGGACTATTCAGTAGACCTTCGAAATGAAGTAAACGCGGGAATGACACGTCAACGATACGGAATGAAAACGAACGATACGGTGTACACTTAGAATCGGGCATATCATACGTACTGGGCGAATCTTCGCAATTGGTATCCATCACTTTGCTGGGTAGCTTCGACAGGACATCGAGGGCGAGGGCGGGGCAACCCGCTTTGAAGTGTGCGTGCGCCGTTGTGAAGTACAGTTGCCTTTCCAACGGGGTAATACTGTCTTCGAGCGTCAGTTGCTTATCGGGCTGGGTTTTGGTGTCCGCGCCGTAACTAAACCCGGATATCACTACCGAATGTCCTTTCTTCTTGTCTTGGGCGGTAGACGCGATGTACTGTCGGATCAGCAACGGGTGCGTTCGAAGGTAAACGTAGAAGTTGAAAACGTTTGGATTCGCTGAAACGATCGAAATCGAAGAAAATAGAAAAGAAAACGGTCTAAAGGAAAGTCTAAAGAAATCTTGGGCCCGTCGTTCTCCGTGATTTCTTGGTTACGCTTACCTGTCGCGCCTTCGGGTTTATCGGACTCGTCGTTGTACTGCGGGTGCATAGTTCCGACGTTCGTCAAGAGCAACGTGTTCAACGATCCGGTGTAATCCTTGAGGATCCACAACGCCATGCTACGCAGAAACGGATCCGGATGAGATTTGTTCATATCTTGATTTTGTCCGTCCTTGTCGCAACCTAAAATCTCCTCGTAAAGCAGTCTTCTCATATTCGGAGAAGTGGTGTCGTCCTCGTAAAGCCGAGCGATGACCATGGCCAACTGAATGTCGTTCAATTTGTGCAAACAAACGTCGATAGCATCTTTCAGAGCGCTCGCTAAAAGGAAAAAGGCTGCCGCGTGTTCGAATCTCTGTTTACCGAGCAAAGCGAACGCATTTTTCAAGGCCGCTTTCCTCCAACGGTCCTCCGTGAAATTATTAGAGAAGAAGCTGGTCATTCTCTCGTCCCTTTTGTTTCGGAAGAGCCCCCAGACCAAACTCTTCTTTTTCATAGCAAGATAATAGAGCGCGGCATCGAGGGGTTCTTGTTTCTCTTGGTAGGCCGCTTTCGCGATCTTTTCGACGCATCGCTTCAGCACGGTGTTGCTTCTGATCCACCAACCAACGCCGAGTTCCTTCAACACGCTCCACTTCGGCTGACCCTTCGCGTAAGAAGGTATCAAGTCGAGCAGTTCCTCCTCGGATTCCGAATGGAACGCCCAAACCAAGTTGTTCGAGGATATTCCTTGTTTCTGGAATTGCGCTCTCTGACCGAGCGGAAGACAACGGATCAAGTAATTGTAATGCTTCATGGCCAATAAGAATCTTAGGCCACAATCGTCCAACGAGTCCATCGAGACGGTCCCTCCTTCGGGAATGCCGGTCAAATTTTCCTTCGCGATCGCGTTCTTTGCGGCGTCTATCGCGAATCGCTCCGCGAAATCGACGTTGCAGGTCGACACGGTGTCGGCAAGAGCGAGCAGATGCATCTGATCCAAACTCGAGAGTCCGGGCAAATGGGTGTGCGTCAACAATCGCGAGAGCAATCTGCCTTGTCTTGGCCCGAAGTGAGATATTCCTTGTCTTTCCGGGACCGAAGAACGTCTATCCTTCTGCCGCGAGCAGTCGTAATCTTCGTCCAGCATGTCGTCCAACGACTCGTCCTCGTCCAAGTTGTTGTCGAACAGCTCGTTGTAATCTTGCTTGTTCTCCGTCTTGTGGGGATGCGATATATTCGTCTCTTTGTCCGCGATCAACAACGTCCAGAGGGGCAACGGCGATATCGAAGTTATCTCGGCGTAATCCAACATCAGCTCCTCCGGAATCTGCGTGGTCGAACCTCTCGGCTCCAGAGGAGACGCGGCGCCGACGTAACTGACCGACATGGTCCTCGATCGGGACCATGCCCCGCCCGCGCCGCCACCGACGCCGCCGACTCCGCCACCGCCGCCTCCGACGCCGCCGACTCCGACTCGTTGTCTCAGACTCTCGTCGTCCGTTCTCAACGGGCAAGAACTTCCTATGCATCTGACCAGATGCGCCAATATAGCTTTCACCCAACGGATCTTTCCAGAATTCAGTAATTCCATCAATTGTTTCGGATGATACTGGGGCAGTACCGGGCAAGCGATTCGCGAAGCCTCGAACAGACCGTAGTCCGGCATATAATCGAAATTCAAGTTCTCGTTCTGCATTCCTCGTTTCTTTTTCGCGTCGAGCATCGTCAAGTTGATGCTACTCACGCGAGAAAGATGCGGCATCGACGACACGTTCGCCAGTCGTCTCTGCGACGTTTCGTGCGCCAGCGTTCGCAGATCTTCGTCCCGTAGATTTCTGCTCGCTTGAAACTCGTCCGACTCCTGATGCTGTAGATTCGAGTGGAAGCATTCGTTCTTGGGATTCGGTTTCCACTGCGAATAAACGTGCATCTCCGAGTCCATGCCGACAACCAAAATCCCATCCCTCACCCAAGATATTTGCATAGGCAACGGTGGAAGCCCGTCCGCCGTGGTCAACTCGATTTTTCGTAGTTTCATCCAACGAATTTCGTCGACGAATTGCGGTTGCGCCAACGACGACGCCTTCCGCAATATGGGTCGATTGTTGCTCTGCGACTCTTTCATCGCTTTCATGTTAGCTTGCGCGAGATCCGAGCAGACTGGCGTAAACAGCATGATCTTGGATCCAACGGCGACCGTCAAGATGTGCGAACCATCCTCCTTCGACACCCAGTCCAACTGTACCAAATGCTTCTGCGTGAGCGGGCAGGTGTTGCCGTTCTCTATAATCGACTTTCGCAAAGATTGAAGAGTGCTGAACGATGGGACTGCCAGCAGACCTGCCACCACCAGGAACCGTTGTTTCAACCGTTACGGGCCGTTATATTCGACATTTTGTCGCACGCGCGCGATCTACGAACATATTACGATTCTCCTTACCTGCGTTCGATTTCGTGGTTTCGCCGTTGTCGCCGTTCCTCGGCGATCGAACATCTTCGTGACTAAGCGTTTGCAACACTTGAGTAAGCCTTTGCTTCTTTTGTAAAAATCTGCTGTCGTAAAGGTAACTCAGATCCAAATGCTGGTCCACCGGAATTCTCGGCAAGTGTATGTTTTTCAAGTGTATCGTGTCTTCTAGGATCCATTCGCTGCCACCGGTGCTCTCGCATTCGTAAATGGCTACGCAAAGGTTCACGTAACGCGAGTCGGGATCACTTTTTGTCGGTCGTGTAAACGACTTCCCGTATTTGTATGCGCACGCGATTCGTCCGCTGTACGCGGCGCTTATGTTCAACGGTTGTCCTGAAACGAAGTCGATCGAGTCTAAATCGTTGCGAATTCGCCGTTCTCCGACGTAACAAACATACCTGACACCACGGTAACGTTCGGTTATATTATATATCGGCGTACCTGTAATGTCGATCGTCGATTCCTGATCCTTTCGCAACATTTCCCATTCGCACCATTCGTAACAGAGCTTCTCGTCCGGCGGATTCTTTGTCACTTTACATTTCCAGAAGCGTATCGTGCTGTCGCTGCATGCTGTCACTATAATATACGGTGCGAAACAAGCAGGATATATGGAAGAGCTGCTCAAATGGCCGGCTGCTGGCGCCGCGTGCACCACCTGCCAGTGCGAGTACGATAGAATAACGATGGATGCCGCGCGGTCTGCCTAACTCTTTGCTCGATAGAAGAAGAACTTTTAGTTGAGTATGCTAACCTCGACTCCGTCCGGCAACGGTAACTCCTGAGTACAGGCTTTCGTGGTTGTGATGCGAACGTGACTATTTTGCGATCGTCTATGGTAAAACGTGTCGTATTCACCTTGACTGTCGCGACGCGTTTGACTCGGTCTACGAGACCGTTTACCCTCCGTATAATTATATCGTCCGGGCGTACCTCCCTCTTCTTCTTCGTCTTGTACCAAATGAGAATCCGGAACGTACATCATCGACCCCGAGAGCCCTGTGCAATGAAACGATACCTATGTAAAATTATTCGTGGGTGCACAACGGACACTTCTTCTAAATGCTTGCGTGCGCATCGTCGAATTTAGTACCGGTGGTCTCCGGCTGAGAGGCTATAATCAATCGCCACATGTGCACCGTTGTACCATTTTGTGTTCTTTCTAGCACTACTATGTAGAACGGCTCCTCGAAGATCGCGGACTGTTGCAAATCTACCATGGCGTCCAACGCAGACTCCATTAAACCTAAATCGTTAGCGGACGCATTTACGCCAAACTGTTTTTCGTCGTTCCTATCTCCTGTGATCAATTGTTCTTGAAAAACGTGGAGGAATTGCGTGTTTTGCCAATCCTATGCCGAGAAAAATCACATTTCCATCAAACGATCGAACTATCGACCGCTTCTCGAATTCCATTGTTACTCACGTGCGTAGCATCGGCGATGGCGTCCAACTTGATCACGCAGCCCGGTCTCGCTGTTGATTGTTGCGACACTATCTCTATCCTGCAGTGAATGGAGTGCCTGACACCGTCGTCGGACGACATGTCCGTCGAGAGACTCGACATGGAATCCTTTTGTACGAAAGACAACGAATCAATGTAACGTTCAAAGATTTCATTTCAGATTTCATCGTCGTATCACGACGGTCGAGCGTCTTTCCATTTACCATCATTCTGCTTCGTCTTTCGCTACTCGACACTTCCGCCAGGAGGGTTCTGGCATCTATAACGGCTTGATAAACTCTCAAACTTTCCCCGTCGCTAGCAACGAAACACGCGCTCGGTGAATTCGACAGATTGCCCAAGGTAGTGCTCGGCAGTAACGTTGGAATCCACGCCACGTTGCTGAACGCAGAAATCTCGGGGGAATTGATACGCGCCAATTCCGAAACACCGCCGCTCTTCGACAAAGGTCCAACCGTGTCCACTCGCCAAAGTATCAACTCGCTGCAAAATCCCTGGAACGAATATTAAATGTAACAACACCAAACATTATATTGTACATAGAATAGTTTTAGAATGCCGGCTCACCGTGGGAGACACATCTTTTGTGGATGCTTTAGCGGGACCTGATCTATTGTTACTCGAGTTTTCACCCGAATCATTGTTCCGGCATTGGGACCCGGAACATTCCGGTATATTGTGATGCGACGTTGTCAACAGCAACGGTAGGACCGGATGACACGTGATATCGTTCACTCGAAACCGATGCCCCGAAGCCCTAGACGCGTGTCCGATGCTCAATACCTGTTGCCAAAAGCAAAATATCGCCCGTTTCTAGATTTATCATATAAACGGTATATCGTATGTTGCGCACACGTAAGTATATTACACGATATACATATATATATATATATACACACGAGTAGCAAGCCAAACATGCAATCGAAAATATTACAACACGGTTTATCTAGCAACCAAAACGATCGCAGTAAATACCTGTGAAAATTTGGTTCTATCGGCAAACGTTAGTTGCCACAAATTCAAAGTACCGTTCGAGTGTTTCGACACCATGGAGACAATCGGGCTGGGATGCGTTAATAGATCGTTGATCGTCTCCTGATTTGTTTTACGAGTCTCTAGATGACCATCTTTTTCTTTCCCCGAAGAATTCGGTCCGGCTCGCGTGTCGTTGGTATTCTCAATATTTTTCAACAGTTCTTGACCCGCTTTCGACGTTAGGGTCGACTGTTCTTCGTCTTGTTCGATCAGACTCGGTAACGGTGTTGCGGTCTCAGCACCTACGCCGATACAACGATCGATCTTGTGGACTCGAGAAAATTTCTGATCTTTGAAAACACCAATGATATCGCTTACCGTCGTTGGACGTCTTCGTGGACGTCTTCGCTACTTCACGGATATTTAACAAAGGGCCGCCGGTATTGTGCGAGTACATCGATACATTGTGACTCATCGTTGAGGCATCGCCGAGCGGAAACGCGTTAGGTATTCGCGTCGAGAACGATATTTGCGCTTGCCGAAACGATCCTGGATGATATTCGTCCAACCATTCGATGTGCCAAATCAGAAAGCTTCCATCGATAGGGTGAATCGAGAAAAGTAAATCCGGATTATGATGCCAATCCCGCAGCAACGTCTCTATCGTGGTGTCCAAAGAATCCGGAGCATGATTCATCGAAGACGTTATATCCGTCGCAATCGAGTTGATAGACGTGGTATTACTGAACACGCATGAAAATATCACAATTATTAAGTAAATATCATAGTCGTATTATATGTACACACACGTTCCCCCGTTGCTACCTCAGCGGTAGCATACCTAAGACTTTGATGCGAATGCACGCTGTGCGGTAAACTATGATGCGACGAGACCGTGTGAGCCGTGTGATGTTCGTCGCTGCTATGTTCTTCTTGGCTCATCGATCGAACATTGCTCCCCGACTTTTGCGCGTGTTGCAATCGTACTCCCTTTTCTATGGTAGACAAGGCAATAGCGATTCAATCGAAGAATCAAAAAAATCGAACCGGTATCAAATTCAATAGGATAAAAGAGAAAACGCTCACTCAAGGGACCCTCCTCCTCGGAATCGTGTTCCGCGTGCTCCAAATCCTGTTGTTGCAGTCCCTCCTCCTTTTCTACCACTTTACGGGTCAATTCTTGCAAAATATTTTCTGCTTGCATCGTAAAATGCATTTCCTTGTTGTTCAACCAATGCAGAATAAAATTCGGTTCTCTCTCTGGATCCCCGGTAATCAAACTTGGTACCAACGGTATATCTATAGAATGTGAAAATAGACGAGATAGATTGTTCGCGTGTTTACGTTCTGAAACAAGATCTAGTAACAACTTGACGCGACTGTGACTTACCAGTTTCCGCATTGATACTTGCTGCCAAGTGAAAATGCATCCCCGGATAGTGACCAGCGCCTTGATAATTATTATGGAAATCATGCACAGAATACGTGGAGGGTAAAGTTGGTAATGTTGGAGCCATCACATGTCCCGCCTGATGCTGTTGCTTCGCGTGCCGACGAATATGAAAACACGTTCTACAAAAATAACATACATATAATAACGCATAATATTTGATTGCAATCACGATTTCGATAGCAAGAAATCAAGAATTCGCGTACTTCATGTGCTTCAGTCGTTGCATGAATCTGTGTTTATGCATATTGTGATGTCGATGTTTACCATGATGTCCATGCCTATCGGAACCTTCGAACTGACTCATATTTGCTAAACCTTCGACGTCCGGTGGAATCGTTTCAGCCCATACGCGGCAAATATTGTCTCTACAGGATGTGACTAACATGTTGGAAACGGAACCTCTGCAGAAAGAAAGTTAACGTATGAATTTCCTCCAGAAATCTTCTTAGATCGTAACACGCATCGTACATACTTTGGCATGTATTTGCTAGTCTTGCGCCAAGATAGGTGTGTGACTGCACGTGGATGAGCAACGTAAACAAAACTGTAACTATCGCTGCCTGTAGATTGCGAGACGTTTGTATGATCCACGTTCCTCGTTGAAAATACTGTGAATCAATTTGAACACGATTCTTAATTTCCTTCAAATCCTCGTAACACGATCGATAACAGTCGACAACAGTATCTCATATACGTATGCATGCAGACGTAGATTTAAGTATAGATGCAAATATAGATTATACGTAGACATTGATATAGATACAGTACTATCTATTAAATGTAAGAGGATCCTTACATTGTTTGTTCTCGAACCAAATTTTAACTAATCTATCGTTAAATCCTGTGGTCGCGAACAACGTGCCGTCCGGACTGAAACTCATCAAATGCACCGGCGTGGCTGTGCGACATTTCCAAACGCAATTCCATGCTCCCGGTTCGTTTCCGTTGGTTGAATCTCCAGGCGCAGGACTGTCCGCTTCTCCGCCAATGGAAAAAGTAACCGTGCCAGCTGTAAACAATCATACAATTCGTCGGAATGCGTTCATCGTTTTTAATAAAATCTAAATACAACAGATTTATATACGCAGGGAAAGGTTCTTCTTCCACTCGGAATACTAACGAATATCGTTTCGTACAGGGACGATTATATGCTTTATTCGCGTAACAAATTAAATAGAAATTAACTTTGGAGAACGAATGTTATTGCAGCTTCCATTAAATTAAATTAAAAGAAAATGGAGTAAAAAGTAAAGTAAAGTAAAGTAAAGTAAAGTAAAGTAAAGTAAAGTAAAGTAAAGTAAAGTAAAGTAAAGTAAAGNAGACTTTGATGCGAATGCACGCTGTGCGGTAAACTATGATGCGACGAGACCGTGTGAGCCGTGTGATGTTCGTCGCTGCTATGTTCTTCTTGGCTCATCGATCGAACATTGCTCCCCGACTTTTGCGCGTGTTGCAATCGTACTCCCTTTTCTATGGTAGACAAGGCAATAGCGATTCAATCGAAGAATCAAAAAAATCGAACCGGTATCAAATTCAATAGGATAAAAGAGAAAACGCTCACTCAAGGGACCCTCCTCCTCGGAATCGTGTTCCGCGTGCTCCAAATCCTGTTGTTGCAGTCCCTCCTCCTTTTCTACCACTTTACGGGTCAATTCTTGCAAAATATTTTCTGCTTGCATCGTAAAATGCATTTCCTTGTTGTTCAACCAATGCAGAATAAAATTCGGTTCTCTCTCTGGATCCCCGGTAATCAAACTTGGTACCAACGGTATATCTATAGAATGTGAAAATAGACGAGATAGATTGTTCGCGTGTTTACGTTCTGAAACAAGATCTAGTAACAACTTGACGCGACTGTGACTTACCAGTTTCCGCATTGATACTTGCTGCCAAGTGAAAATGCATCCCCGGATAGTGACCAGCGCCTTGATAATTATTATGGAAATCATGCACAGAATACGTGGAGGGTAAAGTTGGTAATGTTGGAGCCATCACATGTCCCGCCTGATGCTGTTGCTTCGCGTGCCGACGAATATGAAAACACGTTCTACAAAAATAACATACATATAATAACGCATAATATTTGATTGCAATCACGATTTCGATAGCAAGAAATCAAGAATTCGCGTACTTCATGTGCTTCAGTCGTTGCATGAATCTGTGTTTATGCATATTGTGATGTCGATGTTTACCATGATGTCCATGCCTATCGGAACCTTCGAACTGACTCATATTTGCTAAACCTTCGACGTCCGGTGGAATCGTTTCAGCCCATACGCGGCAAATATTGTCTCTACAGGATGTGACTAACATGTTGGAAACGGAACCTCTGCAGAAAGAAAGTTAACGTATGAATTTCCTCCAGAAATCTTCTTAGATCGTAACACGCATCGTACATACTTTGGCATGTATTTGCTAGTCTTGCGCCAAGATAGGTGTGTGACTGCACGTGGATGAGCAACGTAAACAAAACTGTAACTATCGCTGCCTGTAGATTGCGAGACGTTTGTATGATCCACGTTCCTCGTTGAAAATACTGTGAATCAATTTGAACACGATTCTTAATTTCCTTCAAATCCTCGTAACACGATCGATAACAGTCGACAACAGTATCTCATATACGTATGCATGCAGACGTAGATTTAAGTATAGATGCAAATATAGATTATACGTAGACATTGATATAGATACAGTACTATCTATTAAATGTAAGAGGATCCTTACATTGTTTGTTCTCGAACCAAATTTTAACTAATCTATCGTTAAATCCTGTGGTCGCGAACAACGTGCCGTCCGGACTGAAACTCATCAAATGCACCGGCGTGGCTGTGCGACATTTCCAAACGCAATTCCATGCTCCCGGTTCGTTTCCGTTGGTTGAATCTCCAGGCGCAGGACTGTCCGCTTCTCCGCCAATGGAAAAAGTAACCGTGCCAGCTGTAAACAATCATACAATTCGTCGGAATGCGTTCATCGTTTTTAATAAAATCTAAATACAACAGATTTATATACGCAGGGAAAGGTTCTTCTTCCACTCGGAATACTAACGAATATCGTTTCGTACAGGGACGATTATATGCTTTATTCGCGTAACAAATTAAATAGAAATTAACTTTGGAGAACGAATGTTATTGCAGCTTCCATTAAATTAAATTAAAAGAAAATGGAGTAAAAAGTAAAGTAAAGTAAAGTAAAGTAAAGTAAAGTAAAGTAAAGTAAAGTAAAGTAAAAAGTAAAGTAAAGTAAAGTAAAGTAAAGTAAAGTAAAGTAAAGTAAGGTAAAATAAAGTAAAGTAAAGTAAAGTAAAGTAAAGTAAAGTAAAGTAAAGTAAAGTAAAGTAAAGTAAAGTAAAGTAATGTAACGTGAAGTAAATAACGAATTACAAGCGTACAAATATCAAAGGATCAAGCAAGTATGCTTAGTAAATGCTGCGTCCACAGTATGCAGAGGCCAATCGGTTTCCTTTAGTTAGCAAGCAGCGAATAATCTAATTTCAATCGAATCAAAACGCAGCTTAAAATATTTGCGAAACTCGTAATTGGTAAACGCACAGTACCATGTATTTGGATTACTACGTTTGCAATTGAAATTCAGAAAGTTAGCTTTTCCATTTTCGTGCTCGTATCGAAAACAAACTCACTGTCTGGAAGAACGTTCAGAGTATTTTCTTTTCGTCTGGACACAACGGTTTCTCCTGTTTGTGACAAATTCACCTTTGCTGCTGCACACAACGTTACTGTTTTGACTGACGACAAGGATGCTATTACTTCGATCGGAAGCGTCGAAATAACTAACAATACTGATTATTCCGATACCTACGTTACGCGAGACAAAGAATAAACGCTTACATTGCTCTTCCTGGAAGGGGGTTATGTTTTGATGCCATAATTGTAAAAGCTCTCCTCCCGTTAGTAACCTCGTCCCTTCCAAATTCCACGAAAGAGAGCCGATGTTCGATTCGGTTTGTAGACTTCCCGTCTGCACCCATCGGTATTCTAGTTGCTACGGATAAATTAGAAAATGAAAAGAAGCACAGGAGATCTATATAAAATAACGATATACATAAGACTATATAGTACACGTATAAAAGAATCGAGACACACGTGAGAGCAAGTGCTATGAATCAACGGCGTCGGCTCAAAAATGCAAACTTGATTTTCATAGGCTGCCGCTATTTTTCCTGTGTCCGTACTGCAATCCAAGCAGCTGATTCTTATGTAATTGTGCACAGCTCCTGGAATTATTTGAACCCGTTCAAAGTTACTGGCAAGTATCACGATATTGCAGCCTGCCGCGTACGCCTGTATCAGACAATAGATTATGAAGAAAACCGACACAAATGTCATACGTCGTAATATTATTTTAGATATGTAACGATGATAATAAGAACGCGAGATAAGCATCTCGGTGATCGATAAATTAAAAAAGACTACGCAACGAGCGAGATTACGAACTAGCTAGAACGATAAGAAAGTTAAGGGCGCGTTGAGAAATGTTTCACAAATTGTTACTCGATCGTTATCGAATTAACGCAAACGATGCAATGTAAATACTAAAACTCATCGATGGTAAGTTAAACGTTCTCGAAATAACAATAATGATTCGATATGAAGCGTAATCGAACGAAATGTAAGTGGACTTACCGTGAATGAAATCCCCTCGACGGAACCGACGGCGTAACACCGATCTCCCGCATTACAGGCTCCACTTAATATTTGATGACAATTCATTATTCTTTCGTAAAACTAGTTCATTCTTCTGGAACCTGATTCGTGAACCAAAAACGTTGCTCGCGACAGCGACAGTCAACGGTTTTTCACAGCTTTCTTCAGCTATACAGACGTGACGTTCTTCGATCAGCGGCCATCTTTAAATGGATTCCCACGGTCGGACACATTGCTATTGCTGCAAGACTCGTGTGACGTCACTGATCCCAGATACACACGTATCGGTTTACGCGTGTACAACGTGCGCGCGTATGTACGTACTGTTACGTACACATGCACAAGCATACATACGTGCCACAGAGTAGCGGAGGGCAGGTCTCGCAAATGGGATTGGACGATGCCAATGGATTCCAATATTTCCAATGGCAATTTCCAATGGCAGTGTCGCCGTCGCCAGCGCCAACACTGGCCAGCACACTCTGGCCCACCTCCGCCACACCGCGACACACACACACACACAGCACAGCACATTCCATACCACCGCTGACCCCACCACCAGTTTTAATTTTAAAATCTTGTTGGTTTTTTTTTTAACCTAATAAATTAATCTAATCTGGTAGGTACAAATTTAATTGTTCTTTTAAATACGTTCTGTTGCGCAAATATATCGTCTTTATTTTGTTTTATTATCACAATGGAAGTATTAGCAGGTGGGTAACATAACCGTGGTGAAAAAATTTCTTTTTATCGATTTGATGAATCGATTAATATCAATACATGTGACATCCTACGCGTGGCGTACCACGCATCTGCGCGTAGAATATCGAGTTTATTTGAAAAAATTGAAAAATCTAAGAAAGATCGAAATTATTTGGTTCTACGCGTATTTTCATTCGGAGAGTTGACAAAGCATCGCGACTCCTCTCATGACCCAGTGTTCCGATGGTTTTACGGTAGGTAAAGTCATAGCGATCACGAAATTGGTCGAATGTCCTGTAGTCGACAATATTCCGCGTCTCTCGCTGGTCTTGTAGACTGGACAAAGATAGGCGATCTCTTCCCGAACGTCGTCTCTCTTCGCGGGAATCAACCATATCTGTCGATAGAAAGTGCTATTGATGCAACGTCCGATATACTGTACATACGTATGCAAGCGTATATACTCGATGCTTTAGGTACATATCTATCATAGACGAATGCGCGTGGACGTAGGTACACATATACGTATGTACTTACAAGAGGAACATTTTCGTAGAGCACTTTTGAGAAACTTTCCTCCAGGATCATGCGTTCCATGTCGAATCTGGCGCCGTCCAGAAACAATCCGTATACGTAGACACCATCTTCCGGATGAGTGGGAATATCGTTGGGATGGGTCGCCTTCGATACGATGAAATTAAATTCCAGAAGATCTATCGGTATTCGATATTTTCTCGCATAATTTTGTCGACTCCCGGTGAGAAACGCTTGAGTGAAATAAAATCCAGAGATCCAGTAGGTCTTCGGCGGTCCTTCGTCATACCATTTCTGCGAACCGATCCTATATTATAATTTCTAATATTCGCGCACCATCCGTTTCCCACTTCCTCTTTCTTACGCGTAAAAATTCCAAGCGACGCAACAAATCGTGTACGTAACTGCCAAGCGGTTTCAAAGACGGATAAGAATATTGTTTCCATAGCCGAGGTATCTTGCTGGTTAGTATCGCGTCGTAAATATCTTCGAGTTCGAGAGACATCGCGATCAAACCTGTAAATGTGCATGTACTAAGTGGATACGTACCGTATACGTATTCTCACCGTGAGCATATGTACGAAAGCGAACGCGACCTTTAACGGCCCTTTGAATATTCTCCAGACTAATTTTTACGTAGCGGAGGAGTTTGTTGAATCTGCCCATTTCTTGGACCAGGACCGTGTTCATGCTTTGCTGGTAGGACGTTGGATACTTTTCGAGCGCCTGGGCCAGATCAAAATCGGCGGGTAGTCTGTCCGAAATATCGCTCGCGATGCCGCGTACTATTTCGTCGTTCAAAGTTTGTCCGGTACCCGATTTCGTTGTCTCCTGTTGCGAACAAGTGCAAATTCTACTTGAGCAAAGCGTATCTACGTACGTGTACGCGTAATCGGTACGCGTTTTATCCGCGACGCGCGCAGAAACGTTGCCGCGTAGCCTCTACGGGGCTTTGCCTACCTTTTCGGATTCCCAACGATCCTACGAGACCGGCACAAATGCAACAGAACGCAACGCTTTGAAAAGTTGATCGGTCGATGGGGGTAAAAGTAAAGCGCGGCGGTCGGCGCGAATCAATTATTTATCGTGCCAACATTCGGGCATCCGTGCCGTCCGCGTTCGTTCGGATTTTATGCAACGCGTACTCGCATCGTACGCGCGGGTACACAACACGTAGGGTATGCAGCCGTTCGACGGAGCACGGTCCGGACGAACGCGGTCAGCTATCGGAGCGTCGCGAATCTCGAGAAGCGGACACGTAAATACGTGTGGATAGATTTTGCGCGCTTACCACCGCGCGATACCGAAATCGGTTCGAATACGCGGGAAGGTATACGTACCACACGATCCTGTAGACACGGAGTACGAGATGCCGTAACAATCGAGTAGAAAAGAGAGTTAGGGGGGAGAAACGATGAGATAGGGGGGAGCGTAATATCGTGCGCAAAGAAATTTTAGGCAAGGATACCTGGGTGAGTAGCAGCGACGAGAACAGAGTACTCGTTTCCTGTTGATCTTTGATAATGTCGGCGTTTTCGTTCATACCGAAAACGCTCGGTTCAACGATCAGAGGCAAGTTTTTCGTGTATTCGACGAATGCTTCGTGTTCTCGGACGGTTGGACAGTAGTATATGGTCGAGCTCTCGTCGAAGTAGTAAGTCTCGTCGGCGAGTAACTCTCTGAAAGACGATCGAACCGATTAGAGACGACGCGATCCGACCGATTAGAGAAAGATGGCGACGCGGGGAAGGCGTGTAGAGGGTAGAGCACGGAGAACGGAAAAAGAGACCGAAATGAGCTCACTCGCGATAAAATTTCGACAGGATGGTGTTGAGAGTTCTACGATCCCACTCGTCGGTCACTCTGCCGCCGTAATTGCATTCGCCGGTTAAATATTTGATCGCGTCGAATCTGACGTCCGCGAATTCGTTCAGGAATAGATGCAACTGCAAAACGCTGATCCGTAGGTCGGTCTCGTTGAACTCGTACATGATGTTCCAGCCGATGGGGCCGAATTTCCGTCTTTCCTGCACGACAGCGTGGAAAAAGCACAACGAGTAGAGGAGCTTTTTAAAGTATTCGGGCTGAGAACAGGATTCGAAAAAGTCGGGATCGCTCAGCGGATCGTTCGCATAAGATCCGAGGATGTTCGCTCGAAGGCCTTTCGGTGGTTCGTTCGTCATCTTGACGCTGTTTTCCAAAACGGAGGAAGGGAAGTGCTCGGAGGGATAGCTGGTCAGCCATAGTCGGAATTCCGGGTGAATCGTGTCGGGCATCAAGCCCTCGCAGATCTTCTCCAAAGTGGACATCCAGCTGACGGCCAGATGACAGTTTTGAAGAACCACCCAGTTGCCGACCGTCACAGCTTTCTGAATCGTCTCCTCGGCGATAGGACCTTGACCTGTCGAACACGCTCGAGTTCGAGTCGAGGTTGAACGAAATCGCGAATCTACGGACCCTCTGCCGTGTACTCGCCTTGCCCGAGAGAAAGATAAAACAGCCGACTCGCCGAGTATCCTTGCTCGTCCGCGAACGCGAGCAACAACTGTGCAGGATCCGTTCCAGGCGTCAACACGAACACCAACGGAATACAGCTGTTCGAATCGGCGTAAGACGAAGCGAGATCGAACGGCGGCGGATCGACGAACTGCGAACCCAGTTCCGCTGAAACATTCGATTCGATCGTACCGTACCGTACCGTGCCATACCATGCTGCATCATCGAACGACGTTCGGTCGTTCTTGGAAGATCAAAGATTAAGATTTAAACGCGGACCCGTACCTTCGACGAAGATTCGAATCGCTGAAACAATTTTGTCCGGACGAACGCATCTCAGCACCAACAGTCTCTCGAACGAATTCAAGTTGTCGTACGGCTGAGGTATCGGGCTGTTTTGCGGCTCTTTCGAATCGAACAATCCTTTCCATTGCCCCGCGTTGGCCGTGAAACGCGTTCGAATCCCCTGGTCGAGCAACGTTCGAAATGAAAAATTCGATCATCGTCGCCTTTGGCAGCGATCTCCGAAGCTGAACGGAACTCGCTACGGCGAGTTTCCTTCGAACACGAAATACGTACCGCAAAACCGTCTACCGCGTCGAGATTGCACAGTTGGTTCCATTGTTTGGTAGGTAGCCACGTCGTTGGGTTCGCGTGCGGATTGTCGATACCGATTCCGCCGGTCAGAAGAAACATCCATTGCGACGAGGACAACTTGCCGAGTTGTTCGATCAAGTTGATCGTCAATAACAAGGAGAACAGTAGCTTGTCCTTTTCGAACAGAGATCGGCAAACGTTCGCGTAAAGGGAGAAGGTGAAGTGCTTGATCAGATCCAAAATTCGTTGCTCGACCGTTTCAGCCGGTTCCGTGTTATCGATGGCCGTCTCGTACAAATTCACGAACCACGGCAACGAGTATTGGTACATCGGATCCACGTTTGCCAGCATACCTTCGCGACGATACGCGACACGTTGTATCGTACATGTACATGTATACCGTGTTCCGATCGGACATCGCATCGTGCACCGCGCACCGCGCACCGCGCACCGAACGAAACGGTGCGCGGTACGCGCAAGTACGCGATGCGATAGAAACAAATGAATAAAAATGATATACGACGGCGTACCGGTGGTGAAAAAGAGTACGGTCGAGTGTACCGCGATGGCCGTGTACTGCAATCTGGCAGCATCGATCGAAATCTCCGTTTGCTCGGCCGCTGCCTGCTTCGCTTGAATGTCGTCGCTCAAATTCTTGGACGACGTTAAAATTTCGATAGCTTCTTCGTCCTCCAATACGTTTCCTTCGGCTATCGATAGTATTTCCAGGATCTTATCCTCGGTTTCTTGCAAAAGTCTAAATTACATCGCCGAACGACGAGTTTCACGTTTCGAGTTTCGACAGCAACGATATTAAACGGAATTAAACTTATCGGACGAACCTTTTGTTCGCGGCTCCCTGCACGATCAAGGCATTTTTTTCCGATTCCAAATCCGGTCGTTCTTTCGCCACAACGATACCCAACAATTGATCCTCCAATCCGGTCGTCGTTATCATGAAGTTCAATAGCGTAACTTTCACCGCGATCTCCGGTAGGTAATGCGGGTTTCGTAATCTAGTGGTGATGTACAATCTGCGAACGAACCAACGAGAACGCGATTTTTCTTTCAAAAACGATTCGTCGTTTCCAAGATAGAGACTATCGTCCACCGTTTGTCCGTCCGTCGTTTCTCGGCCATCGTACGCAGAGATACGCGTACTTACCTAAAATCGAAATTATATTCAACGATCGCGTCGCCAAATTTTATACAAATCGCTCCGGCCTGTTTGAACGTTTCTCTGAGTAGAACCGGTTCGAGAACGGCGTCTATTTCTTCGCCGACGTGTTCCAAGAGCACCGGCTGACCAAACTGCAACGCGTTCTCCAATACTCGACCGTAATCGGGTTGGCTCGGTCGGATAACGTTTAAATTGTTCTGTCTCTCCATGTTTTTGATCCATCTGTTGGCCTGTCCCTGAGGGTCTATGATCAACGGAAATCTTCTCGCGTTTCTGAGAATAAAATGCATTCGCGAATAAGGATAGACGAATACGACGAGTCGAGAGGACTCGGGACAGACGCGAGGCAAGCAACGAGAGAGAACCATTTCGGAAAACTTACCTCACGATGATAGCATTGTCGATGGAAAACGCGTCGCTCGGTAAACCGAAAATGTTCCAAGATCTTATTAAGACCGGATCTCCCAGAATGTCCCGCAACTGAAAGTCCTGACTGCAAATCACTTCCAAGTCGGTGCAACGTTTGATCCATGCAGCGATCTGTCGGATGCGAAACGTCATCGTGAAAGGCCCCATGTACGCCACCACGCCCGACGCGACGACGACGTCGCCCGTCAAACGGCCGTATCTGTATCGAGTATTCGAATATCATCGAATCGCATACGTATAATCGTACAGAGATAGGAGAATCATAGAAGCGAACGTTCGATGGCGCGAACGCCGCGAACAAGACAACGGGAGCTACCTCTCGCCCAAAGTGCGCGCAGTTTCCGACCAACGGGCGTATTCACCGCCCAAACCTCCGATCAAATCTTCGGCGCGTTTCAATTTGGTTTCGCAGTCGGCCACTTTGTCGGACATGGCTTGGAAAGCCGCCCTCCGTTGTTCCAAAAGCTCTTCCAATACCCTCAACCTTTCCTACGCAACGAAACGAGAATCGAGAATCGAGTTCGCGAACGGTTTCCAGAATATTCTCCGGAAACGTCTCTCGGAAGCTCGACGAACGAACCTGCACTTGGAACAGCTGTTCTCGTTTTTCTTGCAGAGCGCTCGTAGCGCTGTCGTAAACCCGTTGAGCTTCCGCGAGGGCCTTCCTCTTCGGGGCGACCACCTTCGATACTTTGTCGTATTCCGACATCGCGTACACCCATCGGCACAGACCCTCGCACGCCGTCGACACCTTCTTCACCTTCTCGGGATCAAAGTCCGGATTGGTCAGGTATTGCTTACGAATTTTCTCGATCACGCTGTCCGGGATGTTGTCCTTGTCGAAATTCAGCAACGAATCGAGAAACTTTAGATCGCTCAACATTCGCAGCGCCGCCTTCCAATAGTCGTCGATCTGCGTACCGTCGGCTTGTTGAACTCTCATCGGCTTCACTTGCTGCGCGCCGATCGAAGATGGAAACAGAAAAATGTGCAAATTATTCGCGCGGAAACGCGAAAGGGAGAAGGAGGAACGAGAACGCGAACGCGAACGACAACACCTTTAGAACGCAAACGGTCTCGACGACCAGCTTGACTCCGTACGGCGGTTGTTTCATCGCTCTGACCACGGCTATGTCGGCCGTCGTCAACGTGCCCAAGGCCGCTTCGGCGCGTTTTAAAATCGGCATCGCTTCGGCCAAATCGGCGTCGCACTCGGCTTTGATCGCAGCCGCTTCGCTCGCGTAAACCTGCAAGTTTTCAACCACCGCTGGTAAACGAAGGAACTCGAACTCGGAGAAATTCGAAAGGGCGATCGTGTTCCAATCGATTTTCCGATCGATTTTCTATTAACCTGAGCCGAGGCCTCGTCGACTTTTACGATGCTTTCAAAGTCTGCCACCTCTTGTCTTTCCTTGTCCACGTCGAGCAGCATTTTCTGAACGTCTTGCGTCGCGATTATCAATTGCGGTTGCAACGATCTCAGGGTCTCCTGCATCGTTGCAACTTGACGTTGCGTCTCGTCCAACTGATTCAAGCCACCCTCGTATCGAGTTTTCGCCGTGGTTATTGCCCTGCGTATCGTTACGAGTTTCAAGTTTCGAGTCTCCAGTTCTCCACGAATCGTTTTCGAGAGGAAACGGATCACGATCGATCGCGTCCACGTGGATGCGCTCGCGTGGATCGCGTTCGGCTTAAACGGCGTAGATTCGAGAATTACTTACGCGCGCTTCTTTTCCAGCAAATCTTTGAACGTGTTTATCATTTCGAGATAGGACGTCGGGGTGACGTAAACGCGTCTGTTCGATCGAGCGAGAAACTCCGAGCTCAGGACCTCCGTGGACACGTGAAAGTATTGACACATGTCGATTCCAGCGATTCGTTCGCGATCCGTCAAGTCGATGGCCGATAGGAATCTGGTCGCCACCGCCAGCAGAGCGTCCTCCGGCCACGGCTGCGAATCGAGTCGAGAGTGAGTCGAGATTCTAGAATCTAGAGAGTTCGTATTTCCAAGTTCGTACCTGGAGCCAGTCGATGGTGCAACAATTGACCAATGCTGGAAATTTTCTCATTCGATTTCGAAAACTGTTGCCGATCGGAGACATTACCACCACGATGTGAAGCTGATCGCGAACTATCTGAACGAACAGATTGAACAAAGCCACCGCGCTACCGTCCGTCTGCACGGATCGATCCCGTTGTCTGTCTATTTGCTTCATCTGCTCGCATATCTCTGCCAGTTCGTCGGCCACGAATAGGTTCGGTATCTAAACGGATTCGCGTATTCGAGGGGAATGCGCGAGGAGAAAATGAAAAAAGGAAGAGAGTCGTGATTCAACCTCTGGGGTTATTTACCTCGCCGGAATTTAGCATGTTGCTGATATCCTCCAAAAAGCTCTCCTCCTTGATCTGAGCGTCCGTAAAGACGAAGGTCGAGTGCAGCTCGGTACCAGCGACGCGTCTCAAGATTCCTTTGACGTCTTCGTGCCACGCGGCGGTTCCGTACTGTTGACCGACTTCGACTTGAAAGACGTCGTAGTCGCTTATGTGAGACGCCAGTCTGGTCAGCGACTGTCTTCCCGAACCTCCGACTCCCACGAGAAGAGCGTGAGTTCGCGGTTGCTTGATGATACGAGAGATACGAGACAGATGCTCGATCGCGAATCTAACGCGAACACCGCGAACACCATGAAAAAGTTGAAAACGATGAGAACGTTCGATCGAATCGAACGAAATCCGATTCGAAATCGGCGCGTTTCTCGCTACGCCGTCGTACCAACCGAAACAAAACCAAATTCATGGGTTTCCTGCTCATGGAGTTGTACTCGCTCAAGTAAGTTTCCACCGTTTCTCGCAATTGCTCGAGATCGGGAACCTCCTGGTAGAGTCGAGCATCCATTTTCGCGTCCGCGAAATCGCAGAACACCAAATTACGAAGTTCCGCCTCGGTAACGTTCGAGCCGGCGTCCTGCGAAATGCCGAAACGGCGTTAGTCGAGCTCGCCTCGCGCCCATCCTCCTCGACAACCTACCTCTTTCGAGGGTCCGAGCAGGTCCTCGAACAATTCTTCCATAACCACGTCCATACGGTTCTTCAAGGTAACCCGTATCCGTTCCACCAGCCAAGACAGATCTTCCCGATCGATCAATCGATCTCCGAACACTCGAAGCACTTCGTGAACCCAGAGCCTTCTCATGCTGGTTAAAGTTGGCATCGTTTCGGGAACGGACAGCAGTACGCCCTAATTGTAAGAACGAACGCATCGCTTCGCATCGCTTCGCATCGCCGATCGGCGGATCCGAGCGACGAAAAATTAATCGCGCTCGACTAATTTCTACCCACGGACCTGTATCACTCTGGAAAAATCTCGAAGATTGAACACGTAATGAGACTTCATGGGCGTCGGCAACAGATTGGAAACGCTTTGCTTGTACACGTCCAAAGTGGCCAGGACAATTTCCTCGATGCACGGATCGAATTCCTTGCTGAAACCCCTGAAATAGGCGATCGTAAAAGGATCGTAAAGGTTCGCGCGAAGGGGGTCGAAGTTCGAAAGCAGCCGAGCGGAGCGAGCGACACGACGCACCTCGTGTCGAGATGCCAGAGAACGATCTTGCTAAATATCATCGTCATTACGTTGTCCTCGAATTCCGATATCGTTAAAACGACGAAATGCCGCTTGAATCGAGGCGTAACGTCCTTCCCGCCTTGGACCGGCGGAGCCATGGCGCACATCAGCTGAACGTCGATCAGTTTGATCATCGTTCTGTCGCGTCTGTCGTACCTGCAACGAATTCGAAGATACTCGCGTCGGTCTTACCGCCAGAATCGCCGTAGAATTCTCTGGTCTAGAATGAAATGTTCGATATACCACTCCCCCTGGTCCAGCCACTGCCGCAGCAGCTCGATGGGAGGCTGCGCGCCGTAAACTTCCGTCGCGGGCATCGAAAGATCGTCGACGAACACGATCCAACGTTTACCTATCGGTGCGCCGTAAACGCCTTTTCTCCTCCTATCGAGCTTTCCCATGATGGCGTCTTGGGTCTGGTTCGTCGTAGTTTGCGCGGAGAAGTTTACGATCAGCGGCTTGTTCACCGCGGGATTGTTCTTTTTCAGCAGAAAGTCGATCACGTAGACGGACTTTCCCGTCCCGGTCGGACCTACGAACAACACCGGTTTCCGTTTCTCCACCAACATTCGGAACAAAGCCGTGTATCGTACAGTTTCCACCGTCGGCACTATTATCTGGTTCACGGGAATGTCGCGTGGAATCGCCGGTCCGTCCAATAATTCGTCGGCCCACAATCTCCATCTTCCCTTACCCTGAAACGAACGCGATTTCTCCTCGCTACCGTTACCACCGCCGCGCCACCGCTGCCGTCGAACATATTTCCCTACCTCTTTGATGAACCTGTAATCGAACACCAGTCCGTCCCGTGGCATCACGAATATGTACGGCTTCGAAGGAGGCTCTATCGGTTTCGTCAATCCAAACGTTTCCATCAGGTTCGAGGGGAAGTCTTTCTCGAGGAAACCACGGAAAAGAACGCTGAACGATTCTCTGTGCTTTCCCGCCATCGTTCCTCCCAGAGCCCAGATACAGGAGAAGAAAAACGAGCCCTGGAAACGTTTCGAGATTATTTAGGTGTTCGACGGTGTCGCTGATCGGTGTCGCTGATCGCTGATCGCGACGACGATGCGACGCGATTCGACCTCGACTTGGGCTCGAAGATTCAGTTCGTCCATGTCCTTGGCTACTTTCTCGTCTCGGTATTCGTCGATGAAACAATCCATCAAGTAGGTTAGGCTACGCACGAGATTCGCGTTCGGCATCGGGCATATTTCCTGTTGGAAAACGGAGATACGATCGAGGCTTTGGAAAACGTAGGAAACGTATTGTTCGGAGAAACCGAACGTCGAAATAACCTGAACGTCGCTGTGTCGCAACCAATGGAGGATGGGATCGCAAAATCTTCGGAAAAGCGATCGGTACAGAAAGTTTTTGAACCATTCGTCCATCACCGGCGGAGCGCTGGCTATCCACGATCGTAGAAACGGCTCCCAGCCCAACGCTCCCGGTTCCATGTAGATCATGCCTGGACCGGATACATATATCGTCGAGTCGAACAAGTATAAAGAGAGGGAGAGAGAGAGAGAGAGAAAGCGTCGTACCGCATCGGGAGACGGTGGCTGGCGAGGCCACCTCCAAGTCCATCGTTTCGAATATCAGATTGGTGGACGGAGCCAATTGAACGATCTCCCCGCTCATCAAGCAAAGCTTCTTGTTGTCGTCGAGCACCGTGTTCATGCTTTCGATCCATATCGCGTCGATGGGACCGTCGAAGATCAACCACTTGCGATCCTCGGTGGTCGAGGTGGCGAAAGCGCGATAACCGATGGCCAGAATACCGTCGGTCCATTCGTGAGAAATTGGGTCGAATTGCCCGTACAGTTGACCCAACGTTACGGCTTTCGGATTGATCACGAACGTATCCACCCGGCGCTCGTCCATCAGGTTCTGCGAAACGACCGATCGATCCGAATCGTGTTGGATACGCTGGGAACGAACGATGGGAAACCTACTCGCTCTTCGCACAGCTTCAACGCCTCCGCCAGAACTTTGTAGGCCGAAGTTTTTCCTCCGAACGCCAGCCCGACGATCATGAATCCGTGCCTGACGATCATCATTTCGTATATCTGTTGGATCTTCTCCAAGAAGACGGGCGTGCATAGGAGATTCGATGCCGCGCAGGCATCCCGAGCGCAGGCGTTCAAATCGGTGTAGTCCGACTCCGGGAGGACAACGCCGGGAAAAAGATCGGACATTATGCCCTGTGGAAACGGAAACGGAAACGGAAACGGAAACGAAATAGAATCGATCGCGTTGGCAAAGATTCTCGTCGTCGCTTCGCTCGCGCCACGTGGACGTTGAAATTTCTCGAACTACTAATTACGTACGTTGAACAGCGGTAAATCTTCGGTCAAGAATTTTGGCAAGTTGACGTCTTTGATACTGCGCAGCACGATCATTTCCTCGTCTTGGTCGGGATACTTGATCTTGAGATTGCCAGCCGCTACGAGAACCGATTTCACCGCCCTCATTCCGTAATCGTAATGATTTTGGCTCGACAATTGTTCGGAACAAAGTCTATACGTGGTCACGATTTTCACCGACAGCGGCCGTGCGTTGTAGAACCCGTAAGAGTAGAGCGTGTTCTCGCCTATCAAAGCATAATCGGGAACCTGAAAAAAATCGCGTTATCCGGTATCGTCGTAGTAACGACCCCGTTTAACCTAATTTCATCGATTTAACCAATTTCACTAATTTATCCGTCATTTTTAACCGGCGAAGTTGGACGAAGTTGGACCAAGTTGGACGATGCCGGACGAAGCTGGACGATGCTAGCTAATGAAACTAACGAAAAAAATGTTCCATTTCTCCCGTACCCCGGCGTACCCCGGCGTACCCCGGCGTACCCCGGCGTACCCCGTCCGTACGCCGTCGTAGTTTATCCAGATTCTTCCAACTCCGACCGGCTGTATCGACGCAACGGTCGCGTTTCACCGACCATCATAGCAACCGGTCGAAACAACGCCTTCAAGTTATCCGGAAGTTCGCTTCTGCCAGCGTAACCAGGATTCATCGTGATGAATACGGCACACGTGGGGTCCAACTTGATCTCGGTGCCTTCGAACAGAAGCGATTCGTTCCCGCTGTTGATGGCTCGCTGGATCGTAAGGATTTGCTGGGCCACGACCGACAATACTTCCAGATCGATACGATTGAATTCGTCGAAGCAGGACCATGCTCCCGAGCTCGCCAGTCCCTAACAATTTCGTTCTCGTTACGATCGAAGCTAAATAAATGGTAAACGAAGTTGAAGTTGAAGTTGAAATTGAAATTGAAATATTGGAAGCGGAAACGGGGACGCGGTGCCAGGGACGGGAAATATTTGGCACCTTGAAGAACTTGCCCAACGCGATGTAATCGAGACCGTCGGAGCAATTGAAGACGACGCACTGCTTGGCCACGGCTTTCGCCAAATCCTTGGTGGTCTCGGTTTTACCGGTTCCGGCGGGACCCTCGGGCGCCCCGCCGAGGTTTAAACTCAACGCGCCGAACAAGGTTCTGTAGCATCTGTCGGTTAGCGGCGTTATCACGAGCCTCGACGTGTTGCCCAAATATTCGTACGCGTATCTCAGCGACGTATTGATCATGGTCGCGTACAAGTTTTCCTCCTGCGGAGCAACGAAACGCGGGCTTAAATTCGAATCTCGAATTTAGCGGCGGGTTCTTTTGGCGCAACGATTTCTCGCTTTACCGTCCAATAATATCGCAGCTGAGCCAACCACGCGAAACTCGTTGGATCGTCGACGCGTTGTTCGGACAACGAGCTCACCAGGTCTCGGCCGTGAACGTCCAACGTAACCAGCGCTTCTGCGACACGAGGAAACAAGGAAATGCGACTCGACGTCTCTTTATCCGTCGCTCGCGTAAGTTGTTGCGTACCTAAAGTTGTGCGATTCTGTACCGATAGCTTGCGACGGACCAGGTCCACGATTTCGTGCAACTCGCGCGTACAGACGTCGACGTAATTTTCCAAGCTGGTCGAAGATTGCGAGAGCGCCTTCGTTACGTCGGCGGTCCAATAAAGTTTGCTGACGCACAGGATGGTCTGTCCGGGCCAGCGCAGGGCCCATCGCGATCGAACTTCTTTCGAATACCCGTCCTTGGCGTTGATCACCTGCGACGCGCGAATTCGATGCTTTCTTACTTACAGCTCGCTCGGATGGAGGAGACAAAAATTGATAGTCGGCGAACGACGCTAGAATCTACGTCGGAATATGGGAAAAATCGAGTTCACCTGTGCTCTGACGCTCGTTTTCATAGAAATTTCAAGCTCGAGCAACCATATTTCCACCTGACCTCGAGCCGCTTCGGTCGAAACGATCTTCTCGAGAATAATTTCCTCTCCCTCGGACGATTTCATCGCGGTAACGTCCATGTCGAAAGTGAAACTCAGTCGCGCGATACCTTCGAAACATTTCTTCAAATGCGGTTGCACTCTGTAACGCGATCGAAACGAAAGTCGAGAAAAAATAGCCGGGCCGAGGTTGCGAACGAATTCTCGCTCGAACATCAAAATTCTTACCTCGTGGGATCTTTCGTTTCCGACAATATTTCTAAAAGTTCGTCGTTCGATAAGAAGAAGAATCGTGGGAAGTACAACCTTTTCTTCTCCAGGTACGCGGCCAATCCCTTTTGTATCAGATCGAGCAAGTTGGTGCACTTCTTCAAACGTTCGAGCATCTTATCTATTCCGATCACCGACATCGCTCGAGGATCGGCCGACACTAGCTGCATAATTTCTCTCCAGATCTGTACGGTTACACGGAGATAGGTTAGGTTGCACGGTCGTTGTCCGATATCGTTCGCGACGCGCGCGAACCGGAGATTCGACGAATCGACGTGAGACGCGACCGACGACGGAAACGAGAGACACGTACTTTGTCGACGGCGCTGAATCGGCGACCTTCTTCCGGCATTTGTTTCTGAATGTCGGCCGACGAGAATATCGGTTCGAGATACATCCACGTCGCCTGGACCTGTAGCCAATAATCCATAACGTCCAGCAGCAAAAGTAATTTGGACTCCCATTCTCTGCAGGGTCGCGACGAAGAGTCGATCGGCGAAAAATAGAAACGAACGCGCGAGAATAAGAAGGAATAAGAACGAATAAGTGAGAGAGAGAGAGAGAGAGAGAGAATAAGAAAGAGAGGAGAGGGGAGGAGAGAAACGGAAGAACGGGCGGATATACTTACAGCGTCTCCTTTTCGAACGGTCGAATGTAAAGGGAATTTTTCATGGTTTGAGCTTTGGTCAAGTGATCGTCCAGAAGCAATTGTATATCGTCGACGCTAGCGATCACGTATGTACCGGTATCTCGATACGGGTTCACCGTGAACGCGACGTCTTCCCAATCTTGATGCATTCGTAGAAGGGCTTTCTCCAAGCTGCCTTCCTTCGTGGACGCTTCCGCTATTCCTTCGAACTTCGACACGTAATCCAACAAGCCGTAGTCGAGAATCTGTGGCCAACGACGAGAACATCCGTGTACGTTTTCTCGTGGAAATCGCGCCGTCGAACCCGGAAACGAGACGAAACGAGACGAGACGAGACGCGAACTCTTACCTTGGCCAGCGTCATCGATTGATCGACCTTTATCGGAAAACCAACGATTTCCGAAACTTGCTCCCAGTGACGACTCTTCATCGACGGATTTCCTAGGGTAGTTATTATAGGCATGTGCTGTTGAAAATCTTCGACGCGCGTCCGAATCGTCTCGGCGAGTTTCTTCGCGATCGGCTCTCGAATGGATCGTTCCAGTTTATAGATCGTACGGTAAGCGAGCCCCGTAGCCGTCTCGATTTCCTCGGGATCGTGGCTGCCCACCATGGAGTTCATCCACGCGTCGCAATTGGTCAAGAACTCGCAGCCGGCGTCGTACAGTTTTTTGTACGGCGTTAATCCGTCCGCGGTCTGGAACATCGCGTAGCATCGTGATTTTTGCGTTCGCGAAATTACCACGAAATCCGACCCGATCTCACCTCTTTCCGCAACGGATACTGCGACAGCTCCCAACCAAATAATTCTTCTTCCTCGTTGAACCCGTCGATCGTGTTCATCGCGGCGATCAACTTGTTTTCCAGGCGATCGGCCTTCTTTTTGTACCGATAGATTTCCTCTATGTTTCCCCAATACTGCAATTCGTTCGAATGCTTCGCGTAAACCTGGAGCTCCCGCTCGAATTGCTCGATTCTTTTTCGCAGACTCTTCTGATATTCTCCGGTTTTGCTCGCTACTATTTCTCTGTGCTGCTCGAACACCTCGGGAAGCTTGTGGTACCTTGTCGCGAAACGAGCGTACATGAAAAATACGTCGTTGTGGTCGCGATCCGTCGAATACTCGAACGTGCAGCGAGTCGCGGGCTAAATCGTGCGGTGCGCAAAGAAGAAAAAGAAGAAACAAGGATACGTTTCGCTGGACAAAAACACGATCTGTCCCGATACTTTCTTATCGCGCGAAGCGATTTTCTTTAGACCGTATAAACTACGACGTACGAGAGACGCGCGACGTTCGACCGGTTGCTCCTCTTACGTACCATTGAAAAGGAAAATTGTTGGTTTTCAGTTCCACGGGAGTCAAGACCGAATAATCGGATAGAAAATTGATGTATTCGACGATTTCCTGCAAACGATCTTTCAATCGAATCGCAGTCTCCGTTTCGGAGGTGTGGATAAATTCTTTAAGTTCTATCAATTCCATCGTATTTGCCGGCACGCTGAGCGCTCGATCCACGATGCGTTGATAGGCGTCTCCTATGCTGGACACGGGTAGACGATAATAAATGGATATAGATACATGTATAGGTATCGCGATAGGATATCGAAAAATCGTCGATAGATTCGCGATCGCTTACGCCCGAGATCTTTGTTGATAGTCGACGATCATTTTCGCCACTAGGTCTTCTTTGCACCTCCGAGCTACGGAGGTGATATGATCGATGAGCTGTCCTCTGTGTACCACGAAGAATTTATCGAAGCCGGTTCGATCGAATTCTACCGGTATTTGCCGAGACAGGCGATCGTAGTGTACGACCAGGGCTCGATAACGTTCGAAATCTTGAGCCGAATCTCCGTTTAAAACCTGACCAACTTTCTCGGCGTCGACGTCGGTCAATAAACTCTTGTATTTCTCGAATTCCTTTATCTGCGATTCGGGGCCAGTTCTTCCTTCGTCGATCAGCCGCGCGATTTCCTCGGCGCATCGTTCCGTGTATTCTTCCGAGATTCCGGGCTACGGCGACGAAAAGGAAAGAGAGTAAGGGGAACGGATCGTCGACGATACCACGTCCCCGTCCGATACGTACCTCGAGCAACGTTCGAGGAAACTCGATGGACGAGTCGACGATCTTCGTCAGCAGAGTCTCGACGCGCGGCAACGCGTTTATCGCTTCCCGCAGCTCTTGCAGCAACGTCGACAACGCTTCGGCGTAAGCTTCGAACGTTGGTTCGAACGCGACGATCGCGTTCCTTACCGTCAGCTTTATATCGAACCCGTAGCATGTACTCTGCGTTGGATCACGATTACGAAATACGTCGATCGCGCGAATATACGTATATACGTATACGTCTACACCGAACGCATACTCACGCCTGCCTTCGAAATATAGTCGATGTACCGGTCCATCGACCTCGACCAAAGCTCGCGCAACTGATCCGCCATGATGAAAGCGACGCAATTCAAAAGTCGCTCGCATCTCGAAACATCGCTGCGCAAAGGTAACTCGTTCCTCTCGTAAGCCTAAATACGTACAAGCGGAAAATGAATTTATCATCGTTGTCGTTATCGTTGTTTTTATCGTACCGGAGCAAGAAAATACCGTTAACAATATGGCTTGAATTTTCGGCAACCAATGTTTTAAAAGATCTTCCCTCGTCTTGCGACACATTTTCAGGACGATTTCTTCGAAGTTGCCGAGATCGTACGACGTACCCCGCGACATCAGTTCGCTTTGGTCTATCAGGCTTCTACGACCGAATTCTCGGTACCAAAAATCGACGATTCGTCGTACGGCCGGGCAATAGAGGACGATCGATTTCTCGATTCTCGTTCTGTTCCATCGATAGCCGTTCGTCGAACAACGCCCTTCCGATTCTCGACTTCTCTCGACCTGCTCCCCCGCTCCGACCACGGTCGACTGCAAAAGTCGTACGCGTGAATCCATGCGCGTATCGTAGGGAAACAAACGAAGGAGACCGAACCTAACGGAGCAAAATGGCGCGCACCTTATCCGAGATCGAAATATCCGACGAACTCGCGATCACGTATTCCACGACCGCTCTCTTCACGTCCAACACGTATCGCTGTTTTACTTCTTTTACCAAGCGGGACACCAACTCCTGAAACTTGTTTCGCCATCCGACAGGAACCATGGCCAAGATGCGATCCAAAAGATCGGCGTCCATCGAACCGACGTAAACATCCTCGATTCCGCGAGTCACGTAATAATAGTAACGTAAAATATCTTTATCCGTGTCCGTGACCGTGATCGAACGGTCGCTTTTAACCCCCCTGTCTTTCGATTCGCATTCGTCGTCGTCGTCGTCGTCGTCGCCGCATTCGACCGCTCCACGGCCGTAACACGGTTCTTCTTCGCCTCTCTTTTCGTCTCTTTTTCGTAGAATTTCCACGAGTTGCTCGCGAAAATGTTCCCTCTTCTCGCAAAGCGCCAAATACTTTTTCATATTCGAAAGTCGATCGACTCCCCCTATCGTCTCTGCGAATACCGTTCCAATCGTCGTCCGTACGCGTACGAAGGAGACACGGGCGTACGATTCGAAACGTTCGACCTCGACGAATTAGCCGTCGTTTTCGACAACGCGACACAAACAATTTCCAAACGTACGTATTTTGAAAATCGATTCGATCAACTTTCTCCACGGTCCACGGCCGACCAACGGCGCGAGAAACCCCGCTTACGTCGTACAAACGAGACGCTTTTACGACCACCGCTTGTTCGTCCATCGATCCAGGATACAACGCGTAACTTTCCATGGCAACCGCGTTCCGTATTTCCGCTCTCGATATTCGATACGGTATTCGAATCGTATTCGCGCGATCGTTCGACGGTGAAAAATCGCGAAAAAATCTCTAGCATTTGTAGAAATTTATAACCGTACCACGTGTACATACGTACGCGCGTACACACGTATATGGAATACCGAAACGCAGGACAAATCGACAATTGGTTATTTTTATTAGGTTTATCGTCGTTTTCGTACATCGAAAATCTATTCGCGCACGGACGCGCGTAAACATACGTACACACATGCATACATACATACGTGCGCATACGCGCGGATACGTACGATTCGCGTGTATTCCGCACTTATTTTTATTAAACGGACAGACGCGTGCCAACGATACGCTCGGTGCGTCCGCGCGTGTACCGCGGACGCTCGTTTCTTTCTATGCGCGTATACGCGCGCACGCGCGCGCTAAAATACACGCGATACATCTATTACCTCGCGAACTCTTTTCGTTTCCGTTACCGTGTTCGCGACAGTAGCCTATTCGGTGAAGGTACACGAGTACACGCGTACGTACAATAATTCGTTTGGTCGATAGTTCGAGAAAGAAATTGATCGATGGATATAGAATTTCAACGAGAACGTGAAAAGAATTCGTATCGTTAGGACGCAAATATCTTACAGATACATATATTTTGTATACCCGAACGCGCGTAGAATATCGTTTGATTGTCATTCGATCGATTTCTTTGCTTCTTGATCCCACTTCGAGTCTTGTACGATAAATTTTCATTACGACATTTTGCCGTTTCTTTCTTTCGTTTCTTTCTGCACGGACACGATGCATTTACATATCCACATATAATGTACGTATACCGACTCATGCGACGATCTAATCTCTTTCTCTCTCTCTCTCTCTCTCTCTCTCTCTCTCTCTCTCTCTCTCTCTCCCTCTCTCTCTCTCTCTCTCTCTCTCTCTCTCTCTCTCTCTCTCTCTCTATACATATATAAATATACATATATGTAGTTCCTGCTTTTCACGATCAGGATAGAGCAGCGGCTGTGTATCATTTTCTTCGATCGCGTAGAAAACGATTCGCGATCGATCTATAATCGGCTCCACGATGCATTTGAGGTGGAGAGGCCTATAAATATCGACGTTTCCCGTGACAATTTCATCGGTACTTTTGTATTATTAAGAGGAGAAGCGGAATATCGACGAAATCAACCGAATAATTTCAAAGAGGCGAGGGGAAAGAAAGCAACGATACAGCTTGTTCTTCTGGATAAAATGATATTTAGCGCGAAGAGAGCGTTTCGATGTAGAGCCGAAGCTGCGTCTACGCGCATACATCTCCCGTTGCGGTAATCCACGCAACGAGCAATAGCTTGCGACAACGTGTACACGCGTACACGTGTACGTATACGTATACAGAGTTGTAACGTAACGTTCGTTACACGAATGGATTACGGACAACGGTAACAGGAGAGAGTCGGTAACAAACGTAGACGCATCTTGAAACGCATCACCGCGTACATATCGAATCTTTTCGAACAAACTTTCATCGCGTATACCGTATCGCGTGTCCGTTCGAAGTAAAAAGCGGGATACGATAAAGTAAAAACATGCGCGACAAACGATAACGTCGAACGAGCGAACGTCGATGCCGTATTCGAATGCCCGACGCGTCGAACGTCGTCGCATCCGATCGTGCTTTTCGCCGAATCGTTGCATCGATCGAGTTCGCAGCGTACGTACCGCAATGTACGATACTCCGGAAGGCAGCGACCGACTAAGGTCTTGTGAAACGATGCCGGTACGATGTCCAGGCGAATAATTCTACGAAAAGAACAGATACACTGATAGTACACATTTCGCATCTTCGCTACTACACGTATATGTATCCATGTATAAACACGTATGTCTGTGTCTATTTCTATGGTACGTCCATGTCCATGTCCATGTCCGTGTCGCTGTCTTTACGCGTTTCAACGTGCAAAATATCGTTTTTTACCACTTATCGTTAACACGAATACGTAGAATAGAACTTGTTAGAATATCGCGCGTCTCTTATTATCCATTGTGCGCGCGACGTTGCGTCTACTATTTCGCGCGAAAACGTATGAAATTCTCGTCGACGAGCAAATTCTGCGACGTTTCTCTTCCGCCGCGTTCGACCGTCGCTCGACGGTTTACACCGTAGAATCGGATAACGCGAGACGCGAGAGAACACCAACGATCGAGTATATCGAGATCGATGAAAGCAACTCGATCGTATCAGACGGATAGGGCAGCTAAATCGGTACTCGTCTATTCGAAAATATGGAAGGTCGATGAAACGAGCGAGCACCGTGNCTCTCTCTCTCTCTCTCTCTCTCTCTCTCTCTCTCTATACATATATAAATATACATATATGTAGTTCCTGCTTTTCACGATCAGGATAGAGCAGCGGCTGTGTATCATTTTCTTCGATCGCGTAGAAAACGATTCGCGATCGATCTATAATCGGCTCCACGATGCATTTGAGGTGGAGAGGCCTATAAATATCGACGTTTCCCGTGACAATTTCATCGGTACTTTTGTATTATTAAGAGGAGAAGCGGAATATCGACGAAATCAACCGAATAATTTCAAAGAGGCGAGGGGAAAGAAAGCAACGATACAGCTTGTTCTTCTGGATAAAATGATATTTAGCGCGAAGAGAGCGTTTCGATGTAGAGCCGAAGCTGCGTCTACGCGCATACATCTCCCGTTGCGGTAATCCACGCAACGAGCAATAGCTTGCGACAACGTGTACACGCGTACACGTGTACGTATACGTATACAGAGTTGTAACGTAACGTTCGTTACACGAATGGATTACGGACAACGGTAACAGGAGAGAGTCGGTAACAAACGTAGACGCATCTTGAAACGCATCACCGCGTACATATCGAATCTTTTCGAACAAACTTTCATCGCGTATACCGTATCGCGTGTCCGTTCGAAGTAAAAAGCGGGATACGATAAAGTAAAAACATGCGCGACAAACGATAACGTCGAACGAGCGAACGTCGATGCCGTATTCGAATGCCCGACGCGTCGAACGTCGTCGCATCCGATCGTGCTTTTCGCCGAATCGTTGCATCGATCGAGTTCGCAGCGTACGTACCGCAATGTACGATACTCCGGAAGGCAGCGACCGACTAAGGTCTTGTGAAACGATGCCGGTACGATGTCCAGGCGAATAATTCTACGAAAAGAACAGATACACTGATAGTACACATTTCGCATCTTCGCTACTACACGTATATGTATCCATGTATAAACACGTATGTCTGTGTCTATTTCTATGGTACGTCCATGTCCATGTCCATGTCCGTGTCGCTGTCTTTACGCGTTTCAACGTGCAAAATATCGTTTTTTACCACTTATCGTTAACACGAATACGTAGAATAGAACTTGTTAGAATATCGCGCGTCTCTTATTATCCATTGTGCGCGCGACGTTGCGTCTACTATTTCGCGCGAAAACGTATGAAATTCTCGTCGACGAGCAAATTCTGCGACGTTTCTCTTCCGCCGCGTTCGACCGTCGCTCGACGGTTTACACCGTAGAATCGGATAACGCGAGACGCGAGAGAACACCAACGATCGAGTATATCGAGATCGATGAAAGCAACTCGATCGTATCAGACGGATAGGGCAGCTAAATCGGTACTCGTCTATTCGAAAATATGGAAGGTCGATGAAACGAGCGAGCACCGTGAACACCGATGAATTTTCAATGAGAAGCGTGGGTACTCGATTACGCATGCTGGATGATTTCACAGATTCCCTGTCTCTACCAGCGCCGTCTAAAACTACGAGCACAACTACGACTACAGCTACGAGTTACGCTACGGCTACGACTACGGCTACGACTACGGCTACGACTACGGCTCTACGGCTACAAAGACGATGTCAGGGAAATTAAACGATGCGTGTCTACGCGCGTTACTCGCTCAGCAACATCGATTTCTTACAACGCTTCGTCGATCGTCGCGACTCGCGACTACGATGCTACGTGTCGTATGCATTTTCGCGACTCGAAAGAAAACACGGTTCGCAACCGATCCGTGTTCACGATGTTACAGCGATACGATCTCGTCGAGTATCCTGCGTGCAACGTTCGCAGAATCAAACGTGCTTATCGATTATTCGTTTATTCGTACTTGAAAACGTGCAAGCTCTATATTTACCGATCGATCGAAAACCCGTCCACGGGTACGCCGTACCGTAGCCTTCGGTTTCTTTAATTGTCCGACCAAACGTTTTCCGTCGTGTCCCCGCCATTCGCCTCTTCGATCTATGTACTCCGCGTCGCTTTCGTTTCAAATACCGCGCATTCCCGAGAAAACGTAGCTACAACGTATAAATTCGATCGTTCGTTGTCTCGGGTCGATTCGATTCGATCCGATCCGATCCGTTCCAATCCGTCCTCCATGGATGAAGCTGTACGTACGCGAGACTCGCGTAGTTCATCGTACGATCGTGTCGGGGTACGAGTCTCGTCGACGAGAGCGATGCAAAGCTACGATATCGGGAGATGCGGTGACGGGTGATATTTGCGTAGAGTCGAGCATGGGACAACTACACTTTGAAACACCCTACGATTTACCATTGCTGTTCAAGCACGGGCAGAGCGCGTTCAGTATTCGGTTGCAGAATCCACGTGCACGATGGTTCCAGCCAGCGATACCGTCGGTACCTTTCAGTCCGGATCCTGCGCAAACGCATAACACAATTTTTAATTTTTCGCTAGCTCTCCTTCGCGTTCCTACGAAACGCGTCGAATCTTTGCTCCACACACTTCCCGTATCTTATCCTCGTAATTCCTTCGAAAGCGTCGAATCGAAAATAACGAAAACAACGAAAACGATCGTTTCGAACGTTGCGCTTACCTTCGTGGACGCCGCTTCCCTGAAACACGAAGCAGAATGAAACGATCGACGGAATACGACGACAAATACCGCTAGCATCGCCCGTATCGTACTTTCGAGATCGTTTACCTCCGAGTAGAGTTTCCTTTTCGATGCTTCCGTGGACGCTGTTTCTATAACGCCCTTGACGAACTCCGACGTTCCCTTCATAAGTTCCTCGTCGTCTTTAAAAGCGTCTTTCTTCTGATCCAACGTTCCGGTAGACAACATTTTCTCCCGTTCCTCGATGCTCCATTTGTTCGTAGCCCCTTCGGTCATCGTTAACGTCGATTCGATTCGATTCGATTCGAATCACACGATTTCGATGCAACGATTATCCGTCGCGTACGACGGAAACGCGTTTAGATCTCGACGAATCCGCCAACGGGCATCGTTCCCCGGACTAATTTTAATTTATCGAGGAAAAGTCGCAACTATGGAACAACGCAGACTCTCTTCTTCTTCTTCTTCTTCTTCTTCTTCTTCTTCTTCTTCTTCTTCCGTTACAATTCCTCTTTTCCCACCTCTCGTTCTATATTCCTCATTTCTTCGCTTTCTTCTCGCTTCGGTTCTTCTCCTTCTTCTTTTCAGAGTGAAACCCCACGGCTCGAAATTACTACAAATACCAATCGCAATCAGCAATCAGCGCCAACAGCGATCGCTATCGTTGGCGGTTGTATCGATGGCGACAACGATAGCGGTAGGCGGTTGTTGCAGCAGCCGCTGTCTGTACGCGGCTACTACTATTTCTTACCGTGTCGAATTTTTATGGTCGTTTCTACGAGATGCGTGAGCGCGCTGATCGTAAATACGAACGAAGCTTTACGAGATTTACCATTTTCGCGCTCGTATCGTAGCTTCGCGAAAAACCGTCGGCTTCTCTTTCCATAAAACGAGATTTACTTTTCGGCCGACTCTACTCTTCTTCGTCGAGCAACAAAGTACACGGAGAATCGACGCGCAACGATCGTCGACGCTCCCTTTGATCGGGAACGGCTATTTCGCGTTAACGGCATTGAAAATATAGAAAACGGAAGGTTCGCTTACTCGTTTCGGCAGAAATTCGAGAACGATGGGGCGGTTGACCTTTCGGGCGTAGATATCGAGCTACAGGTGGTGCGCATTCGTTTTACAGCGATGCCCGGATCCCCTCTATCCGACGTCGGTACGCATCCAGATGGTCGCCACCCGCCGCCTCTCTCGTCGGATATCGCGTTCAGCCGGCCATAACTCTACCTGTCGAATATTCTTTAGTTCGCGCATCGAACGTTCGGAACCTCGACGTTCGATCGAATTTTAATTACGTACTTTCGATCGAACCGACTTCCAACGATTCTATCGCGATGATTTTCAAACGGATCCCCTCGTCCCTCGACAACTTCTTTCCTCGACCGTTGCGTGTGTACGCGTGTACCGATGCCGTGTGTCACTCTCTCTTTCACTCTCTCTCTCTCTCTCTCTCACTCGCACAAACACGTCTCTCGTTACCGTTTAATTCGATCGATCGTTCGAATCACCGATGCTGCTTACTTTCACGGAACGCGATACCGTAAGACTCGCTAATAGCAATCGATACACCTGTTCCATATCGTAGTTCGCGATTCGCGATACGTCCGATCACCGATTCATCCTCGTAACGACCGAACGACGGTCTGCCAGGTTCGCTTCGTCGAAGAAATCACCCTGGGAAAATGCTTCGGAGCATGCGTCGTGTTCTCGTGTTCCTTCGTGTTCGCGTTTCGTATTCACCCTTCGCGCTACGTACTTCCACCGCTCGTCCACTCGTAAGCGCGCGATCTACACGCGTATCGTGCATACGTATAACCTTTTCTTCGCTACGCTGTTCCAATTTTTTTCCATGTCTTTCGTCGGCCGTTCGTTTTTACCGCGCGCAATTCTTATCGAGTCACGATCGTTGCTCTTCGCCTTTGCCGTCGCTCTCTCTCTCTCTCCCTCCCTCTCTCTCTCTCTCTCTCTCTCTCTCTCTCTCTCTCTCTCTCTCTCTCTCTCTCGTATTCCAAGTATGTATCCAGCCTTCGTATCCCGGACGTTCCGCGCGTTTCTTTTTCGAACGAACGAGTACGGAAAACGCGATGCAAGCGTATCCGTACGGTTGAAATTCGAAATCGAGATGGTACGCCGGTGAAAACCGAGCTACCGAAGAAACGGAGACCGAGCTACGGAGACCGACGGAGAGAATTCTAAACATAGCAGCGCACGATCGATCGTGGATGGATCTTAATAATTGCGTCCGTTTAAAAACCATACCGAGACAGCCGTTTTCCGTTTTCCGTTTTCCGTTTTCCGCGATGAAACGTAACAAGACGAATTTTAGCAATGCGCGTGTTCGCGATGCAACGTCGACGATGATCCGATCCTCGAAAAGAGTCTGATAAAAAAAGAAGCATCAATTTTTCGAACGCGCGATAGCAATACATACACGGACGCGCGTACGTGTACGAACAACGACGCCTTCTCTGTTGCGAGGTCGAGCGTACAGAGGTCGCGTAAACTCCTTACTTCCTGCCCCGCTTTTTTTTAGAAGACGCGCGTCTAGCGTATAATCTCCAATTTCGCTGAATAATCTTTGCGGCGCGATTCAAACGAAAACGTTCTACCGTTGCTAGAAAAACGTTCGTCGCGTTCGATTTTTGTTCTTCTTTCAACCGATTGTACAAATCGAGTTGCTCGACGATTTTATTCTGCAACATAATGTAAAATACGTGTATCGATAACTCGATCTTTCGCTTGCAACCGAGCAAAATTATGGAGTGTAAACAAACGCGATAAGACGCACCTCCGCGATAGCTCGATCTCTGTTAAGGTTGTCTCTATCTCGTAAAAGAGTTGTTTTATAAACATGAAGGGTTCCAATGGTTTCGTCGTACTTCTTCGATCGGTCCAAGCATCGTTTCCTTGCCTCGTAACTGTACAATTGCGAGAAACGATTAATTGACCAGCGAATCTATCCGTTACGGAGCTACCAGCTTCCGCGTAAAAGTTGTCGCTTTCGCGGAACATCGTAACTTACTGCGCATCGTGCAAATTACTTTCTCGCAGGTTACGCGTTTTCTTCACAAAATTCGGACGAGTTACAAACGATCCTGCTTCTTCCTCTTGTACACATTTTCTGTTCATTTCACGGTCGTAACTCCTAGCTAACGTATTCCAAGGGAGCTCTCTGCTAAAATAAACCTATTTGAAACTTTATTTCGCGTATCATTATTTGCTCCATAAAATCGGTAAACGATAAATACGGTCGAATATGCAACTACGTAATTGGATTCTGTCTTTCTACGAAGCGATTAACGAACAATATGTATTGCTTACTCTTGTATCGTCGACACGTGTTCCAAATTTCTACGGATATTTGTTTTCGGAAACTCTACCGCTCTCCGATCTGCTCCGGTTGTTCGTTCGAGCATAACCGCCCATTGTAGGTAAACTACGTGTAACAGTTGTTTCACTGTTGACGCATGAAAAGTATTACATATATTAAATCGATAATCGATCAGAATTACAGATATCGATAAATTGTATTCGAACGTACGTTGCGATTCAGCCTTGTTGTTTCTTGCCAAATTTTGCAACTCCGTGTTTCTATGCGTTCGACGAGCGAGGGATTCTTTTTTTCGATTTTTAATAAGGTAACGAAGCAACGCGAGGATTTCTAATAAAATCGTTAGTCGCGAACGCCGGTTTTCTTTAGTCGTATTATCCATATCTGAATTTAAATACCGAGATAAGACCGTGTTCGATCAAATTAAACCGAATATTTACAAGTACTTTCTCTTTGCTATTTATTTTCCCTATAACGATGATCGACTTGCTCTTACGTTACCGACAAATTTTCTCTTTCTACCGGCGTATTACGTTCGTTTAAAAAATATTTCTTCTCGACAAGCTACTGTTTTTCCAACCAACGATTAAAGTTGTCGCAACGCAGCAATAATTTGTACTTGTACATTATTTGGAAAAGTAGCGCGTATCTATATTGTACTGTATTATATTATATATAATATATTATACACTATACTATTTCATATTAATATATATATATATACTATATTATATACATTACACATTATTATATTGTATTATATTATATTATATTATTGAAGTCTGAAATACTAAAGTTGCGAAAAGCGGTAGTTTAGTTGTTTTCCATACTTAAAAATTCGATTGCATTACAATGTCTCCATTTCCAATGAACACATAAACTTGTTTACAGCCCAGACGTCGCTTCTGCGTTCTGCTCATTGCCTTTCGCCCGTTCTACAACTGGACTGGATACTTGGCACTGGGTACTGACCCGCCTTGACCGAGTACTTTTTAGTTTACTCAATTTGGGTACAACTTGTTACGTTTCTTCCACTTACACGTCTGTAACAAGTGAAAAAGTACGTTAAACTTGGCAACACCGGGAGACACCGTGAGAAATATCTGTCAACGTTAGGTCCCAATATCAATCCCAATGTCCCGATATGTATACACATTCCCATTTCCAATTCCAATTCCAATCCCAATCCCAATACCAATCCCAATACATATTTATGGTCTTAGTTTTGTTTCAAACGACCCTACATTGTGCGTTGGACAGATAATGGCGACTGTAACACCTCTTCTAGAGAAGAGCTAAAACTTAGTTCGGTGTCCGTGCACAGTGCCAACTGGGGTAGCGGCGATACGCTCAAGCTATTGACCAAAAGCGACTGTCGGTAATTTGGAAAAGATTTTGTCAAAAATAAGAAGAAAGTAAAATAAATTTAGATTCAAATTAAGAAGAAAACTAAACTTTGATTTTAAGAGAAAAAGTAGATTTTTATTAATATTAATTTGGATTAAAGTTACGTAACCGCCTTAGTCCCTTAACTTAATCGATATTAATAATCGTCGATAAAATAGAAAATGCCAATTATATACATCTGTCGCACAAACTCTGCATCGTGCCGCCTCTTTTGGAATAAAGATGAAGTTCCGTTTGGCATCCGCAGTACTATATTACGTATACGTATGTATGTATGTAGTGAAGTGTTTCCTGGTCCATAAACAGGCCTCTTTACATTTGGAAAACATAAATAGACGTGAATAGACGTAATTATGGCTATCTGTGGTATGAATTCGATGCGGATAATCGCCAAGAATATTTTCAGTCCAATAACATTAATTTAAGCCATTGGTTATTGGTTAAATTAGATTTTTCGGGAGGGTAGAAAAGGGGTGAGAACATTTCTGTCACATTTCTGTTACCCGAAGGTCGCATACGTATATGTATGTATAGAATAGACGACTTGCAAGTTGTAACTTGTAATGTAAATACATAAATGAATAGTGTTGGTTTAAAGCTGCAAAGATTGAAACGTTTAGTTAAAAAAGTTGAAATTACTGACAATATACAATTATAGTTTTGTAAGTCGATTTATTATATAATGGCGGGGCTAGAGGGTTATGAACCTGTCTACCGCGGTAAACCAACAAAGCCTTCGAGAAACGAAGATAATTTTCCTTACGCGTACGAACAAAAGGTTATTCGCCCTTTGGACGTGCCAGTTCCACACCCTTTAGCCAAAGACATACCTTCTGCCGATGGTAAGTTTTATTCAAATAATTATGCTACAACAAATCACGAAAGTATTGTTGCCGTTCTATGAAACAATGAAAATCGAACTGTTACTTGTTAGAGTATTTTAATCAGTTTATATTTTTCTATCGACGTGTTTCAGATACTATTTTGAAAAAGTATGTGGACACCGGTTGCGGTCTGGTAACTTTAATTACAGAAACGTTATTAGTTCATCCGTTTATTGTCCTACGAAGACAATGTCAAGTAAATCCAGGATCTACCAAGTACCACATAATACCGATTACCTTGATACCCGTTGTCGCACGGCTTCATCAGACTCAAGGCATAAATACTCTGTGGAAAGGGATCGGATCGGTCTTACTTGTAAATGGAATGGTATTAGCTATCGAGGACTTCGTGTGTAAAATTACATTGTGGCCAAAGTAAGGTGATCTGTTGCAAGATATACCATTTGTTGCTTGTATACGCACGCGTAAATATTCTAAATCTCTGATCGAGAAAAATTTCAAATCAAAGGCGCTCGATTTTCAAGATTTTCTTTTCCATTTGTATCTTTCTACAACTATTTCTATTCGATTGTACGCAACGATAAAACGAACTGATACTTTATTCTAGGGAAATGCCATGCAGCAACTCGTTAAAAGCATTCGGTCAACACATTTTGCTTAAATGGTAACGAAGCATCGGCAAATCAATTTTCTTAATCTTAAAAATCTAATTACAAAATACATATTAATAGAAAACTCGACAGTGTTTCGATAGGTTTAACCACACCGTTCTACTCCGCGTCGTTAGTAGAAACGGTACAGTCCGAAATTGCATCGGAAAGCCCTGGAATATTGGATGTTTTTAAAGACGGCGCTATTCGCCTGGTAGAAGTGAGCAACAAGGGTAGACTAATTCCTATATATGCTCTTCTACCGCCGACTATCGCATACGGAGTTTCAAGATATCTTTTCACCACAACCGTTCACAGAATTACCAGCTACATTATGCAGTGTAGGCAAAAACGTTCGCAAGAATTAGGGGTGAGTCGTTGAACGTTTACAAATGTATTTATCGAATCGATGTAACTTTAATAATGATTATGTTGTTTCCAGGGTGCGTTCAGTAGATCCCTGATATCCGAAGTGATCCTAAACATAGAACTACAATCGATCCTGGTCTCCAGAATTATGGCAGACGTATTGTTTTATCCATGGGAAACTGTGATTCATAGAATTCATCTTCAGGGCACTCGTACTATTATCGATAATTTAGACACGGGCCGAAGCGTAACACCTTTATTAACTGGATATAGTGGAGCACGGGATTGTTATAGTACAATAATTTCGACCGAAGGACCCCTCGGTTTGTACAAAGGGTTCGGGGCTCTTCTTTTACAATCTGCTGTACATTTGATAATAGTACGAGCAGTCAGTTGGATTCTGACAGGATTACGCACACCGTCGACGCCGAAACCAAAATCGGTTCAGAAACCCTCTCATCGAACACATTATTGATACTGAACGTATCTATAAATTGTAAAACTCTCCATAGTACAAAGGATGAGTAAACAAGAATGCATCATAAACCAAATTATTTCCGATTCATTATGGATCTTTGTAAATTTATCTAAAATAAAATAGATCAAAATAAATAGTCAATCTTCGTAAAGTATCATATCATACATTCTATGAAATAGTATCATTTAGCTTTTGTTCTGCTTACTTTATCTTGCGTTACCGATTTATATTGTATGTTATACACAGCCTTTCTTTTATGTACATACATATATCGCATGTACAGCAGTTTCACTCAATTAGTAGTTAAATCGTTGCTGTTCCTTCGTTCCATCCATCTCCATAGAGCTACAGTAGGCGTTCTTCTTTTTGTTTGTTTATGCGAACGATGTTATGTACATAGTCGTTATTAGGTGTAGTACTGGGGTTGAACTCGTAGAGTTAAATTTTCCCGAAAAAGTATCATGGAAATTCGAACATTTTTATTTTACATTACAAGATTATGGTAAGATTTTGGAAAATACAAGTAAGATTTTGGAAAACAAATGCTTAAAACGTAGTCTACTAGAATCCCCGATTAATTTGTCCAACATACGTTAAATATGTTACAACAATTAAGCAACGGTACACTTTTCGAAACAAACTTATAGCGACTTGACCAAAAAAACGAATGAAATTGTGTTTGGGCCAAACTTTATTCGGTAAAACCATATCTATCCATTGATGATGATCATGTGTATAAGTCATGAAACCTATAGACTCGATTTATGCGTACGTGCATCCTGTCGTTTTGTCTTGATGTTTGAAAAAATTATTCGATACACATCGCTGCGAAGAATATCGAAATGTAGTTTAAATCGATTGACGTTACACGATGATTTTGCACAATGTAACACAAACTAAAAAAGTACTGCTTAATGTACACGATATACACGTACGTGGATATCATTAAAGAAATGTCAAAACTACGGTATACAGTTCCTAAATTTCTAATTTCATCAATTTAGCTAAACTATTATTATATATACAATATGTTACAAAATTGTTCGATTACCTACAGGCACAACATCGTTTTTCACCTATAAATGTTCGCATTCGTTCATAATGTTTTATTCCTTTTTGATAAAAGTTTACCTTTTTTACATCAAAATTTCAATCGAATAAGACTAAGCATCAACGAGGATTGTCGTTGATGTTTCATGATTTTTCCAACACACAATTTATCGACTTCGTTATTCGTTCATAATAGAGCAACATTTCATGGAGAATTCATGCGCGAACGATACATTTGTAAAGAACATAAATATGAATTGTCTGTCTGGCCTCGACCTAGCTAAGACATATGTGATAATGGAAATTTGTTAAGTTCAATTCTTTGTACATGAACCGAGGAGTAAAGGAAACAAGACAATGTTGTAGTTAAACAGAAATATCCTTTTACACGACATCGAATTAATCGAATACGAAACCGAAGAGATATTATCGTTTGCGTCGACTTGTGAACACACGTACATATATCGTATGTATGTAACGTTTATGTTACAGTGCTGGCACAATGTAAAAGGTATTTCTCAGTCGATTGTATTGTCTATGTTTGTTTGTTAGTTTGTTTGTTTCCGTACGAGAATATCGGTTCTTTAAAGAACGAGCGTCGAAGGAGTCCTATTCTTTTTGCGTTTGATTTAATAATCAAGCATAGGGCCTAGCTGTTTTTGAACGAGTCTTTTTAATTGTGTATATGTTGAGCTTGGAGTTCTTCCTCGGTAGTATCGCCGCCCCTTTTAATGTATTGTGGTTTTTCCTGTCCTTGTACGCAACCTTCCGTCACATGGACGGACATTACATCGCTGCCCGGTACCTCGAACATCGGTTCCAACAACAACGATTCCATGATAGCTCGAAGTCCTCTGGCACCCGTTTTCTTCTCCATCGCGAGCGCAGCTATCGCGCGTAAAGCCTCCGTAGTGAACGTCAATTCTACCTATTAGAATTATATGAATCAGCAAAATAGTCTGTGAACTTCGCAGACAAGCTGACAGATCTTTTTATTTTGTATCGTTAGAAGCTCGAGAGTTTCCAAAATTGTCGGTCTTTTCCAGTTGTCTTCGGCATCGAATGTATCTCTGTGGACAAAAACTGTCCTTCGTCTTTCGTATTCGGGGGACACGGTGTGTACAATCACAGATTGTGCCAACTCTCGACCTCCGAACGATAGTATGAACCAGCCTTACGTACCTTATCCATTGAAAATAACATCTGATATTGAGGTACCATAGCATTTTGGGGTTCGGTTAGAATTCGAACCAACATATCTCTATCGAGAGTGTGGAAAGGTACCAAAACGGGAAATCTGCCGACAAATTCAGGTATCATACCAAAATCAATTAAATCTCTCGCTTCGACTTGTTGCAGTAAAAAGTCTTTCTCCTTGTTATCCGTTTCCGTCGATGGTGACATATTTGCAACGTCCGCCAAAGTAGCTGCTCTCCTTCCAGGACTTTCCGAAGAAGGCGTTGCACCGAATCCGAGATACTTTTCGGTTTTTCGCCGTGAAATCAACCGATCTAATCCGTTATAAGCACCAGACGCAACAAACAAGATATTTGTAGTGTCGACTTGCAGCGTATCGCCGCGCAGTTTCCTAGAACTGTTTCTTTCGGGAACGTTCACGATCGTGCCCTCTAACATTTTTAACATCCCTTGTTGAACGCCTTCTCCGCCAACGTCTCGCAATTGATGTATGCCAGGAACGGCACCGATCTTATCGACTTCGTCTAAAAATACGATGCCCATTTGTGCTCTGTCAACTACATAGTTGGCATCTTGAAGGAGTTTTGCTATCACGCTTTCTATATCTTCACCGACGTAACCCGCCTGCGTTAACGTCGTACAGTCGCAAATAGCAAAAGGCACGTCCAAACACTGAGCAATCGTCTGCGCGAGCAACGTTTTTCCACTACCGGTAGGACCGAGCAACAGTATATTGCTTTTCTCTAATTTCAACTGGTGCTGCTTACTATCCAAAATGTCCGAGCCAGGGACCGACTGATTGTTACTCGACTTCTGCTCGTTTCCCGGTGGAAACTGTTGAAATCCAACACCGAGCGAATTCCCAATAGTAGAGATGTGCAATAAGTCTGCAACCGGAAAGACAAGGAGTTCGTTTTACTTTACATTTCACATATAACGTAGACGCGAATAAATTGAATGCTCTACCGGTTCGTTTGGAACTGGAATTTGAAACAAGTTATATTTTCTCTTTCTATGGGATTATACGTAAAATGGGGAAATCGTTATTTACGTGGTTTAAGACCTCTGTGAGTGAAGGGATGATTCAGATCTTGTGTACCGGTTGAATTTGTGGATCCTTGCATGGAATTCTGCACCGGCAAGTTATTGTAGATTCGTTTATAGTGATTATAAACAGCAACGCTCAGTACTTTTTTAGCAAATTCTTGCCCCACAACGTGTTTATTTAGGTACTCAAAAATCTGAGAACACGAAAAACAGCAGTTAGTCTACGGTGTACGTACATTATCCTTATGTTCATCCATTCATTCTTACTGAAGATATAGAACATGCGATACAAACGATATTTTATTTCCAAAGAATACGCTTCCTCCGATTCCCAAACAAACCCGTTACCTTTTTCGGTGGTGGCGGCGGTTTTCTATAAAATTCTTGTTTCGTATCGTCCGGTCTCATAGCTTCTTTCAAACTTTTTTTCGAATCTATCTCCGATAGTACGAGGAAGAAATGATGACATTTCTCGCATTTCACAAATCTCGACGATGCTAACGAACAAAACGAAATCTTATAAATGTTATATCCCGGCCCGTGACATACGATCGCGAGTATAAGCGAGTATTATTACACTTACACACAAACGTTTCTACGTGCGTACACGGATCTCCACATTTTGGACAAGTAAGAGTGTTTTTCTTTCCTCCGCCGTTACCTACGGAGGACACTCCGCCACTGCCGTCTTTGCCAGGCGGCGTAGGTTCCGTGGGTGCTTTGCCCAAAGTACTACCGATCGTCAACGACCTGGTCACGGCTACTCTAACAATTTTGTGAACTAACATAGAATTCGTTTAATTATTCGCATGAAGACACAACTTCTCTTTCTTATTTTTCTGACAAATGTAACGGGTAGTATTAAAAACTTACCATGATTGGCTATGTGATTAGAAGATGCGATGCGACCGGCACTAATTAAACAACAACGTACGCAACTCATCCTTGTATAGGGATATTCGAATAATATAGAGCTTGGTACGAAAAGAATATTAGCAAAATGACTCGTAATGAAACCTACAATTGTAGAGCACGATTAGGAAAACATTGGTAAAGGTGTAAAAATGGTTGTAGAAAAATATGGGAAAACACAGATAAATGTATAATAGAATTTGTATTACATTTAGAAAAGAACACGTACTGCAGAAATTATGTCGTCATTGACTGAAAAATAAAATACATTACGTGTAATTGCAAATGTTACAGGAAGTCTAACAAAATGAAAAACAACGAACGAGAATATCAGAAAACCTTATAACAGAGAGCGATTAAATGTAACGTTGTCACTGGGCGTTTATAGAAAGGACGAAAGTATGATATATGCATTAGGAAATCAAAATATGGACACGAGCGCAATATCATTATAAAAATAAACTCTGAGAATGTTCGAAGTTGTACGAAAACACTCAAGTGCCGAAAATACTAACCTTTCAAATAAACACAAGCACAGAAATTGTTTGTTATTGTTCACAATTCATTCATGTTTATCAGAAGATGCGTAACAGATCGAGTCGCCCAAATAATGATTTTCTAATGTGTTACCAAGATTGAAACCGATAAATCTATTAATTAAAGACACGAATGTCTGACACATCGGGTTAGAAGATTCAACAATCGGTTGACCATGATTCAAGGTCACTCACGATTATTCTCTAATGCTGTTTTAGTTATACGTATCGAGATTAATATTAATTAAAACACAACTACCTACTAGTCTAGGTAATTGCAATTTAACTCCATGTCAATGAAACATCTAAAAACTACTAAATTCTCTGACACTCGTCCCGTACTACACGATTGTGTATACGCACGTTCCTACATACGTGGCCAATATGTATACATATGGACACACGTATAGATGCGCATGCATACATATATACATGCATGCATGCATACATGCGATCAACCACGGTTACAAAAAACTTTGTAGCTAGTCTCGCTAACCAATGTTCAATCTCCTTCAAATAATTGACGGACACGGACGTGGAGTTAATTCAATGAGATGGGTTTTTAGGCAAAAACAATATTTTGTGTCGGTACATATGTAGGAACGGAATCGTCTAAAGGAAGTTGTAACCGTATTTTTTAGATGCGCGTTCATTTGACAAAACGACGTTCCTACGAACCGCATGACAAAACGTCAGTATGTTTACACGTACGATCACTCGAGGGCGCCCATTTAAAATTTCGATTAGACGATACCGGATGATATACGAAATGTGTATGCGTATACGGTATGAAACCCTACGATGTGGTCTATACAAATCTACGACACGTCCAATTAAGTTCGAACTTTCGTTTTATTTCCATCAACTTACAAACCACTTGAACCAATTTTTCATAAAATTCCACTAGTCATAGTTCCATCGTATAAGTTAGTTCGACGACGCATATTCAAAGAAATCCGATTGGTGTATTTCTTCTGTACCCTATAAGTTGTAGCTGCACAGGGCAGAGCATCGAGCACCGCTAGTCAGCTATATACGTATATATAGTATGTTGAGTGCCGGTGCACAGGTTACATGGTTACGTGTACGCATTCTATCGTGGAGGATAAATTGTATAAAGAAAATTTCTATAGATAGTTATGTTCTGTAATTTATAAAAAAAAAGAACCATCGAAAAATTCTAACAATTGAATTTATTTGAATTTAACACTGTAATCTCGCAGACGATATGACTGTGACGAAAATCCCAACCGAAATTAATAACGAGGTAACCTTGCACAATATTTTCAATGATCACAAAAGGAAAAAGATGTAATCAACGTTTCTTTTTAAATACTTTACTTTCGTAGCATCTAGATGTTTTATCGTTTAAGATCATAGACGTTTTATTAATCTTTTAGATAATTTTATTAAGGCAGTGTGTTCGTCGAGCTCGCATTTGTGTAATAAATAAGTTGGTTAGAGAAGCCAAGAGACTGCGTACGAATCGTGGCAACGAGAAACTCTCCGAAAAGAATAAAACTAAAGCGGATAAATATTTGAAGGAGGTATACGAGCTGAAACGTATCAAAGACGATGAAGTGTCAAAATTCGGAATTATCCATTTCGAAAAGTTGCAGCATATACTCCAGAATTCAGAAACCGACGATAGGACTAGAGTCATGGTAAAAGTTGTTCGTTACAAATGTCTAAACGAAAAGATCGCGGAATTCTTAAAGAAGTTTCCAAACTGTAAAGAATATATTTCTTCGAGCGAAAAGAAGCATTCGCCGAAAAAGAAAAGAAAGAATTCTATAAACAGAACAAGCAAAGAAAATAATTCAAAGCGATTACCAAACGATAAAGATGACAGCAACGAAGGGAATATACAGCTAAATATAAATACAGAAAAGAATGGACAAGACGCACGAGTCGAAGAAGGTAGCAGTAAAAATAACGAGAAAAGTTGCACGTCCGTTGGCAAGGTGGTAAGCGAAGAAGCTACGGTCAAGAGATTCGCAGATATCGTGAAAGAATCTAGTACGTTAAGGATAGACGATAAATCGGAAAAAAATAAAGAGCAGCAGCAGCAGCATCGATCGATGTCTTCGACCGTTGCGAGATCGGATGATTTCTTTTTATGTTCGGATAAGGCTGCTGCACGCGTAAATACTAAAATATTATCACCGAAAGAAGACTCGAATATTACGTCCACACACAGGGTAGACAGGACGGCGTCGACGACTATTCACGAAAGAAGCGTAAAGCGCGGTAATTCTATATACGGAGGGTCCCAGAGGAAGCAAAGCGATAAAAGACGACAAGCGAACAGTACAAATGTTTCGTGTCATCGAAATAACGCGAAGGAGACGAACCGAGCGATTATCAAGGAGAAGCAACGATTTCCAAGGGTCAAGGAAGTAGTACCTGCAGGCGAAAAGTTCAAACGGACAAAGTCTATGGAAAATGAAAGCTTACATCCGTCGTGGGCAGCAAGAAGAAAATTACAAGACGCGATGAAACAAGGATTTCAAGGGAAAAAGATTCGATTCGAGGAGACTTGATTCATTAGTCCATTTAATTACGACACCGTTTGTACACAGACATTTTATGCTATATGTAAATTAAAATTTTAAGGGCTCGAATTCATTAATTTTTTTTTATTTAAATATCAATTTCATTTATAAATTGTACAAAATGGCTACGCATTTACAACACGACAATAGAATCGACGCGTAAGTACAAGTAAACTGTAACTGCGCCCAGCGTTTGAGTTTACAAGTAAAATCTTTGCCACATTGAATTTTTCGTACGCGCTGTGTTGCTTGCAACACACGCACACGCACACGCACACGCACGCACGCACGCACACACTCTTTTCATCAAACGTTATTAATTAGTGAACATCTTATACGATCGACTAGTCGATTCTCGAGGTAGTTTTCTACTATTTCGTTATGGTCGTTGCAGAGAAGTTTCGTAGAAAATATTGTTACTCCATTACACTGTACAGTCGTAGATTCTGCAGACATAAGAAACAAATAAAAGGTAAACTGTATATCGTACACCTCGACTAATTATTTTGTTAACTCAAGGTTGTTTCGGCGTCTGTAAACGCGTGCCAAACTAGTTTTATTTAAACAACATATAACACGTTTAATACGATCGGGTTTGCGTCGGGTTTCAATTTTTGTTCGTTCTCCTTCCATCTTCGCATCTCTCCATCCATAGGTACGATCGAATTATTTACAGTTCTCCGTCTTCGTCGTTGCGTTTCGATCGTAGGTACACTCGGTAAACGTACACGTTCAACTATTAACTCGTAGACGTTACACATATAGTACGTACCGATACTCGTCGATAACCGGTGCGCGATTTCGATCGAGCGACAGACGGACAGACAGAATGCGAGACGAAACGCGTTTAAAAACGTTGCTACTTCAAGCGAGACGAGTGTCCGCGACAGTATGTGCTGGTATCGGTGCTCGTGGAATTACAAAAAATGATTATTATCAACGAAGACACGGTCCGTGTATCGGGAACGTTGCGTTTGAAAACTAACTGGAAGATACGCGTATTATAATACGTATATACAAGTAAACGTGAAAAAATGTAACTCGACGCTCTATTCGATCGATATTTTATATCTATTTTATCTTTCGGCAGAAGACGGCGAGCGCATCATTTTTTTTTCGCCAAAGTACGTTGCTTCTCCGCGTGCGTAACAAGCTGAGAATCGACGGATAGACCTTTGCGTCGACGAACCGCATCCATGTATTTCTTGGCTCTGTTTTCGCTGTCCGCCTTGTCGCCGAAATGAAGATACTCCTCGTCGGTGGAAGGTGTCCAGTAAGGATCTTGCTCGATCACCTGCGACATACCGATGGATCAACGATACCGTTCGATACGATATAAACGACAATTTCGAGGGAATATCGCATTGGCCTCGGTCGGATGCGGAGTAAATACTTGAAAATCGATGGTCGACGATCGCCGCGGCGTTTTAGCGGATCGTTAATCGGAATCGGTACGACGTTCGAACCGTACCGACGCGAAGTACAACTAAAGAGAACGAAAGAAGGGGACGCGCGTAGACCGAAATAAGAAGAGAACCGAATACGGCGTTGCTCGTTTCGCTAACGATTACCGTCGGAAGTTGCTCCTCCGTTCGAGTATTTACGAACGATTGGAATAGAAGTAACGGTTAGCGACACGCGAGGTCGGTTCTCGATCGAGAAAAGTGGAAAAATGCGGAGGAACGCGCGCTCCTCGGTATGAAAAAACTTGCCTCCCAATGGCTGAAAACCAGTTGAGGACTAGCCAGCCCGGACGTCTGAGTTCGCAATTCTCTGGCAAGTTGGAAACTCTCCGGTACAGGTAACGTTGCCAGCACGCGAAACTGCCCACCGAATCCAGCACTCTCCGCAGCGATTACGCGTCCTTGTCTCTTTCCAAATACAGCGTACAATTTTCCTGCGAAACAGAAATATTTTCAAGCGAACAAGCGTAGACGAACGAGCGACAAACAAAATCGTGCTCGATCCGTTGATCCGTTGATCCGTTGATCCGTTGATTCGGAGGCTGGAATTTCATCGAATTCGAGGCGAAGACTCGTCGCGAACGGTACGAAAATTTCGTTCCGTTTCGTACCAACGAAGACGAATCTAACGAGTAACGCGCGCAAACAAAACCGATATACGGTTTATGCGAAGATACTCGAAATCGATAGCCTTCGACGGTCTCGGATTTATTTCCATCGGAATAATTTAGAATCGGAGAGTACGTTCGTTTTTGAAACGATCCGATAGTTGTTCGAGAATCGTGTTAGCACTCGTACGTACATGGGAGTCGAAGTCCCGGTCCGATTCCAAGAATTTTCTACGTACATACTCGTACACGTACATGCATGTAATACGCGTACGCGTACTCTATCCCCGCCGGAGCCTAACGCACCCTGCACACGTACAACGCTCTTGCTCGGCAATCCCATTGCCAAGTTTCGTTCCCCTCCCTTCCTCGAGAATTCATTCATTCATGTCGTTCAGTGGTTCTCTCGTAAAGCGAGTCGAGTTTCCGGAACGTTCGATAAACGCGTCTCCACCGGATCGTCACGACGGTTGTTACGGCATTGGGAGGATCGCGCGAGGGAATTTACGCGCAATCCCTTCAGAAAATGGAACTACGCGGATCCGTAACGAGTTTGGGTAAATCGGTCTTGCCCGATTCCAACGAGTCGGCTCGAGTTCCACGAGCCTCGTTGGACAGCCGCGGAGAAGGTGCGGCCAATACGCTTCGCTCGTTCCGTCGACGACGCGAACAAAGAGAACCGTCGTCGTCGATCGATTCGAAGACGTCGCGCGCGTTTCTTCGAGCGTAGATTTTGGTCGAATTCTCGTAAAAGTCGGCCAAACCGAACGCACCCTATCGGATCGCGATCGAATCGAATCGAATCGAATCCGATCGGAACCGAATCGTATCGTATCGAAATCGATTCGCGGTCGAGCGAATCTATTCGTTTTCAGGAGCATCGATGCAGGGAACAACGAGAGAAGCACGCCGCCGCCGACGGCGACGAAACGTTTGTCGCTCGAAACGTTCGAGTAGGGAGAGCGTGGGAATGAGAGAGCAACAACCGAGGAGGAACAGAGAGAAAGTAGGAGTGAATGGATCGTGGCCTCCATCAATGAAACAGCGATCCTCAAACGTACTCGTTCGACGAGCACGTTGCACGTACCCGTCGATCGCTTATCGCTCACCCGTTTACAGCCGGCGACCGAATATTATTTTCGATTCTTAATTACGGTTATCGCCCAATGTTTTTTTACGATAAAAATGTACGCGATACTCGCGCGTACCGTGCGATCTAATTTTGCCGGGCAACGGTACACGGTTATCGATCGTATCGCGTTATATCATATTTTCGCATATCGTACGCGGCAGTGTACGGCGGCGTTGCGAAAGAGCTCCGTCCTTCGAAAGCCTCTTTCGCGCGGAGGATCGTGCGAAACGCGAGAAAAGCCATCGAGCGACATCGGCGAGACCGAGCCAGAGAAAGGAACGAAATACTGGATCGCGTAACGTACACGTACGTCGTACGTAAAAGTAAGCGTGCCCGCGCGCGTCGCTGTTCGTTCTACTATAAAATAGAACGCGCGATAGAATCGATCGTCGTCTTTTATCGACGTGGTCGCGTTTTCGGGTTGTCGGAGAACGCGTATAAAAAATATTCGAAGCGCACGGTAGCGATAGGAAAACGGAGAAACCCTACGAAAAGCATAAGAACGGTCGAACAACCGTTCTTTTTTTTTTTCAAACTCGACCGTTCCTCTCGTAGTCGCGTTCGTCTCGCGTGCGATCGGCTCCGAAGCAAAAATTTGTTCGCTCGTCGACGAAATCCGTTCGTAAAGGAAAAGAAAATTCGGAAGGATGCTGCGAGGCGAATCCGGACCGAGGGTCCGAAAGATCTAACAACGACGGCTCCTACAGCGATCGGATCGACCGACGAATACGAGAGTCGAACGGACGAATGGGAGAGGATATGGAATAGACTGGAGCAAGAAATGGTAGCGCGCTAGACTCGAATAGAGCAGAGTAGAGTAGGACGGAGTAGGATCGCGCCGAGTCGAGTCGAAGAATGGAGCGCGGAGAGCCGAGCGTGGAACGAAGCAAAGAGTGGAGTGCCGTGGAGTGCCGTGGAGTGCGGTGGAGTGTTGTGGAGTGGAGTGGAGTGACGTGGAATGGAACGGAGTGGACTGGAGTGGAGTGGAGTGGAGTGGAGTGGAGTGGAATGGAGTAGAGTGGAGTGGAGTGGTGTGGAGTAGAGAAACGAGAGAAGGGAGTACTCATTCATGCTTTGCCCGTAGCTGTTGGAAGTCCAGTCGAACGAATGGTACAAGTTCGCGTAGCACGAAAGTTGCGAGCCGGTGGGTTTCTGGTTGATTCGGATCGCGTCGCGGCATAGACTACGCGCGAGCAGAGTTACGAACGAGACGGTCGGAAGAGAAGGCGAGGAGGCCGGAAGAATCTAGAGACGAGGAAAGAAACGATAAGAGAGAGAGAAAGAGAGAGAGAGAGAGAGGAACGAGGAACGGCGCGGCTGGTCCGAAGGTGCGACGATTCGGTGAACGGAAATCATCGTTGAGAAGACGTCGCGCGTTTCTCGGTTCGGTGTCGACCAGTGAACATGCGCGCTACTTTATCGGCGCGAAAGGATAAACGCGAGAAGACCGAACGCTTTCTCGCGCTCGGGATAAGATTCCGTTAACCGTAGAGAGAACGGTTCGGAATTTCTTTCGAGAATCGAGTTTCCATCCCAAGAAAACGTGCACCGTTCGAAAAGCGATTCGGATCGTTTCTCGACCGATCGATCGGTAAGACGCGCGCGCGAGATCGCGTCGAAAGGGAGGTAATTTACGACGACCTCGTTTCTTCGACCCCGGGAGCAGACTCGACCTCGCGCGGCATCGAGCGACCGACGATCCGAACGGCGCGCGAACCGTACGTTCGATTCGCGTCGAAAGAAAATCGCCGGAGAAAGTTTTCTACGAGTTACGAATTCCGTTATTTCCGATCGATCGACGAACGTTCGCGCCGCGCCACCCGCGGCTTTTTCTTCGAGACGCGTTCGAGACGACGAACGCGGCGCGGCAGGACGCGGGAACCAGGAATCCGCGCGATCTTCCACGGCAGGCTACGTCGTGCCGATATCGCGGTCGATTCGCTTCGAAATCGTTTTCGAGTCGCTTCTCGAAATCCCGGCGAAATCGTTCGAAACTCTGTTCGCGCGATCGTACGCGCGCGTTCGCGCCGTCTTCCGGCAACAAACGTCGGCAGGCGATCGCGCGACGGGCCTAGATTTTCGCGATGCAAAGTGTTTTCGACGAATCGCGACGATCGTTGAACCGTGTCGGATGCGCGCGTACGGATCCGCGCCGTTATCGATTCGAGCGTTCGGTCGATTTTAACCCGACTCGAGAGTTTCTTATCCGTCGTCGATCGTGAAAGGAACCGCTCGCGGACGTTTCCATCGATCGCGAACGAAACGAACGCGGAGAAAAACGAAGACCGAGGCTGGGAAGAATGGCCGATTTGATGTGCCTGTTATTGGCGATGTTCGGCCAGTTGTTTATTCGCGAGAGCCAAGGTAGCCTTCTCGGCGTGGAACTCGACGAAACCGGTCAACGATTGCTCAACGAATATTTGTCTCTCGACGAAGGCAAATACCTGACGGAATTGCACCAGTTTCGAGACACGGCCGTCGAGATCGACTCGATCGATCGGAAGAGAAAGCATCGACCGCTTCATCGACCGCCCAGAATTCTTTATCAAGTCGGGGTAAGTTCGATACCTAAGGTCGGGTATCCTGCTGCACGGGCAACGAGTATTCGGCCACGAACAGAATACGATACGAACGATCGGAAATCGAATTCGCTATCGTCCGGTTTCGCCTCGTCTCTCTCTCTCTCTCTCTCTCTCTCTCTCTCTCGCGATCGGTGCTCTCGGCCCGCGCACAGTTCCTATTTGCCCGATTTCGCTGGCCAAAAGTCGAGTTTGTCGAACTCGGCGCAAGTAGAGGGAGAGAGAGAGAGAGAGCGAAAATCGGGCAAATAGCCCGCCGCGCGTAGAGGCGTTTACATTTATGCAGGTATCTCCGATGTCGGAACGTATTCTGGATGTCATCTGGTTGCGCGCGCGAGCTCGCGATCGCGTGAGCGCGCGGTCGAGCGAGCGAACGAGCGAACGAGCGAACGAGCAAGGAAACGAGCGAGCACGGCCAGGTGTTATTTTCATTGTGGTTGTGAGAGAAGCGGGAGACTCGTGAGAACTTCCGGATGAATCGCGCAACCTTTCCGGTCCCCCTATTATCCCATTTTAGTTTACCGCCACCGGCGGCATTGATACGAACGATCTTCTGGGAATATCCCAAGAAGAAGAGACGGTCGGGAAGAAGGGAAGGGAAGGGAGAGACAGAGAGAGAGAGAGAGAGAGAGAGAGAGAGCAAAAGCAAAGAACGCGACGGAACGGAGGGGCATCGGTCGATCTCACGGGGATCCGGAGCGAATGGAAAATCGTGAAACGTTTTCGAAGCGTCTCTATCGACCGATACGCGTACATATTCGGACGACTGGACCAACTACGTTGTCGCGATACTCGCGTTCGAACGTCGACAACGGCCGCGATCGCGATCGCGATCGCCGATAGGTTTTATTCGATGGAAACGTCTTTGGTAGATCCCGACGAAGGGATTCTCGTCGATTTCGATTCGAAAAGTAGAAGCAGGGAAGGAACGGAAACCTCGACGGGCCGACGAAAGGTCGATCGAAGCAACGAAAACGGCTATCCGTTTTCGTCTTGGGGTGAGGGGGAGGGGGGGGAGTTCTATACACTGTACACTATACGCTATAGACGAGGCGAGACAAGACCAGATGGATCGTACACGCGCGCACAAAGAGTTTGGCTCCGATTCTCGTTCGCTGCCGTAGATTGCCAACGGCGACACGACAGGACGTACGTGATTGCCTCATTCAGTGGATTGACCGAAGCTCTTTGAATAGTGCAGTTAGACCAGATGCCTATTCCTCGACGATGCGACGCGGGGAGACGCGCGTTCTTCAACGCCTTTGCTACGCGAGTTCCTCTTTTTCCATCCGACGTCCCGACATCCGCGCATCCCCGCATGCCCGCCGTTCCGCGCCGCGCACCTTCTTCTTCTCTCACACGGCTTCCGGCTTCCGACTTCTCATTTTCTTCTCTCGTCGAAACTAGCTCTTCCCTTATCGGCGTCGAACTTGTTTAACCCATTTCCTCTTTCCGCTATTCTTTCGTCCAACGATCCCGCTCCGATTCGTCTCGTTTCGCGCATACGGATATCGTAAAGACGGTTCACGGCGAACGTCGGTCCGACGCGACGCGACGGCCGTTTTCCGCCATGTATCGTTCGCCGGTCGTTTTTATTCGAAAGAATCGACGAAACGCAACGTCGTTCCTTTCCGACGTCGACCAACTTTTCTAGCCCGCGAATATTTCTTTTCCATCGGATTTCTGCCGGACCTACGACCGTTACCGTTGCCGTTGCCGTTGCCGTTGCCGTTGCCGTTGCCGTTGCCGTTGCCGTTGCCGTTGCCTTTGCCTTTGCCTTTGCCGGATCCACGCGGGACTGCGCGCATCGACGCTTTACGAATATTTGGCGTTTTCAGGAGAGCGAGGAAGAACTGCCCGAATGCTCGGATCGAAGCGAAGTTTGCAGCAAGGTGGATCTGTACGGATCGCCGTGGGTCGAGAGACAATGTCGTTGTCCCGATGGCCGTACCTGTCCCGGTAGCTTGCACGGAGACGACGGGCACACGATAGTCGATAAAACGCGGCAGTACAAGCTTTGCGAACCAGTGAAACATCTTCCTATCTGTCGTTACTTCAAGTTAGTCGGTTGTTCGAACAAGTACCAGCACGTCGAAGCGATCGAACGTGCCGCGACGGGATGGCTCGCGTCGCGTCGCGGCACACGGATCGCTGCGCGCTCCAATCGACGTTGCGTACAGAGAATGGATTCGCTGTTCGCAGGGACATCACGTGGACCCTGGCGCCGGGAGGAGGCCCGGCGAACGCGACCGTTCAACGAGTCTACTGCCGCTGTCGGCCCAGCAGCGTGCCCTATCTGGTTCGAAGACAAGCGCAGAGATCTCCCGGGGGGAATCCAGGATTTATTTACGCTTTCGCGTGTTCTCCGCAAAGCGTAAGTTCTTCGACCCTGCTGATCGCATTTTTCATGGTCGCGGCTTCGTTTCGTTTCGTTTCGTTTCGATCGATCGAGATTCGAAGGGAATGTTCGGTTTCAGAGACTCCGGTGTCAACGCAAGGAGCCTTGTCGACTGTTCACCGTACGAAAGAGACGGACCTCGCAGCTCGAAGAAGTGAACGCGTCGCCCCTTTGCCAATGTCCGAAGGGTCATCGGTGTCCCAGGCGTCACACGGACCCGGGTTCGCTTCCGGCAAGATCCTATTCCGGCGTCTTGGAGATTAAGACTTATAGCGGATATTGCGTGCCTTCGCAATCCCATCGTTCCGAGGCGGTTTACACCGTATAAACCGTCGCCGTCCGCGTCCCCTTTTACACCGCCGCCGCGCAGCCTACGCGGCTCGCCGGGTCCGTATCCCGCGTTCGTATACAGCTCGAACAGCTTCTCCGTTACGATACGACCACGGTAGCACGACCCGTACGATTCTTACCGATATTTACGGGTACGAGCGCGGCGCGTTCGAACACTCTGCCATCGAATGCGAGCAATTTCCTTCGTTTGTTCTCGAATTCTATGAAACCGTCGAATCCGAACCGATTCCGAACCGATTCCGAACCGATTCCGAACCGATTCCGAACCACGGAAGATCCTCGACGATGTACAGTGTACGCGTAGCGTTAGCGTTGGCGTCGCTTTTAGGGCTAGAGCTAGTATCGGTGTTGATATTGGTACATATTGGTATTGGTATACGTACGTATTCGTTATTTATCGCGGCGATTGCGAATCGTTTCGAAATCGTTGTCGTTGGTTCGGCGCGATCGGAAACGATGGCAAAGGATCGCGTCGAGCATGGACCACGGCGCGTAGAACGTAGAACGTAGAACGTAGAAAATCGTGGATCCGTAAACAGAGTCGATCGTCTCGCGATGCGAACCGCAAAAAATGAACGAGTAATTGGATTAAATTACGACGAGCGACCAACGATTCGATACTCGCAACGTTTCCTTCCATCGATGCGTCGTTCGGTATCCTTCTCGTTTACGACGACTTTTCCGATCGTACAGGCGTTGCACACCGTTCTACCTTGGACGTTACACTTTGTAAATATTACAATTCGATCGAGGACTCTTTCGTTGTTGCGATATCGTGCCGATCCGATGCTATATATATATATATATATATATATATATCTCGAGAAAAGCGTGTTTTTACCATTAGATTTATCGTCTCTCGACGTCCTACGTTATTACCATTGTACCGGATGTAAAGGAGAGCCGGCGGTAACGAGTATACCAGTTCAATAAAAAGACGCGGTCGATCGATCCATCGTAGTTACCCAAAAGTTTCGAAAACCTCGAAAATCGAACAAATTTTATTTCCAAAATATTTGTCAAATTCGACGTCGCGGTCGATCGAACCCGTTCGATAAAATGAAAACTTTTCTTTTCTCGGTAAACGAATAATATTGATCGACGCGCGAGAGTCTCGTCGTCGTATCGGTCCAGTATTTTCGCGAGTTCGCTCGACGACGCTAGATGGCGAAACGCTTCGGCGACCTCGGTGGTATCGCCGCGATCGTGCGAAAAAATTCTATGCTTCCACGTACGCCGCGCTAGATTCTACCGCCGCCGAAAGTCGCGTGCAAAGTTTGAAAATGCAACGACGCGTTCACGGAACCGTATACGCGGCTGTAAAATCGAATTCGCGCGGATGCTGCCGCAGCAAGAATCGCGGTAGCCCAAGATTCGTAGCACCGGTGTCGGATCGCGGCAGCGATCCATCGATGCGCCGACGCGACGCGCGCGTATCGTCGTCCGCGAGAGACGAAGAAGAACGAACGATACCTACGATAAGATGCTCGAAAAACGATCGCGTCGAGCGCAACGATTTTCGGACGATGTAATCGACGGGTAATCGTCCACGAGCCGTCGAACAGGCTTTTGCTTTTTACCGAATGCTATCCGTTTCGATGAAATTTCGATCTCGAACGTATCGGCTCTCTGGACGCGCGTACTCGCGTGGTCGTTGTCGTTGTCGTTGGCGTCGTTGCGTCGTTGCTTCGTTACACGCGGAGACCGCGTTTCGCTTCGATAGAGAAATATTCGAGCGTATCGAGCGATCGTATACGCGGCTCGACCAATGAAATTGCTAGGTAACTGTACCGCGCGTTTTCTACCGGTTCCATTTCCTTCTTTCGCTGAAATTCATTTAGTCTTATGAACGAGTCGCGCCGGCTCGATTCTCTACCGCAGAATCGCGAAACTAAAAAATGTCTACAGAACCTCCGGACGATCCTTCAAGTTTCTACAGCGAGCAAAGTCGTCGGGCATCGATCTATATCTTCATTCGGCCGCGTATAATATTCAACCGTTGTATTCCTTGTTTCGATCTACGAGGCGAAGAACGAACCTAATTCGCATCGAACTGTATCTAGTCGGTGAGAACCACGGTAATTTCATGCTCGATACAGTTTTCTAGTATTCGATCGAACCCGCGAAAAATAGCGATATCGCTACCGATATCGCGGTGTTGCGATCGGGTACGGATTCGAGGTCGAGGCGTCGAGGTCGTGTTCGAGTTCGAATTCGCGTTCGAATTCGCGTTCGAATTCGCGTTCGAATTCGCGTTCGGGTCCATTACCCGAGTTCTAAACTCCGAACGACAGGATTCGTTTTACTCGACAAGAAGAAGCAAACAGCGATGGACCGGTTCGAATCGCTCCTCCGTATCGCGGTATCGACGGTAGAATCGATCGAGGGTATTTTATGCTCGAGTAGTCGTGTCCTACTGACGGTAACGGTAGATCGTCGGGTCTTCGAAGGAGAACATTTTCGTTCGGCCAACGTCGATCTCGCGTTCATCGCGATCCATCGTTTATTTCATTTCGATCGATTGAATTTTCTTTTCGATCGAATCGCGCGATCGGTAAATCGTTGACGCGTCGAACGTTGCAGCGACCGAAGAAAACGATAACAACGATACGGTAAACGGTCGAGGGAAAGGAAAGGAATGGAAAGGAAAGCAAAGCGAAGGGAAGGGAAGGAAAAGGAAGAAAAATAATAAGAAACGCGCGAGCGGAGGATGCCGAGGTAGCGGAACAAGAAATAAGAATGATGCGCGAGAGCGATGCACCGCTCAACACCGGGACAACGAAAGAAGGGTAACGAGGAAAGATGCGAGCAAGGAGGGGGGAAGAGAAGCGAAAGAAAAAAGGGGGGAACGATGTCGTTAATCCGGAGGTTCTGTCGTCGCTTTATCGTTCGAACGGATGTTCGCTGCAGCTAACTGCATACGATAAACGTCGCTGGAGGACGATGCGTATTCGTCCGCGTCTCTCTCTCTCTCTCTCTCTCTCTCTCTCTCTCTCTCTCTCTTTCTCCCATTCCGCTCGTTTTTTTAACCCCGAAACCCATGCCCGTTTTTCGTTTCAAAGTTGAAACTTGCTCGGATTTGCCGGATCGCTCGGGTCTCGAATCCACGGTTCCGTGGTTCCGTCCGTCGAGAGGACGAAGACTCGGCTTATCGTAGGTATGCGCTGGTATACGAGTACCCGATCGCGGCGTCCAGTTGGTAAGCGTAGAAGCGAGCGCGGAGCGCGAACCAAGCTAGAGGATTGGTGGAGATGATGCAGCTTGGGATTCCACGCATAGTCGAGGGGTTTCTGGTTGGTTGGTAAGTGGGACTAGTCGGGGCTCATAGGCGGCGCGTCTTCCGCGAGAGCTCGCAGTCTCATCCGGAACTGGAACGCATCTAAGCGAGCGCGCGCGTTCTTTCTCGGTTGCACGTTCCTTCGAAATTTCGTGGAATCGTTTCATCGATAATCGATATATATACATATACATATATATATATATATATATACATATATATCGGGGAAAACGTCGAAACGGACATCCAGGCTCGTCGACCGACTCGTCGAACTCCGAAGACCGAGCGAACGGAAAGTCGTTCCGTCCTGGACGGCCGCTTCTCGCTCTCGAAACCACCGCACCGCTTCGGCAGCTCTTACGCGACGTCGTCTCGTACGCCGGTGGGCCACGTTCGAACACGCTGGATACGATTCGAGCGGAAAGTCGAGATCGAGCTTCGATTCGAGCTTGCGATCGGGGCCAAGGTCGGAGTCAGGGTCAGGGTCAGGGTCAAGGTCAAGGTCAAGCTCGAGGCCGAGGTCGAGGTCGATTATCCAGTACCGCACAGGACTCGAAGCCGAGCCGAGCCGAGCCGATCGACGTCGAACGTACAATTGAAAGTTGAGCAAGGTCAGAGCATCGACCCATTTGTCAGACGTTTAATCCTTTTCGGAAGATACGACGCGATACGCTATTCCGCGCGATATTCCATCGACGCGATACCGAAATATGATCGCGCCTCGATCGTTTTCTTGGAAAATGTTTTCGGTCGTTTCGATGAAAAACGGTATAAAACGACGGATCGACGGCCGTTGGTCGTCCGAAGAAAGCGAATCGCATCGCGCGTCTCGCGAAATAAAATATTGTACGATTCCAACCTGCAAAGGTGTGTAAAAAAACGGCGCCGATCGTTGTCGTTCGAATCGTCGATCCGATTTCTATACGCGCGTCCAACGAGGGCGAACACGGACTGCGAATCGATATCGAAAGCGGGCCGAGCAACGGTTACGAATTCGATGGCGCATCGTAGGACGGCTTCTTTCGAAAAAACAGGCCGCGATCGCGTCCACGACGGGCAAACCGTTCGGCTTCGTTCAGAATCCGACGATCGAATTCGACGGTCGGTTCGGTACTTTTTGTACTCGTACGTCGCGAACGATGCATCGAAAAAATAACGCGTCGCAACGTCGCGTCGGTTTCAAGTTTTCTTCGTTTCTTTCGATATACGAGAGACGCGGAAATCGTCGTAACGAGTATCGGCGATATCGACGGGCACGGATACGATAGGTGGAATAAAACGGAATAAAACGGAATAAAACGGGATAAAACGGAACGAGTCGGTATAAAGACGCTCGATCGGTGCCGTTCGATTCGTACGTAACTGTATGCGACCGTATGCACGGCGACCTTGAAAATACGAAGAAAGATAACGGCCCACGAGGAACGCGAGTAACGCGAGTACCAGTTAACCTAATTTCACCGCATCCGTGTGGTAAATTATATCGCGCCATAATTACCGTACCACCCTGAACACCTTCGCGAGAATAGAAAAAGTAAACAACGTTCACCGGTTCATCGGTTGGTCGTTCGTTCGTTCGTTCGCTCGCTCGTTTGCTCGATTTTGCTCGCTCGACGTTCGATCCTACGATTTCTATCGCGCGTTCGAGCGACCGTAGTCCAAATCGCCCGAGGCACCGTCTCGCTTCGCGCATATTCGCGGCGATCTCGTAAACTCGCGCAACATTATTAACCGTTCGCCGTGCAAACGGTCGAATTCGTCACCGGCCGTATCGAACACGGTCGAGAGATCCGACGTCGAATCGTTCGATCGAAAAATGCTATCGCGAAGGCGAGTACGCGGTCGAAGGAGCGAGCTCGCTCGCAGCTTCGGCGCTCGATACGTTTCGATTCTCGCGGGATATCTCGGTATTACACGGTCGGTATTTGGATCGGTATTACGATCCACGGCCAATTATTTGGAAACGAAATCTCGACGACGGAGAAGCGAACGAACTCGTCGGCCTCTCCTCGACGGAATCGAAAATTACGCGGCGGATCTCGCCGCGGTTCTTCGAACGCTGAACTCTCGAAATAGAAGGAACGGTACGCGGCGGTACCCCTGTCGTTCGCTTCGATCGGGCAACGTCGTCCAAGTTTTTCCGTTCACGGGACTCTCCGTTGATTCCAGATCGAAGAAAAGATGAAGCCGATCGATGGACTGGCATGGTTCGTCGTCCTGATGACGGGAACCGCGGCTTTACCCTCCCAGTCGCTCGCCCAACTTCGAGGTGTGCAAGTAAAATCGAAGCAGACCACACCGACGTATTTCGGCGTGGATAAAACTGCGAGTTTCCCGGCCGAATCGAACAGCAGTCCTATGACCAAAAGTGCGAGTGGAACCGGAACCGGAACCGTGACCGTAACCGTAAACGGAAACGGAAACGGAAACGGAAACGTGAACGGTAGCGGCAGCGGGAACGGAAACGTGAACGGCAACAGCATCGACGCCGATTTCAGAATTGGAACTGGAAACGCGGGTAACGACGAGGTCGACGACGACGCGGTGTCGAGGCCGGTATCCGTCGGGGCCTCCGCGACCACGGCTATCGACGATCCTGTAATTCCGATGTCGTCGCTGTCGCTCTCGTCGCTCTCGTCGCTCTCGTCGCTGTCGCTCTCGTCGCCGTTGACGCTGTCGTTGTCGATGGCACCCTCGCCGTCGCCGTCCTCGCCGTTCTCGATGATTTCGCCGACGTCGACCGCACGGAACGCGTTTACCCAAATTATCGAGGCGACGCCGACAACGTCGTTGCCAGCATCTTCCAACGCCGAGAAATCGGTCGGGGCATCGACGACAACGAACGGCACGACGGCCGCAGGAGAGACGGCTGCGACGATCGACGCGAACACGGCTCCCGTCGAAACTTCCTCGAGAACCATTACCCCTGTACAGGACGCGGAAGGGGACGACGACGACGACGCGTTGCTGTCGTCGAAAAAGTCGACGACTATCTTCGAAAATTTCACGACCACCCCGATTTCAATTTCAGCGAAGGAAACGCGAGAATCGCCCGGGAAAATTCGGCCTCAGATCAAATTAACCACCAATTATACCAGCCTGACCGAGGTAAGAAAACTCTCTCGAACGGTTCGATCGTTCTTTCTCGTTCCGTGTTCGATCTTTCGAGGAAATCGGATCTTCTCTTCGATCGCGAAGGAAATCGAACGTACGCGCGCGGCGAGGTCGAAAGAGCGGGCGAGAACAAATTTGACGTTTACGGCGGCATAGGCGCGTGACGCGATTCGTGCGAATAAAAAGGCGTAGCACGAAGGTTCGGAAGTCGCTTTCGGTATCCAATATTATTTCAGCGTTATCTCAAAAGTTTCGAGCGAAAGATTCGGGGTGCCGTTGGAAATTTGTAGAAAACCGATCACCGATCGACTTTTTTCGTATCGTCGGAAATGCGAAGAACGTCGGAAGAAATCGTGCCATCCGCGCCAAACGATCCCGAAAGTGCTTCGTTCCGGACACGACTCGATCTTGTACCGAAAATTCCATCGATTCGATTCGCCAACGTCGTTCGATTCGAGAACTCGCGCGTTAAAAGTACGGTCGCGTCGGATCGGCCGCGAGGCTGCAGGGTTACAGGGCTGGAGAGTCGCGACAGGGCTTCGATGCTAAAATTCGCGCAACTTTCGAAGCTGCGGATAGTTCCGCTCGCACCTCGTACATTTTCTCTCGAGAATAATCGAAAAATCGAAAGTTTGCCGCCAACGATCACCGAATCCGCACTCCGTACGGAATACCCAAAATTTATGCTCGACGCTTTGAATTTTGCAGATTTTGTCCCCGACGTTCTTATGCGCGAACAACATTTTGGATTCCGATACTTTCGATTTTAAAGAGTTGCCATTTTATAGAAAAAGCAACGTTTTCGATCCGTCGGACTTGAAAAATTGATTTTTGCCCGCTGAAAGCGACGAGTCTTCGAGCAACGGAGCGATAGAGCGATAGAGGGATAGCGTAGAAAGGGACCCAGATTCGCGAGCCGTACAGAGAGAACCGTCAAGTGTCACGAACTCGAGAAAAAATGTCATATGGGTCGGTCTAGAAAGTTACGGACGTTGAGCGAGGGTACGACGCGTTTAGCCTGTGGTCTTTCACCGCTTCGCCGTTTCGCTGTTTCGACGCGTTGCGTTTCGCTTTGCCTCGTATTCGTTTCGTTTCGTTTCGTTTCGTTTCGTTTCGTTTCGTTTCGTTCGGTTCGATCGAAGCATTCTCGCTCGCAACGATCGGACAGAAAACGATCGTTTCGCGTTTCGTCCTGTAACGCGACGCGCCGCGTCGTCGGATCGGCCTTTTGCTCGCGTACCGATAGGCATCGGCATCGAATACCACGATGTAGGACCGTGAACCGTCGCAGCGCCGCGTACTTTCTCCTACGTTATTTTCGGTAGCGCGACCGACGCGTTTCGGTTCGTGCTCCGCGTATCTACGGATGCACGGATGCACGCGTCCCCGACCACGAGACGTTACGAAACGTTCCACGGTCGGTCGACCGTTCGTTTCCGAGGATCCGTTAAGGGTTAGGTCTGGGTTAAGGTTAATGGAGGAGACGGTGCATCGCGCGCTCGATCCGTTTGATCTTTCCACGCTTCGCACGGTCTAGCTCGACCAGCCGGCGACGACCGGTCTCCGGCAGAGTCCGAAAGCGCGATCGACGATGCGATATCCGATATCCTTGCTCGGCTGGCCGAGTCTTTACGGCGTTCGTCGCTTTCGTTTTCGGTTTGCAAAGTTAGCCTCGTATCCGAGAAAGTTTATACCAAGAATCGCGGTTACCGACCGGACCTACGTACGTCGAGATCCACGTCGAGACGGCCGCAGGATATCGAGCACGGTTTCCGCTGGCCGAACTCGCGATGACTTTTCGTTCGGAATATGAACCGGTTCGAAGACGGAATTCCTATCGTCGTCCCGAAGCGAACGCGCTTCTCGATCGTCCCGCCATTCTTATTCTTATCGAACGTCCGACGATGCGGGGATACGAAGACGCGCGCGCGCGCGCGCGACCGTTTCGCGTTCGTTTCGCGCGAACTCCATTCGATTCCGCTCGTTTCGCGTTTCTTTCCTCGCACGCGTTCGCTTCGCTTCGATTCGACGCGAAGCGGGAGAAAAATAGTCGAGTTCTTCGAGCCGTTCCGCTCGAAACATCCAAGAAAGAATCGTTCGGACTCGCTTAGGAAGTTGTCGCGAATCGCGTTGCTCGCTTTAACTTTGCAAAAGGAGGGCAAGCGTTCACGACCGTGACGCGCGAACGGGCCGACCGGTGTTAATATCGGTAGTGGAACGTGACGACGAAAGAAAAATAATACAAGAACGAAGGGAAAAGAAGCGAAGAGCGACGAGAACGAAGAGAAACGAGATCGAACGAAACGAAAACGGAGGGGCTAGCCGATAGAAAAGAAAAAGTGGTAAAAACGGCGGGGTTCGGTCGAGAATCGACGAATCGACGAACGATCGAGCGAGAAAACGGCGGCGAATGCGTCGAGCTTCGACGGGTATCGAGTCGCGACAAAACCAGAGATTCCTTCGTTCGGAAGGTCCCGTCGTCGTCGTCGTCGTCGTCGTCGTCGTCGTCGTCTCTTCGTCGTCGAGCGATCGTTCAAAAAAATCCGTTCGTCGAAGCGTCGCGAAACGGACAGGAGAGACTTTGAACGGGAAAGCATCGAGGCTTCGTAAAACGGTTCTTCCTCCGTAAAGTCGAGCCAATTACACGGATCGCGGACGAGATTCTTAGAAACGAACGAATAGAACGAATAGAAATCCGCCGATCGACTTCGACCACGGTACTCGTCGAGCCGCGCGGCACGGAAACTATAATAACGTCGCGTCGTTCGCGAGAGACGTCGAGACGCCGAAAGACGCCGAGAGACTCCTCTCGAGCGTCACGATCGTTCGTTCGCGACTCGACCTCTCGCCAATATTCCGCTCTATCATTTTACGTCCTTCGACCGGATCGTTCCGACCATACCGACCACTCTGCCGCGTTCTATTTGATTTTTCTTTCTCTCCCATTGTTTCTACCTTCCAATTACCGCTACATCGCGAAAATACCAACCATTTGCCTCGGGTGAGGCGAAGGTAATCGTCGAACGGGTAATGGGATGGAAAGAAACGGAAAAGGGGAAAAGGGGAAAGGTGCGGCGGCAGAGGAAAAGAAGAAGGCGGGGAGATGGAGAAAAGAAACGAAACGACGTAATAACGAGTTTAGCGAATCGCGCGATACGAACGCGCGCGCAGCCGGCTATTCGTAGGCAAACCTAGAATAAACGCGATTAGCGATTTCTTCGCGCGACGAGTACAAAATGCTCGAACGCGTTCTATCGTTGCGAACGAAAGAACCAACGAACGAACGAACTCGAGAGAGAAAGAAACGATAGGGGTTTTCCGCTACGCGCGGCAGGCCGCGCGGATCCACGAGTATACGGTATCGCGACAGAAACCTAATTCCAAGGATCATTTTGTTTCTCGATTTCTCGGATTCCTAGACTGGAGTACGATTTCCGGAGGGTGCGAGCGCGGCACTCGCGAAACCAACGAAATACCACTACTACCCGCACAATCAGCACATTTATCTGTTGCCGGAGTGCGCGGTGCAGCAAGTTTGCAACGCCGTCTACGTTCGACTGAATTTTACGCAGCCTTTGTGCGCTTGTCCGGGAAGATATCGAGATCCTTGCAGCGCGTCTCTCGACAGCGACGACCTCCACACCACCGAGCTGGTCACCGACCCACGGACCAAGGTCAGTCGTTACGATTTTCAAACTTTTCTCTTCCATTCGGCTCCGTTCGGGGTCGAACGAACTCGAATCGTCGAAGCTCTCGATCGCGATCGCTTCCGCGTCGCCGCGGTCCTCCGCCGCGGCCGGGTCGAGCAACGCCTCGCTCGTTCCAGGATACGCGTACTTTTCGTCGCACGATTCCAACAGCTTGCACGTTTTACTTTCAGCTTGCCATTTTTACGTTCACGATTTTCACGATTTTCACGATTATCACGATTTTCACGAATTTCCAAGGCGGTTCGCGGCGGACCCGCGGAGGACAACGACCACGCGACGCGATACTATTCGCGAACGCGTCCGTTCGGTCGGCGCGACGTCGCGCATCGTCGTCCAGCGCGCTCGCGAAGAGGACGACGCGACGGGAAAAACGGAAAGCGCGAAGCGTAAAGTTCTTCGAGTCGACGCTCGACGAGAACGCGAGAAACGGTCTCATTCGCTTTCAACCGGTGCAACGAGTTTTCGAAAGACACGCCGAGAGGCGTGCGCGCCGACGCCGATCGCGCACCCATTCCGTGAAACTGGTTTCGATCGATCGAACGAGCCGAACTATGAAAATTACCGGCGCGATCGTCGTCCACCGACCAGAAACTAGAATTTAACGGCGACAAACTGTTTCGTGGCACGAAATAGTCGCGGCGTTGTCGCGCTAATCGAACGTTTCACCATTCAGGCTCTCACTTTGGTGAAGACTTGCGAACCGGTGGCGGAGATGCGAGAATGCAGAACTCCGAGAGACTGGTCTCTTCTCGCGTTGCAGAACGTGCGAACTGGAAAATCTCATTATCTCGTGATATGCCGCTGCCCGGACGCCAATATACTCGGTAAGCCTACGAATATTTCGATGCGACGCGATTCGGTTCGACGAACGACGCGCGTACGACACGAAATACGAGAAGACGCGATCCTCTCTGTCGCGGATCGAAGAAAAATCTCGGTGTCAACGTTCGAACGACCTTGTTTCCCCCTTTTCTCTCTTTCGATCGATGCGAGAACGTTGTTCGCGTACGGCCGGTAGCGTAACAACGAACGCCTCGAGGGCGGCGTTGGCGGCTCGAAAAGAGTCTCGCCTCGATCGATGTCGCGTCGCGTCGCGTCGCGTCGCGTCGCGACCGCGACCGCAACCGCGACCGCAACCGCGACGTTTCTTTCGATTTTCTCAGCGGCCTAGCTCGTGCGCGACTTTGTCGTCCCATCGTCCCGTTCGTCCTAACGCGTTATTACCGTCGCTGTATCCACGAACTTGGGAATCCGAAAACCTACACGGAATCTACGAACTCGCGAATCCACGCCGCGACCGTGAATCGATAATTCCAAATAATCGTAAATCATTTGCCGCATGTTCCGCTTCGTAGAAGGCCCCATGAGCCACGACCAGCCGACTTATGCGAGCGTGCCAGGAATTCGTGTCTACGGAATGATGTGCGTACAAGGAAATAGAAAAGGCCGACCTTTGCGATACACGCGAAGCATATCGGGTAAGCGACGATCCTATTTCTCTCTCTCTCTCTCTCTCTCTCTCTCTCTCTCTCTCTCTCTCTCTTTCNGCGCGCGCAGCCGGCTATTCGTAGGCAAACCTAGAATAAACGCGATTAGCGATTTCTTCGCGCGACGAGTACAAAATGCTCGAACGCGTTCTATCGTTGCGAACGAAAGAACCAACGAACGAACGAACTCGAGAGAGAAAGAAACGATAGGGGTTTTCCGCTACGCGCGGCAGGCCGCGCGGATCCACGAGTATACGGTATCGCGACAGAAACCTAATTCCAAGGATCATTTTGTTTCTCGATTTCTCGGATTCCTAGACTGGAGTACGATTTCCGGAGGGTGCGAGCGCGGCACTCGCGAAACCAACGAAATACCACTACTACCCGCACAATCAGCACATTTATCTGTTGCCGGAGTGCGCGGTGCAGCAAGTTTGCAACGCCGTCTACGTTCGACTGAATTTTACGCAGCCTTTGTGCGCTTGTCCGGGAAGATATCGAGATCCTTGCAGCGCGTCTCTCGACAGCGACGACCTCCACACCACCGAGCTGGTCACCGACCCACGGACCAAGGTCAGTCGTTACGATTTTCAAACTTTTCTCTTCCATTCGGCTCCGTTCGGGGTCGAACGAACTCGAATCGTCGAAGCTCTCGATCGCGATCGCTTCCGCGTCGCCGCGGTCCTCCGCCGCGGCCGGGTCGAGCAACGCCTCGCTCGTTCCAGGATACGCGTACTTTTCGTCGCACGATTCCAACAGCTTGCACGTTTTACTTTCAGCTTGCCATTTTTACGTTCACGATTTTCACGATTTTCACGATTATCACGATTTTCACGAATTTCCAAGGCGGTTCGCGGCGGACCCGCGGAGGACAACGACCACGCGACGCGATACTATTCGCGAACGCGTCCGTTCGGTCGGCGCGACGTCGCGCATCGTCGTCCAGCGCGCTCGCGAAGAGGACGACGCGACGGGAAAAACGGAAAGCGCGAAGCGTAAAGTTCTTCGAGTCGACGCTCGACGAGAACGCGAGAAACGGTCTCATTCGCTTTCAACCGGTGCAACGAGTTTTCGAAAGACACGCCGAGAGGCGTGCGCGCCGACGCCGATCGCGCACCCATTCCGTGAAACTGGTTTCGATCGATCGAACGAGCCGAACTATGAAAATTACCGGCGCGATCGTCGTCCACCGACCAGAAACTAGAATTTAACGGCGACAAACTGTTTCGTGGCACGAAATAGTCGCGGCGTTGTCGCGCTAATCGAACGTTTCACCATTCAGGCTCTCACTTTGGTGAAGACTTGCGAACCGGTGGCGGAGATGCGAGAATGCAGAACTCCGAGAGACTGGTCTCTTCTCGCGTTGCAGAACGTGCGAACTGGAAAATCTCATTATCTCGTGATATGCCGCTGCCCGGACGCCAATATACTCGGTAAGCCTACGAATATTTCGATGCGACGCGATTCGGTTCGACGAACGACGCGCGTACGACACGAAATACGAGAAGACGCGATCCTCTCTGTCGCGGATCGAAGAAAAATCTCGGTGTCAACGTTCGAACGACCTTGTTTCCCCCTTTTCTCTCTTTCGATCGATGCGAGAACGTTGTTCGCGTACGGCCGGTAGCGTAACAACGAACGCCTCGAGGGCGGCGTTGGCGGCTCGAAAAGAGTCTCGCCTCGATCGATGTCGCGTCGCGTCGCGTCGCGTCGCGTCGCGACCGCGACCGCAACCGCGACCGCAACCGCGACGTTTCTTTCGATTTTCTCAGCGGCCTAGCTCGTGCGCGACTTTGTCGTCCCATCGTCCCGTTCGTCCTAACGCGTTATTACCGTCGCTGTATCCACGAACTTGGGAATCCGAAAACCTACACGGAATCTACGAACTCGCGAATCCACGCCGCGACCGTGAATCGATAATTCCAAATAATCGTAAATCATTTGCCGCATGTTCCGCTTCGTAGAAGGCCCCATGAGCCACGACCAGCCGACTTATGCGAGCGTGCCAGGAATTCGTGTCTACGGAATGATGTGCGTACAAGGAAATAGAAAAGGCCGACCTTTGCGATACACGCGAAGCATATCGGGTAAGCGACGATCCTATTTCTCTCTCTCTCTCTCTCTCTCTCTCTCTCTCTCTCTCTCTCTCTCTTTCTCTCTCCGCGTCCGAACGTTCGATCTAGTATCGAGTCAACGATCGAGTCTTTTCGCGATCTAATCTCCCTTCTTCGCAGATCGTCCAAACAAATACATCGATGCCGAACAAGCGGACCAACGACCGAGCTTTCCCTGGTACAAGGTGCAACAACTGATGGATACAGCTGTTTGGGATTAAAACGATTCGTCTTCTCGAACGTATCCCCGACGTCCGTACAAGGAGAACACCTCGAAACGTGTAATCCGCTTGTCGCCATTCGTTCTTTTATTTATTATGCGTTTCGCTTAGCATTCGTTCCTTCCGCTTTCTTCAGCTTTCCTACGATTCGCGATTCGTCCTCTATTTAATCTTATTTACAACGATGCTGCCGCGTACGAGCACGCGCGGCCGTAGGCGTACGCGTCGGCGTAGGCGCGAGCGTCGCCGGGAGCTAAAATTCGAACGAATCGACTCGCCCCACGGAGAGACTCGTTTCGAACGTCTTTCCGAAGATCGCGGATTCGTCGCCGCGGTGGACGCTCGGATGTTCCGCGTATCACCGATGCTACCGAAAAACTTGTCGCGCACCAGTATTTTCGACGAGTCGAGTTCGTTCGTCTTTTCCCTCGTCGAAAGAAACAACACCGTCTACGACTTTGCTATCGCGATCGCGCGTCCAACTACGCGTCGAGTAGGAATTCTTAATTGATAATTTAATTTAATAATTTATAATAACCTAGCAATCGTTATAATCGTTAATAATTACGATATTGTAGTTATTAATAATTTATCGTACTTGTAATAATTATTAATAATCGTTGATATTATAATAATTATTAATAATTACAAACAAATGGTACACCGCTAGATTCGTCGATCGAACGTTTAACCTTCGCCGTCCAACATCCTTCGATCGCAATTTTTATAATCGTTTCTGCCAGTATGCAACGGCCGAGTCCCGAGTCAACCGTACTTACGATCCTGCGCGAAACGTTTATCGATCGATCGAGTAGGAAAGATCGATCGTAATGATCGTTCGAAAATGGAACCGCGACCAATTTTCGGAACGCGAATCGAACGCCTACGAGACGGAGTTTCGTCCCTGCGCATCCCCGTGGTGTCGCGTTCGCGCGAAAAACCAACCGTTGCGTACTAAATATTTCAAGTTCAACTTACCCAAAACATCCGAGTTAACTAAAACGCTGCAGCTGTACATCGGTGCGACCAGTCGAGGGCATCTAGAGTTGAACGCGCGACGACAAGCTTCTTTGCACGCCGACATCAAAAGTCCACCCACGCGGCCTTGGTTCTGACCGCAATTTTCACTGCGAAAAAGCCAAACGCGCGACGACTTTTCGATTAATTGTTCCACGATGCTTGAGACGGTTTCGAACGACCCAACAACGGTTACATCGAAGCGAAACGAAAAAGAATAAACTAGAAAAGATCAATGGTAAAGGCGACCGAAAAGATTGGAAAAGAAATTCGGTCGAACGGCGACCGAATTCGAACAGGTTTTAGTTGCTACGTATAGCGTGTTGTAGGATTGAAATTTCGCTGTACCCTTGGGAATCTTGACAGATGACCCACTTCTTCAGGACGAAACAGACACCCGTCATAGGTTCTTCGCACAACGGCCCGGCAAGCGTTGCCAGTTGAAATCCGCTAACCATACTGCTCTCGTATCTGATACATTGCGAACGATATTATACATAGATATTTCCATGGTCGACTACGACTACGACTACGACTACGACTACGACTACGATTACGATTACAATTACGGTTATTCCAACTCGGAAACACGAATGTCCTCGTATATTCGTTTGAAATTGTACGAACAAATTGTGTCGGGTACTCACGGAAAACGTGGATCGGTAGACTTCGAATGGCCTTCCCAAAATTTGTTCTGCCTGTAATCCGTTTCGTTCAAGAGGATATTGGGACCGCAGTTTCGCGGTCCGAACGACCATATCTTCTCCAAGATATTTTCTTGACCCGCCTCTCGAAAACCAATCGATAACTCGTGTTTGAATACGGAAAGCGCTTTTTGCTCCTTCTCTCCTTCTGGCAACGGTTTCGCGGCTGCCGTTCCCATCCCTTCGCCGTCGTCCTCGTCGTCGTCCTCGTTCTCGTCCCGTCCCTGCTCCTGCTCCTGCTCCTGCCTCGGCCCCAGTTCGCGCTCTTGCTCCTTCTCCAAGGATAATTTGCCGTGACGACGATACAACGACTTGATCAAATCCGCGTTTTTCTCCAAAATCTTGGTAACCTTTTCTGGCAAAGGTCTGGCGTCCATTTCGAAGTGGAATTGTCGAATTACGGTAGTCCGGCTGGTAAGGTTGACGTCTTCTGGCTTTTTTTCGATCGCCTCGTTGACCATGTCGACCTTTGGCGGAGGTACGACCGTCTCCCGAAACGGTACGATAGGCTCCGATACGTTCACGTCGACTTTCGCGTATCTCAGTCGCAAATCTTCCAAGCATCGTTCCAAATGCACTTCTCCGGCGGTATTCAGCACAATTTCTCCGCTCTCTTGAATACGAACTACGGCACAGGCGTCCGCCTGATTCAACAACTTCAAGCCGTTGATCAGAGCCGGCAAATCGTTCGGATGTTTCGGTTCCAGAGCAACCCTCATTATAGGGACGCCGAACGACATCGGTTCGGAAAAGGGAGGACAGGCGACGGTGGAAGAAAGCGTGGCCGTCTTCAGTACGTGTTCTTCCAAGTCGCCGATTCCGAAGACGTTCCCAGCGGTCACCGTATCCGTGGGTTCCAGTTCCCTGCCCATCAAAAAATAAAGCTTTCGCACGGTGACTCTGGTCACGTGTCTGCCGGCTTTCAAGTCCTTCAGCGTGACAGATTGGTCCGTCGGCAATTCGCCGACTCTCCGCGGATCGTGTTTCGGCCCTAAAACGAACACGGTGCTCCCCCTGGTCAACCTGCCGGAATAAGCTCTGGCGAACGCGATCATCGCAGTTTCGTCGCACGGGTCGGTCGTTTCCGTTGTCTCACCGGTTTCGGTGGCTTCGAGGGCTTCCGTGGCTTTTTCCTTTTCCTTTTCCTTTTCCTTTTCCTTCTCCTTCTCCTTCTCCTTTTCGATCGCTCTGTATCCCGACGATCTCGCCTGGTTCGCCACGACATCGCATTCCGATCGATGTTCCGCCGTTTCGTCGACAGCCGTGTCCGCGATCTTCGCCGCGTGCCTCAGCCGCGCGATTTCTTTTCGTTGCGCCAATTCCTCCGGGGTGAGCAGTTTCGGTTTATTCTCCGGCAAGATCTTTCTCTCGACCGGGAACATTTTTGACACGAAGACGATCACCGGCGAGCCAGGGGACGGATCGCAAGCCGAAAAAGCTTCTTTCAAGCGGCGCGTCTCGCCAGGTAACGAAGAAAAATCGAAGCGTCCGCTCAACAGACGTTCGACCTTCTCGGTCGTCAAGTTGTTCGGTGCCGGGACGTTCTCGCAGACAGCGTCGAGGCAAGCTCGAGCCAACGGCAACCATTGCGAACAGATGGCTTGCAGCTGAGCTTTGGGATCCGTGTGTCTCAGATCTCTGCTCGTCAACTTGATGTCGAGTTTCTCCGCCATCGAGCTTATCTTCTCCTTGTCTTTTCTTATCGTTATCGTTTCGTACAGCGTCCACAAGTTGTCCAGAATCAGCTGCACGAACAGGGGCTTCTTGGCCTTCTCCTGAGCTCCTTTCAAAATCCTCTTGGTCTTGGTGTTCGCATAGAAATCGCCCCAGAGCGTTTTCAACAATACCGTTTCGCTGAAACCCAATTTCGCGGCAAATATCTTGGCAAAATCCTTGACACCGAATCCCCAGCCATCCGTGGCGCTCGAAAATAAAACGTTACCTTGTTCCGGCGAGAAATAGAGACCGGAATCGTCCATGTCTTCCATCGCCGACTGCCAGTCGGTCAAACGTCTTTCCGAAACGGTTCCCGAGGCGTTCTTCGAAACTCGATCCGCTCCGTCTCCTCCTTCTTTATCCTGTTCCCGCTCCTCCACCTCCTCCTCCTCCTCCTCCTCTTCCTCTTCCTCGTCCTTCTCCTTTTCTTCCCGTTCCATCGCGTCGCTGGCGAACAGCTCGCCCATCACGGCGTTCACCTGTTCGAGTACTTGGCTCAAGTGCACGTAAGCGTCCAACGGCGACAGTTTCATTTCCGTGATCAATCTGTCGATCTTGTTCAGAACCAAGATCGGTTTCAGACCCTCGACGTACGAAGTGGACAGGGCACCTCGCGTCTGCGGGCACACTCCCTCCACCACGTCGATCAAGATGATCGCTCCGTCGCATAGTCGAACCGCCGACGAAACTTCGGAAGCAAAGTCTACGTGACCCGGCGAATCGATCAGATTCACCGCAAATTCTCGACGATCGTATTCGTGGTACAACAAGATCGAACTGGACTTCATAGTGATTCCACGTGCCTGTTCGTCCGGTCGACTGTCCAAGTATCGAAGCTTGCCCGCCAGTTTCTTCGAGATAATTCCATTGCTGGCCACCAACGAATCCGCCAACGTGGTTTTTCCATGATCGACGTGCGCCAATATACAAATATTCCGAATATTGTTCGGATTCTTTTGAATATCCGACAATTTTTCCGAGCTGATGAGTCGCATTCTGCGATCGCTTCCGTCGAATCGGTAACAACAAAAAGGAGAATTTCCAAAAATTGTACAAACATTGATACGCGCGCGTTACCGTCGCTTTGCCAGTTTCGTTTCAAAATCGAATACCAAACTTTCGGCTTCTATTTCAAATAACCAGATTCCAGATTCCAGATTCCAGATTCCTTTCTATTCCTGATTTCAGGTTACAAACTCTCGGGGTTTCGAAAGATCTCCTTTTACGTTTACGTTTACGTTTACGTTTACGTTTACCTACGAAAGATTTCGGAGAAGCGCGAATCGGTTCTCGATGAAACGAAAGCAGAGAGAATGCGTGAATACGAAATGGGATAAGAAACCAACGATGCGTTTTATCACGTATTCCTCGCGAGTATCATAGACCAGCAATATACCAATTTCTGTTTCTCAATTGGTAAGAACAATAATCACTATTTCACTTTATTCGGTTTCCAAAGAACGTAATGTTCGACAAAGACCAAAATATGTCGTAACCTCGTCGCTCGCATCCTCTTGGTTTTCTTCAGCATACCAATTTTGTCGTGCGGCGTGTGTGCTGTATCGACCGGAACGGACACCAATAACCGATCGAAGATTCTCAAGTTTCTCTCGACTTGTACGCTTTGTACGTAGCTCGTTTCACGGCTAAACGTTTGTACGTGTTTGTACCTTAATCGTGGAAGGAGAGCTCTTTCATACCTATTCGATTCCCGTTTGGAGGTTAGACTACCGCACGAAGCACGATCGAACGCTTTGCTTTCGAAATCGGACGATTTCTCTATCCGTATATCAGTTATTTCCCAACTTGTTTCGGACAACGAGCGATTTCAATGGCGCATCGATACACGGATTCTTAACAACGAAAATATGTACATACTCTCTGAAAATCCAACATGCGATTTGACTTATATGTACACCTACACCTTGCGGAAGACCATATTCGATGGACGCAACGTACAAGATACGTATATGTATGTTCGCGATGACTCGCGAATACGTACAGAAAACATAGTACGTGTAGGTACATGCGATATAAAACGACACGCGTACGTAACGAGAAAAGAAAATGCGAGCATGGAACTAGGGAGCGTCGACTCTATAGGGAAAACTGGGGACATTCTTTTTACCGCTACCCCTGAGCTAGCTGCACGCTCGGACGAACTAAAATTCGTGCCGTCGCAACGCCATTCCCGCCATTCCGAGCTAAGCAAACCTAACCGCGAGCGAACCAGCGAATCGATGTACTGGACATAACCGGTAAACCATACATATTCTTAGTTTGTACAATATAACTATTTGAATTACCGCTTCTAAACTGCCATATTGAAGTTTAGTTCGTTCAAGTTTGGAGCTATTCGGATGGCAGTCGAAACGGTGCCCCAAAAATTTACCAGGAGTCGAGCCCCCTCTGCATGGAACTATGCAACACCGTTGCCGTGTATAGTGTGAATTCCCTCGAATGTCACGCGACTCGATCCTCGACGTTACGGACGAGCAGTTTAACATAGTAGGGATAGAGGGCAGCTCTAGAGTATCCTCGCGCGTTTACGATTGGTCGCGTCGGTTGACCACGTCGCCCCCTTTCCCTACCTCCCGAACTGCTCGTCCGTGACGCCACGGAGGAGCCACGCGGTGACGTTCGAGGGAATTCATGAGAACGATGCCATGAAAACGCTGGTTCGCACGACTCTTTGATGTCGGCGAATCAACGAATCAACGAATCGATTGCTGTTTGGACGATGGTGACATCTCGCGCGTCAAAATCTCAAAGTACCGTTCAGGGTTACGTACGTTAGTCACAAATTATCGACGATCGATTTTCGCTAACAATTCGAGTGTTTCGCCGCTACGCCGAACGATGTACTTATTCTCCGCAATAGACGTCATAGTCGTCCACGTTTACCCAATGGCAGGGTCGTCTAATAACATGAACTTTGACAAAATTGGGGCATAAAATAGTAAACCAAGGGCTCGAAATTGTTTAAGAGAATTCAGAGAGTTTTACATTCGATATCGTACACAAAAACAAACGACAACATTGCCGAACGCGATAACGTAACAGCTCTATTCGAAGTTTGGTTAACCATTATATCAACTAATTATATTTTGGTTTGTCGTCGTTTGATTTTCTTAGTCGATATCTTGTATGAACAAATCGATTACATGGTAACATTAAGCATGTACGTATGTACGTGCATAGCAGATATGTGCAGGATGTTACGAAATTATATGTCACGACTTCTACACCGCGATTCTACACCTTTGGATCGACAGAGATTTCATAAAGTAAAATTTGCCGAAAAATTCACGCCGAGCACGATTGTCAAGGTCAAACTATCGTATCGTCGCATCGTACGATACTCGTCTGGAGCAAGGATGGACACGAAGGAACCGTGGGTAAAAACTCGATAGTTCTCCTAAAGGAAATAACGACGAGGTCGTGCTATCGGTATTACGCGCGAACCCGTTCATTGCTAGGCAAATTTAGAGCGTCTTGCCGCGCGGGCATCAAGATTCGATGCGAAAGAAAACGTGTCGTTACTGGAAAACTTGGAAAGCTGACTATCGTAATTTTTTATTTCATTCGGCAACATTTACCGTTACGAGGTGTATAACGATACAACGATATAACATATAACATATAACATTATATTATTCGTGTATACATACGCACGCGTATACAAATAACATAGTGAACATTCGTCGAAAAAACATTTGGAAGCATACGCGTGAAACACAGATGTACAACGGTGGAATCAACTTTTCGAATCGAATCCGAAGAAATTTAAAAATCATTCGACGGAAACGGAATGTTATTCGCTACTTTTCATCTTCTTTTCCTTGCTTTTTAAACCGCGTGCCCTCAAATTGCACAATGTCCTCGAGATGAGCCAAATAGTACCCTTCTCGCATACGCAACACAAACCCTGTACAAAGGCAGCGAGCAAGAAATGAATGGGATAACCGGTTGTACACACTTCGATGCCGACGGTCTTCAACGACGCTTCGACGTATTTCTCGGGGGTGGGCGCCATCCATGTTGCTTTCCTAAAAGTCAAAATAATCCGTTTTTATTCTTTCTTATTCTTTAAGGAGAAGCGAAGCGAAAAGAGAAGAACGCGATCGCGACCGAGTCGAGACTCGCTTACTTGATCTTCGACATTTTGGTCGCTACGATGCCAGGAGACACGCATTGAACGGTGACCCCTCTCGGTTCAGCTTCCGCAGCCAAATCGTAACTAAGCTTCATCGCGTAAGCTTTGGTCGCGGCATAAAGGGACAGATAAGGGCTCGGTATGTAGGACAATATCGAACTGAGGTTTATCAGCACTCCTTTCCTGCGCTCGAACATTTTTGGAAGAAATATTCGCGTAATACCCGTCAAGGCTGTCACGTTTAATCGCAAAATGGTCGACACACGCTCGTCCGTGAGTTCGGTAAATAGTTCCGGATGATCGTAGCTGGCTCCGGCATTATTGACGACGACGCCAACCTGTTGAGAAAAACCACTCGGAAAGATCACGATTTTCGTTCGTTCGCGAAAGAACGATCGGATGGAAATGAAACGAGAGAACAAACCTCGAGATCTTCGGTTGCTTTAGCGATCTTTGCAAAAATTGGTTCGCCTTCGGTCAAGTCCGCTTCCACGGTTCGAACCTGAACGTTGTATCGTTGTTTGATCTCCGCCGCGGTCTCCTCGAGCTGGGCCACGTTCCGCGCCACCAACACAACGTCCAGACCTTTTCCCGCGAGTTGTTCGGCGTACGCTTTCCCGATTCCAGCGGTGGCACCGGTAACTATCGCCCATCTGCCCTGCGACCTCAGATCGATTCCCAAACCGAAACTGGGCGCGATAAGTTTTCTCCATACGAGCACGCCGACTCTGAGTAAAATCCTTAGACCGATCACCGCCAACACCGCCAAGGACACTATTTCGCTGCAGGTTAACGTCATCCTGAAAAGATTCGGAGAAACGCGATTACGGATTACGTTCTCGTTCTCGTTCTCGTTCGCGTTCTCGTTCGCGTTCTCGTTCGCGTTCTCGTTCCGAATCGATCGACTGCCACCTGCGGTCTGGCGGAAATTTTGAATATCGATTGCGACGAGGTGTATTACTCGTCACCGTGAGTCGTAACCAACCGCGAATGTATTCGGATCGGCCGGATTACGATCGTATCCGAGGTGCCCGTACCTGGAAAAATTCTCGTGACCCCCCGACTACTTTGCATCGTCGCTTAACCCCGCGCAATTGGTTCTATCGCGATGACGCTCGTTACCGGTCGCGCGTTATTCGGGGTCATAAGACATCGATTGCCACGGTCTCTTGTTCGGGGTCGCCGGACTTTGCTTCCGACGCGTCACGCTGATAAGCGAAAATAAATTATTTCCTAACGTTCGCGTTTCTCGATACGCGATCGTTGCATATCGATCACGTTGCACCTCCGACTGCAACCGAATTTGGTCACGTTCCGACTACGGCAGACATTTGCAAAGAACAAAACATTTCCTTCCTATCGACGGTCGAGTTTCGTAATTTTTAAGGCATCGTCGTTTCCTTCGTTTCAAACGTATTCTCTCGAACACGCGCGTACACGTATTTCTATTTCTCCGATCTCTCATCGATCTATCGCCGATCCTTCGCCTTCGTTGGACGAATAGCGCGACCGCGTATAGGCGCGCAAGATATCTCCTGCGACGAAGACAGCAACGAGTACAACGAGTACAGCTATTCGCATCGGATTCTTAGATAATCGAATCGCCGTCCCGATCCACGACGAGTTGTACGAGCAAAGATGAATTTCAAATTGGTCGGCATAAATACGATACTCGCGCTACCAACTGCCAGTGTTGGGTCTATAAGATATCGATTGTTGAAAGTTGAAACGCGCGTGGTTGCAACCGAGATCGGCGAAAAAATCGATCGAATTTAGTATCGCCGAGTAGCGCGGTGTTCGTCGATCAAAAATCGGAATCGCGTACGGGTGACGTAAGTAAGCGGTAGTCGATCGCGGAACAAGCGATTTAACCTCGACTCACCTTTATATTCGTTTCCGTTTGGATCGGACGACCGAACCGGTTCCTCGTCGATTCAACGAATGTCTCCTCGACGCGATAAATGCGGCATCACTTCCATAAAATAATGTCTATACTCGCGGATAAGATTGGTAAACGCGCGAAAAGGGAGGACGAACGTAGTAGCTGGCGGCGTGCGTCGCGCGTCGTATCGCGTCGCGTCCCTTCTGGTTCGAGCACCGTTCCGAAACGACGACGCGCCGTCCGTTCCGTTTCGCTTCGCTTACAATTGGTTTCGTTTCGCGGAAAGTCGGACAACGCCGACTCTTCTCTGTACAGGACACTTCGAAGAAATACAGGAATCGAAAGATAGGAGAAATGGGAGGAGAAAGAGAAAGCGGGACCGCGGCAGCGATCGAACCGAAAGGGGGATAGAAAGCCGAAAGCCTGAACGAGAAAAGGAGAAGACGCGACGTCGTGAAACGGTCGATGTCGAGTAGACTGGTGTAGTCTGCGCGGGCGCGGGCGCGTACACGAAAACGACGCCGGACACGGGGGCACGAACGTCGAGCCGAAAGAAATTTAAGGGATAGAGAGCTACGAGGCCGATGCGGAAACGAGTTTTCGCAAAATGTACTACGTACGCGAACGAGTTCGAACGTTGACTCGGACCGGCGACGCGGAGCTGCGTGGTCGCGGGAGCAATGTCAGGGCCGAGCCACCGTTCCAGAAGAAGGTCGTCGCGTCCACCTTTCTTTCTCGACGAGTGGGGAGAGCAGTCGATTCTTTCTCCGACACACTTACCACGCTTGCAAACGATTCCCGCCAAACGCGAAACAACGCGTAACACGTGCCGTCATGCCGTCGCCGCCGCTTGGCTGCGCCGGTATGATTTGCGATTTGCGATTTGCGATTTGCGATTTGCGATTTGCGATTTGCGATTTGTAATGAATAAAATCGACGNTTCTCGTTCGCGTTCTCGTTCCGAATCGATCGACTGCCACCTGCGGTCTGGCGGAAATTTTGAATATCGATTGCGACGAGGTGTATTACTCGTCACCGTGAGTCGTAACCAACCGCGAATGTATTCGGATCGGCCGGATTACGATCGTATCCGAGGTGCCCGTACCTGGAAAAATTCTCGTGACCCCCCGACTACTTTGCATCGTCGCTTAACCCCGCGCAATTGGTTCTATCGCGATGACGCTCGTTACCGGTCGCGCGTTATTCGGGGTCATAAGACATCGATTGCCACGGTCTCTTGTTCGGGGTCGCCGGACTTTGCTTCCGACGCGTCACGCTGATAAGCGAAAATAAATTATTTCCTAACGTTCGCGTTTCTCGATACGCGATCGTTGCATATCGATCACGTTGCACCTCCGACTGCAACCGAATTTGGTCACGTTCCGACTACGGCAGACATTTGCAAAGAACAAAACATTTCCTTCCTATCGACGGTCGAGTTTCGTAATTTTTAAGGCATCGTCGTTTCCTTCGTTTCAAACGTATTCTCTCGAACACGCGCGTACACGTATTTCTATTTCTCCGATCTCTCATCGATCTATCGCCGATCCTTCGCCTTCGTTGGACGAATAGCGCGACCGCGTATAGGCGCGCAAGATATCTCCTGCGACGAAGACAGCAACGAGTACAACGAGTACAGCTATTCGCATCGGATTCTTAGATAATCGAATCGCCGTCCCGATCCACGACGAGTTGTACGAGCAAAGATGAATTTCAAATTGGTCGGCATAAATACGATACTCGCGCTACCAACTGCCAGTGTTGGGTCTATAAGATATCGATTGTTGAAAGTTGAAACGCGCGTGGTTGCAACCGAGATCGGCGAAAAAATCGATCGAATTTAGTATCGCCGAGTAGCGCGGTGTTCGTCGATCAAAAATCGGAATCGCGTACGGGTGACGTAAGTAAGCGGTAGTCGATCGCGGAACAAGCGATTTAACCTCGACTCACCTTTATATTCGTTTCCGTTTGGATCGGACGACCGAACCGGTTCCTCGTCGATTCAACGAATGTCTCCTCGACGCGATAAATGCGGCATCACTTCCATAAAATAATGTCTATACTCGCGGATAAGATTGGTAAACGCGCGAAAAGGGAGGACGAACGTAGTAGCTGGCGGCGTGCGTCGCGCGTCGTATCGCGTCGCGTCCCTTCTGGTTCGAGCACCGTTCCGAAACGACGACGCGCCGTCCGTTCCGTTTCGCTTCGCTTACAATTGGTTTCGTTTCGCGGAAAGTCGGACAACGCCGACTCTTCTCTGTACAGGACACTTCGAAGAAATACAGGAATCGAAAGATAGGAGAAATGGGAGGAGAAAGAGAAAGCGGGACCGCGGCAGCGATCGAACCGAAAGGGGGATAGAAAGCCGAAAGCCTGAACGAGAAAAGGAGAAGACGCGACGTCGTGAAACGGTCGATGTCGAGTAGACTGGTGTAGTCTGCGCGGGCGCGGGCGCGTACACGAAAACGACGCCGGACACGGGGGCACGAACGTCGAGCCGAAAGAAATTTAAGGGATAGAGAGCTACGAGGCCGATGCGGAAACGAGTTTTCGCAAAATGTACTACGTACGCGAACGAGTTCGAACGTTGACTCGGACCGGCGACGCGGAGCTGCGTGGTCGCGGGAGCAATGTCAGGGCCGAGCCACCGTTCCAGAAGAAGGTCGTCGCGTCCACCTTTCTTTCTCGACGAGTGGGGAGAGCAGTCGATTCTTTCTCCGACACACTTACCACGCTTGCAAACGATTCCCGCCAAACGCGAAACAACGCGTAACACGTGCCGTCATGCCGTCGCCGCCGCTTGGCTGCGCCGGTATGATTTGCGATTTGCGATTTGCGATTTGCGATTTGCGATTTGCGATTTGCGATTTGTAATGAATAAAATCGACGGAATCAACGGAACGCGTTCCGATACAAAGTATCGCGGTCCGATCGACTCGCAAAATATTTCAGCATGCCGCATGGTCTAGGAACTTTGCTGCTCGCGATTGAAATATTATGCCCGCTTCGTCTATGATAGATTTTCTATTTCTTTAGGTAACAACTGTAGAAACTTTGTATTCCGTCGAACGGTTGGATACGCGAAGAATTCGCGTTTTTCCGACTCCAGTTCCTCCGGCAGGTTACAGACATCGCTCGCAAGTACGCATGTATGTCAGCCGATCGTTTTCGTTTGCCGAACGGCCAGCTTGAAAGTTGGAACTTTCGATTTAGGTCATCTTGCTTTCAAAGTCCAGGTTTCCAATTACGTGTTCGATTCAAAGAGAGAGAATCGACCATACGAGGTGTCCCTATTCTTCCTCGGACGTACGAGAATGCGACGCTATACATCTATGTAGATTGTAGACTATAGACTGCAGATTGAATATACATCAGCACGCATTAAGCACGTTATACGTTCTATTCGATCGAATGTATGCGCAACATTTGAAACGACTTACATCGGCGACACGAGCGATTTTATGCATCTTTCGTAAGCTGCATAAAATCGCGATATCCAAATCTTTGCGGCAAAGCTGCGTTACACCGCGATGGTACGATCGTGCACGCACGTACGCGCCTGTCTCTGGCACATGTAAAGTATTCGATTATTCGATTATTCGACAATTGGGCGATTATGCGACAATCGTTCGAGCATTATGCCTGCAATTCCGTAGAGGCTATCAACTGTTCCGAAGCGGTACAAGGAGTTTTGGTCCCAGTCTTGACAACGCGTCGACCTATCATCATCGTGATATTACGGTGTGCTTGATGTATAGTTTGTAGATGAAATCTTCTCCAAAGCAAGGCTCCTTTGTCGACGGATTTCGTCCAATCTTTCCATTCGCCTCGCGTCACGTTCGAGAATCTCATCTCAAAAATTTTCTCGATCACACCGCGCAACCATATATTCCAATCTAAAGCTTCGTTGCTCACGTGTTCGAGCCATTTCGTCCAATCCCTGATCTCCTTCGATTCCACCACCGGCATGCATCGTTCCATGAACGCAACCTGCGATTTGCTCAGGATAGTTTTCAACCAGTTTGCTACTTTTCCACACACCACGTCCACGACATCCTTTAATTCTTCCGTCAACAGATTCGGATCCTCCAACGTCACGATGTTGGTCAGTTTTTCATAAATCACACGGTGCATAGCATTCGTTATCGGATCTTTGCCCGTGTTTTCCGGAGTCTTTTCGATCATCTTGTAAATCGTATCGATGATTTTGCCAAAGGTAACGAATGGAATATCGGTTTTAAACAATTCCTCCAAGTCCCCTCCGGTCAATATATCTTTCCATTTCTCTTCTTCGGTTGTAACTTTCTCCTCTGCCAATGGCGTAGATGGAATCTCCGTTTCAACTTGTACGTCTTCCGGCAGCTCGTCGCGTTTCTCCTCTTCCTCTTCTTTCTCTTTTTCTCTTTCTCTTTCTTCTCCTTTCTCTTCTTCGACTTTTTCGTCCTCTTCTCCTTTTTCTACTTCTTCGCTCCCCTCCGCATCGCCCTCCGCCGTTGGTTCGATCGCTGCATCCATCCGGTATTCCTCGATTTCCTCCGTTGCTATTGTTTCCGGTTCGGCGTCCGTTTCCGTTTCCGCTTCCGCCTCGACATCCGCTTCGACGTCCGCTTCGACGTCCGCCATCGTTTCTGCTTCCATCGGCTCCGGTTTCTCGGTTTCCATCGTTGCAGTTTCAATTGTTGTTTCTGTTTCAATTTTCTGTTCCGCTTCTACTTCCGAAGGCGTAATCGGGCTCGTTTCAACCTCTACTTCTGCCGTGACCACAGTTTCTGTTTCCGTTTCAACGGCTTTCGAATCCGGTTCGTCTACACGCGTCTCCGTTTCCGTTACATCGTCTACCTTTTCTTCCGCGACGACGGTAGTAGCTTCCTCCACCGTCGTCGTTTCATCTTCTTTCAGGTCTTTGTCTTTCTTCGGGTCCTCGATTCCACTCGTATCCTCGTCCTCGTCTTCTTCGTCTTCGTCTTCGTCTCTGTCTTCGCCTTCATCTTCCTCCTCCTCCTCCTCCTCCTCCTCCTCTTCCTCCTCCTCCTCTTCCGCTATTGCCCATTCTTGCTCCTTCTTTCTGCATATTTCTTTCAACTTTTCCTCCTGATAACGAGCAACGTCCGACAGCACTCCAGATATCCAACAAGCTATCATGTCGGCCAAGGAACGCAACTGCTGCCACTTACGGTCTTCGTTGTGCGAAGGAGTGTACTCGAGAACGTCGACCAAACGTTCGGTGATCACTTTCGAGATGTCACCGAATTCCGACATGGGAATACGACACTTCCATCGTAAAATACTTTTGACGAAACGTTCGGCCATCGAATATTGACACGAGATCGAATCCTTGTCCAACGATCCTGCGATAGCAGGACCTACGCTCGGTTTACTCGATTTACTCGTTTCTTTCTGCCGCCACGTCCGTTTCTTCTCCTTCCGTTTCCTTACCAATTTCTGTTTTCGCGAAACAATCGCCGCTTGCCTGAAAAAAAATCAGCCCACTTTAGACACTCCTAGAAAGAAAGATCTAAAGTAGGCTTAAGATAAAACTAGACTTTCGAACATGAGATTTTAACTTTCGAAAGCTTTCGCAAGCACTTACTTCCGTAACCGACGTAACTCGAATGAATTTTACGAATTTTACGATCTTCGATAAATCGAAAATCGAAAATCGAAAATCGAAAATCGAAAATCGAACCATCAATAAACATACACGATGAAAAGGAAAAAAGGAGAGGATGCCTAAGACCGATACGTTACTCGGGACTCAGGCATGTTTCGTTTTCCAAGGTCCGCGCGAGATTGTCCAAGAGCGCCGGTGGTAACACTGCTGCACCTTGTTGCAGACTTATCAGCATTCGTTGCCTCGGCGGTTGAGCCAATTCCTTGATGCGTCGCGAAACAGGAAGTAATCTTCTCAGCACAGTTTTCTTTGTACAATCCGGTGGACATTTTCGACTGAATGAGAGAATTACAAAACGTTTGATGCCGCCGAATTCGGCTAGAAATCGTATGCACGAGTTTCGACTTAAATAATTGGGTCGTCACCTCGGCTTTGCCAATAGATCGACGTAGGCCTCTTTCGTCAAACAATGTCTAGGTATTATGTCCACTTTCGGGAACGTACACGGTTCCCCAAATACCGAAACCTTCGTAAACCTTTTCGCCTTCCTCGTTTCGCCTTTTCGCGTTTCGCAGCAATCTCCGTTCGACTTTGTTTTCTGCCGCTGAAAATATTTTCTATCAGTGTATCTATAGCCCGAAGAGTTTGCGACGCCGCCGACGTGCTTTCTATCTTCCTCGGATTAAAATGGACGCGACGAAGAGACGATACAAGAAAAAACTATGTGGCAACGTTGCAAAAAGTCAAGATTTTCGGCATGCCTTGGATTTCTTTGAACTCGTTTTGTCACAGTGTTCCCATCTTTTCTTCTTTTCTTGACGCGGATATCCCTCGAAGGTATCATCCTTTTCCCCTCGTTTTATTTCGCGCTCGACAGACGTAGCTCGTTTGACATCTTCCGGTGAATCGTCGTTTTTTTCCATGAACGTATCGCCCTTCTACCTGAATCTATTTAAATCTATTATGAATTTTTCGATTTTTTTTTCTGCTTTTTCTTTCTTATTTCCGTATGTTTTTATTTTCTTATTTATGTTTCTTAGTTCGGCACGGTAACGGTGGTGATAAACGTTTGGTTTTTTCTTTTACGAACAACAAGGTTATATTATTTTTTCGTTACGAACACGATTGACGGTATTGGACATTTTTATGACATTTTGCTCTAGAATTTTGTTGAAATGGGAATTGTTGGGTCGCGTCGCGTCGAACGACGTATAATGCGAATGTACGTACAAAAATCCTCCTTCAACTTTTTATTTGTAAACAAGGATACCGACACCGGTACCGGTACAGAGACACGCGATTGTTTCTCGGTTTTTTGCGAGAAAGGAAGCAAACTTAGTTACCGACTAGGTAATACCTGCGCGAGTAAACATCGAACAACGGAATGAACGCGACAGCGTCGTATATCGTATAACCTACAATGTGGTACGTTCCATTCGAGAGGTTTTCCTGAACAAACAATGTACAGTGTTACCGTACAAATTACAAACAACGGTGAGAAAAGATGAAAAAAGATTAACGCGAGATCGAGAACGATGATGAAAGATGGAAAGAAGATGAACAAAAATTAATGAAAACGAACGAATGGATTGCGATCGAACGATTACGACTAAACGTTTAACGCAGTTAGAAACGTTTGCTAACGAATACAGGAGATTCGCGTTGATCCGATAAGAATGGTGTGCGGTGGTGTGCGGTGCGCGATGTGGTAAGTACAGGTACAGAGCAGTGCAGAGGGCTTCGAATCCAGCGAATCCAGCGAATCCAGCGAGAAAGACAAGGCTTTGAAAAACGCTCGAAGATGGCGGTGCTGTCGTGGTATCGGTGCTCGACACCGATAGCTGCTTCGTTCACTAATCGATCATCCCGGGTGTCGGGTGTCGAGTGTCGGGAGTCGGTGCAAGTAGGTGCAAGTAGGTGCAAGTAGGCGCGAGTAGGTGCGAGTAGGTGAAAGTTGGTGTGCCTATTCGAGAGGACGCATACCGTGCGAGGACACTTACGAGCAAAAGAAGAGTTTCGAAGATATGCAGGTGTGCGAAAATAACTGTTGCTCCTGCATAAGCAACCCGTGATACAGGTGTATTGGTGCGAGATGCTGCTGGTTGGCACTGTGTTCGAAAACATGTCGACGAGGTGCAACGAGGAATCGACGGGACGGTACATCGTTTGAAATCCCGCAGGGTACTCTTACGCTCGTTTCCTTTTCACACCGCGACAAATGGTCATGATTATGATGAGATAACGAACGCAGAATGAGATACAGCGGCAGTAACCTTCTCGGTTATGCAGTTTCCGCGTTTATCCTATTTTTTACCGGTAAGTCCATTGTAGAAATATCCTTTTTCTATCTTTGCTACTCGTACGCGACGTCGTTCCCATGTTTATCCAACAAGTGCCCCTTTTACCTCTCGCATTAGCGTAATCGGCGAGTGACACTTGCGTCGACCTGTTAGTCGTCGTTCATCCGTTTCCCAAGTAACGAATATCACGCGTTAATTCAATCTAGATTCTGACTCTGACCACGGTTCGGTTTACGACTACGACCACGACCACGGTTCCTGGCAATATTTTCTTTCGGCTGGTTCGTATCAATCGCTATCAATCGTTAACGTTTCTTTAACGGCAAAAATCTTGTTCGAGTTGGACCGAGTGATTGACGTAACGTTCGTATGACGCATGTATCGTTGTCGCTCATCTGGTTGCTCGTTTAGCACGATTGCGCGCGGATGCGCAGGCGTACACGTGCAAACGCGCCCACGCACCGACCGTGTATAAATATGGACAGATTACAGAGAGATACAGAGACGAGATTCTCCTAGCAGAGTCGAATTCAGCAAACGTAGAAACCTCTTCTGTAACCGGTAAACGAGTCAAATTGTGCGTGCGAGCACATGTACACGCGCGTTACAGCGAATATACATATATCTACATATGTATATGCGGAAGAGAGAGCGTTTGTTCGCAGAAATCGTATCAGCAATTTTCTTGGAATTCTTTTATTACAGTCACACGTGCGGAGAGCGGTGTCCCCTGTAAAGATCATCAAGGACGATCTTATGAAACCGGGGGATCTTACATTCTTGGCTCGAATCCTTGTACATTGTGCATTTGCGATAATGGCAATCCAAAATTGTGTAAAGCATTTGTCTGCACCAAATTCCCAGAGGTATTTCACGCGATAACATCTATAGCTTTTATTCAATTTCATTACCAACCTAGTAAATGTACTATTCGAATATACTTGTATGTTGGACAGGAAGATTGTAAATCCTTCCTACGTTCGGACATCTGTTGTCAGTACATTTGCCTGGACGACAGGCTGTCGTCTATTTTGAATTATAAAACGGATGGAATTGGCAACAACGCGACCGACACTACTCCAAATTATGATATAGGATTACGATCTGTTGCTAGTTTTGTAACGGCTGTGCTGTCGCTGAGTCTATTATTTTTTTTAATACATCGCTTGCGCCAAAGAAAAATACGAGGTATTTCGCCTTACTCAACGTCTATTGCTCGTTTGTTTCTTACATCCATAGAACAGAAATGCTGATTATCTTGTAAAAGTTTGCGTGGCAGGAAGACAGAACAGACAATTGGCAGAGGACCAAAGAAATTTAGGTAGTATGGGATACTTAGAACGAGATAGACTGTCGTACGGGGTTCCTATGGACGACATTCCGTGCGGAGCCAATTATCCATTATGGAAGCCACCCAGCAATTACTTTCCGCGCGGAGAAGCTCCGCCGCCTTACGAAGAAGCTGTCGCGGCAGCAAGAGCGGAACAAGCCCTTTTGTCGATGAACCCGCAAGCGCTTCCACAACTGAATTTTCCAAACAGCTATCTGACCAATGCCACCAGTCGTACCAATATATCGCTCGTAGGAAGCACGCAAAGCGGTATAAACGGCACCCTTGGTAACCCGACGAATCTGATATGCGACAGCAGTATCGCCGATTCGAGTGGCTTGGCATCCACGCCCAATAGACCAATTTCAAATCCAAACATATATACCAGCTATCGTCAATCGAATCAAAACGAACCATCTCAAGGAGTTAGCGTAGGGACTTCTACTACAAATTTTACCATGGGGACAAACACTTACGAGAATTTGCCCGCCTCGATCGGAATCTCAAATTTTGTTAACCAGCATGCGGATGTAGCCGCGCAACAACCACCCGTCTCCTCGAATTTGCAGACTTCCGTTTCAAAAAATTATCAAACACATACTACTCTTCCACGTCAAACCGGAGCGTTTACGATATCCGCGACATTGTCGAATTCAAATATATCTGCCCACCGTACAATTCCTAGGACTTTAACCACAGCCCGTACCGCTACCAGACTGCAAGGCATTATGAACGATTACTCCACGAGCGAGTTGTTACGACCCTCGCCGACAAATGCTTCCTCGAATTTGCCACTTATCGCGCAAAAAGACTCGTTGACCGATCAAGAAAATCGAAATACAACCACATTTTATCATCAAGACGCGCAAACACAACCTTCCTCGACTCCATCTTCGTCGAGGCAACAGCACGCCGAGAGCAGGCACCACCAATCGGATCACCGATCCGAGGAATCTCATAATTACAAGGTATTACGATCTACCATTCGCGATTGATGGTATACCAATATCTATATGTATGTCACCAAACAAACGATACGACATACGTATGTATATCCGTATGTATACGTGCATGCATGTGTATACAGCAATCTGTCATTACGATTGTCATTAAGTCGCGTCAACTTCGATTCATGTTTCAGCCACCGTTGAACGTGGCAAATGAAATTAACGAAGAGGGAAGTTTCGAATCGGTAGCGTGCGTTTGTAGCATGCAGGCCCTTCCTACTTTACACGACGATACCGACGATTATAGAAGCGAATGTGAAAATTGTAAAAGCGCGACGGGCTCTCGTTATTATTTGGATAACGAGAACGAACTAATTACATCTCCGCATGAAACTATGACGTTGCACAGAAGACCGGATGAAACAGCTTCGAGTACTACTCCCCAGTATTACAGAACTTCACTTACACTGCCTATAAGTACCCGTCAACGAGCCAGGTACCTGTTCAACAAAATCTAAACGTTTAGAAATGATTAGACGCGAACGTAAAAAGCCCGGCCGAAACATTACATGCAATGATTTAACGTTTCCTTTTTGTTCAGGAGTACTGGAGTTCGAGAAAATTGGTTCAATACCATGCCACAAAGTTCTACAGAATCATCGGATGAAAACTAATCGCGAGAATAAGTTTTATAATTCTTGCGCACCGCGTAGGTATTAAGATGATTTATGATGCATTTATCATTATGCAAATTCAGTATTAGAACAAACTACGACAAGTCTGCGTTGCGTTGCGTTGCGTTGCGTTGCGGGCAACAATAGTGTCATACTATTGTCAATAGAAGTTTAGTATCATTGTAAAATGTTTCCAATTTTGTTCATTGTCAACTTCGAACTGTTCACGTAATCCATGCAAACATACATGTACACCGAGACACGAAAGTATTCGAACGCCTTTAAAAATGGAATAACTTTTTTATGATCGGGCCAAGCGATCTGAATTTTTCTGAGATGTTAGAGAGATTAGTTTGTTAGATAATGGCTAAATAGTTATTTTCAAAACCTCCAATTGGTTGGAATAGCACAAAAAGGAAAAAACTCTCGTTTGTTTAAATTCTTTTTATCTAACCCTATATATATAAAACAAAAATTGTAAAAATTCGCAGATCTCGGTAATTTATACGCATGCTGAAGATTTCATCAAAATCGGTTAACATTGTTACGAGCTACAAACAGTTAAATTTTTCTCAACTTTCGACCGATAACTGCAAGAAATCTCGAGATTTTGACATCTTTCAATGCCTGTATCTTGTCTCTCTGTGACAACCGATTTCAACGAAATTTTCAGCATGTATTATAAATTATCGAGATGTATAAAATGCATTTTTTTTTCTTTTTTAATTTCTTTTATAGGCTCAAATAAAAAAGTTGAAAGAAACAGAAGTTTTAATTTTTTTATCATCCCAATCAATTGCAATATCTGAGAACAATTTTTTGGCCATTGTCTAGGTTATTTACCAAGTTTTAAAAAGCGTTCGAATACTTTCGCGAGTATGCGTATGTATGTGAACACGGTACAGGTATACCATGAAAGTCGATCATACTTTTGCTTTCATAGTTCTGTTTTACAAGTTGTTATACTGTTGTAGGGTCAAACTCTGCTACAGACGTGTATACATAATCGATATTCTTTTCGGTTATTTTCATTTCTATATGTTTTTAAATAAGGTACGACGTACGCTAAACAAGATCATTTTACAGCGTTTCCAAGATTCTCCTATGCGACTATAGTATATTCTATAAGTATCATCTGTCACGAATTTATTCCAACCGTTGGCAAACTAGATTTTTACCACTTCATTGGTGTTGTACAATACAAACATTAGCGTCCTCTCGCCTTCATAAAAAAAGCATCTGTGCAAATATTCCGAGTAATCTGGTAACTTATTTAACCGATGCGAGAAGAGTAGATTGATTTATGCTCTGTAAATATATACTGTTACAAATAACCAACGCATTGACAATTCGTTCAGTTCAAGTATATTCTTGCCGTGATTGCGAAAGATCGAACGTGATACTCTAAACTCTACATAAAAAATTATAGTTGTAAATCAGTGCCAATCGAACTTCTTATTATAATATCGTTACATTTGTATCGACTGTTCCATCAATGTGATATATTTGAACTTGTGCACCGTCGACTGCTGTATTTTTCTTATACTTTACACAGTTACGTCCACCGTAATGTTGCAAAATATTATGTATTTCACATTGGATGATAATGTTGATAGTCCATAGATCTCTTTAAAGAAATATCATTTTAATACCTGTTTACTGTGTCGCATTCAATTTATGAGATGTGCACGTTCTAAAATCTTTAGACAATACATATCGGTGAAAATTATAAGATCATATTAAATTGCATAGATACGACGACTTTCCATCGCAATCGACTTCCGTATGCCACCGAATTTCTACCATTCTAGAGAAGGTTGTTCCTGTTAATCTTTGCAACGTACTCTTTGAAAATATCATATGAAGCAGCTGCTCCATTATTTTAGAACATCTCAAACCTCTTTAGTATGTCTCACACATACGTACACACAATCGGTTTTTAGCTAATGATTCGATTATAGCGGAACATTATTCGTTATTCATTATTCGTACGTGCGTACGTATGTATGTGCTTCTGTACGTGTCCGCATGTAAAAACATATGTATGTACATATGTACTGTGTTTCAACTACATACTGCACTTGAACTCAGGAAAACGATATCCTTCGCTTTTTCTATTTAATACCAGTTCGATGATATATTTCTTTCCAGATTTTTTATAAAAACATACAGCGCAATCAGTTTTGTTTTCATTCGACGAATCGTTTAATCTAATCGCATGATCTATCGTAAAACTTTCTAACGACTTTACAAAGTTGACGTAAAAGTGAACGTTTTTAGTCGAAATGCGAAATGATAACCCTTACAGTTATAAGGAAAATTATATTCGTTTTAGGATCATATAATAATAAATACATACTTTTAGTATTTGCTGTGCGCGTACAGTGAACAAACTGTTTACAGTCTACCATTCATAATTACTGACCATTAAGCTGTGTTGGACGAAAAGAAAGATATAATTTGTTAGATCACATAATCATAAATATGTATAATAATTCCGATGTCTAGTTATTGGATTAATAGCATTTAAGAATCTCGCCAATTATGTTTGCCAATTATGAAAGACTTCTGTATGGACCGAGGTAAAATTACACCTCGTAGAAGCACGTGAAGATAATGGTTCTCTAATTATTTCATCTTCTTCTCTGGTTTCTTTATCCCATTTCTCTTTTGGTTTTATTTATTGTTACACGATTCACCGGATAGTCTTTCTTCGTTGCCGTATCTGAATCGTGATGATGGAAAATTCATGAAACTTACAGTTACACATGACTTACATGTACAACAAATCTTACCAGGTGCCGGTGTACCGGTACCAGCTACATCTGTGGTTTACGTTGACCACAGTATACATTTACAATTGGATTGTACATTATGAAATATTTGAATGATCAATTAAATTGTGAGATCGAAAATATAATTGTTTCTAAATCACAGTCAAATTACAGATATTTGTAATGTTACCCGTGCTTTTAGCTACATTACTAAAACTATACATCATCATTTATTTAACGATATCTCAGTCTTTCATGTATTCGCACATTATCAAAGAAGGTAATTGTCGATAATGATATAGTTTCAGCGAGTCAAATTAATTCTTTACGATCTTTTATTCCATGACATCGCTTTTTAAATGAATAGCTACAATAAAATAGACAAACGTTTAACGCGAGACAACTTTATCTATATAAAATTCTTTATTTAAACGAAAAAGATGAATTTTCTTGGACCGCTCGTAAATATTTGAACCATTGACAATCGGTATTCTACTGCTTCACACAATACATACAATAAATATCAATAAACCGAAGGGGTATCGCCGGCATCGTAATACACGTAAAACGTAAACACGGTGTTTGTGAGATGTTTCATTGAATTACTTTAAGAGTAAAATGAAACAATTCAACATTATCATTACGGAAGAAGAAGCAAAGTGCGTAACGATCTGCAAACAATCTCTTATTCTATGATTAATAATTATTCCACAATTACAATAACTATGGACCTATCATACTCGTATAATGATCCAAAATTGTATATCATACACTGAAAATACTAGAAAAAATTGCCATTATTTCAAACTAACACCGAGAAAAGTATCCAAAGTATTGGTATACTCTTAATAATAAAACATTACATGTTATCATAATCTATGCGTGATTTGATCTTAATTACAATTACTAAGAAAATCGATGCGATAGAATCTATATAAATATTTTCAAAGTAAAACTGAAAATATATCTATATATGTAATTCGTAAAATTTCTCGTTACGGACTCTGATGTTGTTTAATTACCTGTCTCTCAATACATGTTTCTGACATTATTAAACGAAACATACATACATGTGCATTAATATAAACATACAGGCATCGTATTCAAACTTGAATGTCCAATGATCTACGTTCTACATCCGAACAATTATAGATGTCAAATGATTATCCACAAAGGTTGTTGAATAATTTTTAGTCGTTTCGGTCGATCTGCCAAAATCTGGATTACATCGTTTTATAAGAGGAACTAATCTTTCAAGAATTATTAAGAATTTTTTTAATACTAGAACTAGAATTGATTTTTTACGCAGTTTACAACGAAAAGATCGTAACGATAATATTACACATATATGTATCGACCAAATATGTATATACATATGTATATTCAGAGAACGAGATGCTTTGTAAAAGTTCGGTACGAATAAAAGATACCAATTCAATTTTGTTTGACGAAAAATGCATCTGAAATGTGAACTGAGATGATATGTACATACATACGCACAAGCATACGCACGCGCGCGAACACACACACGTATATGTATATACATACATGCATAAATATTTATTATACCTATTACGTAAGTGAATTCCGACAAAATTGGAATCTCTTCCTATTGTAGTCGATGCATTTCGTGTGTTCAATAATCTCGACTATACATATTTCATTTCTGAAAGAAATGTGTTCATTATATGTATAAGATATTTCTTTCTATATAACATATAAAAATTATCTAACGAGAAATGGTATGACAAACTCGATTGGAAAGAAATTTAAGGAGACGTTCGAAATTCTCGTAGTCAAGAGGTACAACAAATTTAAATAAATTACCGATCGTCTAATGATCCGTAACATTGTAATACACATTTATCGGAATAGTTTTAGTCAGGAATCATTATTGCGCTTACTTGTGTAAGTAAAATATTATGATATAATATTAAGCGTCCTAGGAAATTTATGTCGGTAGACTTTTATTCGATTATAATAAATCAGTACCTTACATAAACTAATCGATATCAGTCAATGTTTGTCTGACAAGAAAACAAATAACTTTCCGTTTATCTTTATTTGATTGTACAATCGTGTAATAGTATTAAAATCTTCCAAATATTTTTAGGTCAGAAAAACTGTAATTTGCAAATTATTGTTTTTTATGTTTCTATTATTACGTGCACATTTAATTTAATTTTTCTTTAACGTAAATATCTTTTATCGAATGAGGGTTTCGCTGCGGAATATGTATGTATGTATGTATGTGTGCACGTATGTATGTATGTGTAACATCCAACGTGCATCCAACGATGCATGCATATGCGACATGTAGACACGTGTATGCATCTAATCTACACTTTAATTTTGTAATCAGCCAAACACATGAATTACCCTTTTCAAAAACAGTTGCTGTATATGTACATACGTATGTACTGTAGTGCATACCCACCCCACGAGTTACGCGCATGCGTATAAGAAGAAATGAAATTCGTTGTTACATCCGTACATAATGTGTGCTCATATCCGCAGGACTTCTATATACTATCTCTCTCTCTCTATACGTACATAATACTACATGGTATGTACATATATAGTATTGTATAGAGTGTAAAAGTTGATACATACATAGCGTACATATACGTACGTATGTCCTATAAATAACCACGATACTCATTATTGCTTATGTATGTGCAAACACGCGTAAATATACAAATCATACGTACAGTGTCGTATTTATGTATATGAACATATGTACATATGCTTATATACATATGTACGTATCTGCAAAGTATGTGTATAGTGTCGTTATATGCATTCCCGTTTTGCTCATATAAAACGTTAATAAAACAAAAGTTTTCCTTTTTTGAAGGTACATATGATGAAACATCGAAATTTCTAATCTTACAAATGTATGTAAATATGTATGTACATACGCATGGAATTATTTACGTGTATGTATGTTTATTTATGATCGCGTCTTTCGTTTGATTCGCATTTCTTTTTTTCTTTTTTCTTCTATGCATTTACACAAAGAAATAATTACGCATACGTATGTATGCATGCATGTATGTATGTATGTATGTATGTATGCTGTCTCTTATACACATCTAGATGTGTATAAGAGACAGCATACATACATACATACCTGTCTCTTATACACATCTAGATGTGTATAAGAGACAGTACATAATGTGTGCTCATATCCGCAGGACTTCTATATACCTGTCTCTTATACACATCTAGATGTGTATAAGAGACAGTACATAATGTGTGCTCATATCCGCAGGACTTCTATATACCTGTCTCTTATACACATCTAGATGTGTATAAGAGACAGTACATAATGTGTGCTCATATCCGCAGGACTTCTATATACCTGTCTCTTATACACATCTAGATGTGTATAAGAGACAGTACATAATGTGTGCTCATATCCGCAGGACTTCTATATACCTGTCTCTTATACACATCTAGATGTGTATAAGAGACAGTACATAATGTGTGCTCATATCCGCAGGACTTCTATATACCTGTCTCTTATACACATCTAGATGTGTATAAGAGACAGTACATAATGTGTGCTCATATCCGCAGGACTTCTATATACCTGTCTCTTATACACATCTAGATGTGTATAAGAGACAGTACATAATGTGTGCTCATATCCGCAGGACTTCTATATACCTGTCTCTTATACACATCTAGATGTGTATAAGAGACAGTACATAATGTGTGCTCATATCCGCAGGACTTCTATATACCTGTCTCTTATACACATCTAGATGTGTATAAGAGACAGTACATAATGTGTGCTCATATCCGCAGGACTTCTATATACCTGTCTCTTATACACATCTAGATGTGTATAAGAGACAGTACATAATGTGTGCTCATATCCGCAGGACTTCTATATACCTGTCTCTTATACACATCTAGATGTGTATAAGAGACAGTACATAATGTGTGCTCATATCCGCAGGACTTCTATATACCTGTCTCTTATACACATCTAGATGTGTATAAGAGACAGTACATAATGTGTGCTCATATCCGCAGGACTTCTATATACCTGTCTCTTATACACATCTAGATGTGTATAAGAGACAGTACATAATGTGTGCTCATATCCGCAGGACTTCTATATACCTGTCTCTTATACACATCTAGATGTGTATAAGAGACAGTACATAATGTGTGCTCATATCCGCAGGACTTCTATATACCTGTCTCTTATACACATCTAGATGTGTATAAGAGACAGGTATGTATGTATGTATGTATGTATGTATGTATGTATGTATGTATGTGTTACAATGTACTACGTAGTCGATGTTACAAGTTACAACTTGTTTGAACACGATTTTCGATTGGTTTTTTAACATGTGTTATTTCATTCTGCCAATCAGAAGTCGCAGCCTAGCTTGGGCCCTTTCCTACATATGCACGTAAACGTACATATGTACATTTGGTAAGTTGGTAAGTACCGAGAAAAACGCGTGACCAAACCTAACCTACTAAACGTACTTTTCGTTACGATATATTTAGAATTTGCAATATGCGTACGCGTGAAAATCGATAAAAAAAGACAACACTACAGGTTCGATACCTTTAGTATCATGAAAGATAAAAGGCTTTTAATATGAGTTGGCAAGAAATACATATGTGTTCTTGTTAATTCAATGATATTAGCCAAAAAATTTTTAGCTTAAACATATTTTCGTGTGCGAAATACGGTTCTGTAGGAACGATTTCACAATTACAATTCACGGTGAAATAACTAGAAATAAAATAATACGACGGGTAAATGGAGAAAGAAATTTCAAGTTAGTGACAGAAGAGTGAAAATGATCTGAAAGAATTGTACATATACATACATGTAATTGAAGCAACAACGAGGTGTTGATACGCAATCGACAAATTTAATCGGACGCCATCTCGTGTTATGTGAAGGTATTATCTAAAATCAGTAGTTTTCCAGCTCAGGTTCGACATTTGCTTAAACGCAATCAAGTACACGAACAGTTGTGACGGAACACCGCAGTTTGCGACAATACATTTAGAAATAGGTAAGAAGAGCAAGGAGGATACATAAAGTATGGCGGAAGCCGTTGTAGACGGGACACCAACGTCCCGATTTTTCTGTCACAAATGCAGCATTGAAATCGAAGATTTACTACCCGTAAGTATGGTCATAGATTTTGTGTGTCGTCAGCTATTAATTGGATGCAGTTTTCTATCCAACTTTTGACATATTTTCTCTAGGTATCATACGATACTCGATATCATGCGCACATCTTTTTTTCGCTTCTTGCTCCGAAACAGGCAATCGGTTTTATCATCGCAACGATCGGTCACATTATTTTCAGACAACTCGTTAAATTTTTTCTTTCCTCTAACTATAATGTTGCAGCCATTTGGTATTTATATGTTGTGAAAATGTTGTAGCTGTCGAATGTAATAGGTACTTGTCAAAGAAATGTTAGCACCTTTTTACATTTGTTTTGTTTTAGGATTATTTTCAGCCAAACTATACCGACATTAGAATTCTGTTTTAGGATTATTCGTGTCCACGATGCGCAAGTGGTTTCATAGAAGAATTACAAAGCGGTAATGACAATAATTGCCCAACAAGCGGCATGGATCTTGTTAACGATGATCACGATTACCCGCTGCTAAATAATGTAAACATGAATCTTATATCTATTAATATCTATATTGATTCTTCTAATATTTTAATGTTCAATGTGGCTCCCAATCCTAATTTTTATCGATTGTTCTTTGTATAGTTGATAGAACGTGATATTTTAGACCTGCTAGGAATGCCTGATAGAAGTCAAACATCGAGCACGTCTAACAGAAATAGTGTACCAGTCAATTCGACTAATTATTTAACTATTCGAGATAATCGTCATTCGTACAGGTGGGTTATATTTATAATCCCTTGGAAAGTATGAACGCGTGCAGATATATGATATTTTCTAATCGAAAGCACATGTGATTGATTTCTCTTAAAATTAGTTAACTGCTAAAATTACCTCGAGAAACTTTGTATTTTACATATCTCAATCGCATTGTTTAAAATTTTTGGCACAATACAAGTAAATAACATATTTAAATATTATCGATCTTGTTTAATTCCAAAGTTACATTGATACATAGTTACAGTAGTTGTTATAACAATGAAACATAATATTTATATTACTAAAATAATATAAAAATTAACAAATAGAGCTACATAACTTTTCTTATATTGAACAGCCGTCGTGGAAGACAAATTGACCCTGCTCTAAACATGTTCCTACAAAGTTTTCTACAAGCTCTCTCAGAAGCAAGTTTGGCATATCCAGTAACACAAGATAGTCAACCACCTGTGTATGTAGAACATGAAACTTTTGTTAGTTGCTTGTGCCCCTCGTACAACATAATTCAACGATGCAATACATTATGTTAAACATTATATAAAACATTATCCTGAGTGAACTGGATAGTAATTTCTATGTACATATATACATACATATATATATATATATATATATATATATATATATGTATATATGTGTGTGTATATATACATACAGTCTTACAAGATGGAATTTTATCACCTCGATTTCTTTATTTATTTTATCNTCGCATTGTTTAAAATTTTTGGCACAATACAAGTAAATAACATATTTAAATATTATCGATCTTGTTTAATTCCAAAGTTACATTGATACATAGTTACAGTAGTTGTTATAACAATGAAACATAATATTTATATTACTAAAATAATATAAAAATTAACAAATAGAGCTACATAACTTTTCTTATATTGAACAGCCGTCGTGGAAGACAAATTGACCCTGCTCTAAACATGTTCCTACAAAGTTTTCTACAAGCTCTCTCAGAAGCAAGTTTGGCATATCCAGTAACACAAGATAGTCAACCACCTGTGTATGTAGAACATGAAACTTTTGTTAGTTGCTTGTGCCCCTCGTACAACATAATTCAACGATGCAATACATTATGTTAAACATTATATAAAACATTATCCTGAGTGAACTGGATAGTAATTTCTATGTACATATATACATACATATATATATATATATATATATATATATATATATATATATATATATATATATGTATATATGTGTGTGTATATATACATACAGTCTTACAAGATGGAATTTTATCACCTCGATTTCTTTATTTATTTTATCATCTTTAGTATAAAATGTTCATATCTAACACATCTTGTAACTATTTGTTTGCTTGTTTATTAATATTATCATGGCAATGTATTGTTCAATCTTGTGGCACAATGTTGATAAGAGGAGATCTGCAAAGTTTCTTCACCTGGGATGAATCTCATTATTTGCCGTTTTCCTTGACATCTCGAATATTATTAAAGAAGAAAAGAAACTAATGAAAATTCAATATTAGACTGGTCTATGCAAATCCTCAAGATTATATTTGGGGTCAGGCTGGCTTTGATGCAATTGTAACGCACATGTTAAATCAACTGGATGGAACTGCTGGCCCACCACCTTTACCAAGGAAACAAATAGATCAAATACCAACCACGACCGTTACCCAAAGTCAAGTTGGTAAGTTTGAAATTTAGACAACAATGATCCACATTTCTAATTAAACATGTTCTCTCTGTACAGACAGTAAAATGCAGTGTTCCGTTTGTTGGGAAGACTTCAAACTTTCAGAACCAGTTAGGCAGCTTCCGTGCCAGCATCTATATCATGCACCGTGCATTTTACCTTGGTTAGAACTGGTAAGAATCAAACAATTGAAAAAAGTCTTTCTTCTCTTGCAATTTAATATGCTTACGCAATTTTCATAATCGTTCTCATTCTTTGCTTTTAGCATGGAACTTGCCCAATTTGTAGACAAAACTTAGGAGATCAAAACACTGCAGAAGCAAATCAGGATGTTGTTAGACCTAGTCTATCTGCCCGATTTAGGTACACTCGTGCCTTGTTACAAATAATGTTTGTATATTGGCCTCGAAGTAGAGGAAGAAATGCATTATTTTCAAAGTCATGAAATCTTTTCAGAAACGATCCAAGGTTTCATATAAACGTATTTCTTTGATTCTAGGGCCACAAACGAATCTAGAAACAATGCTAGAACATCGGCGACGTCGTCGTCAGCTTTGAATAATAGTAACTCCAGTGATAGTAACTCCAGTTCAACAAGATCGAGTTCAGATTGATTATCCAATCTTGACATTTTCTTTACCTAGCAAGACACGCAAGTACACAGGCATACACATACACAAACATGTTTTTCACCTCAGATTTATTTTCCGCCACTGTTGACTTCAGCAATGCTTATACATCACGTAAATATTGTATCCCGATGCTAATATAAATTTCAAGCTTTATACCTTAATCAACAATGTAATATAAATCATAAAGAATAATGAATTATCAAGTTACAATTTACATATGTTACTTTGAATAAATATATCAAGGTACGGATTACTACGAGTGTGCGCATACATGTTTCAAATTGAAAATGTCTCTGTTGCTGTTATACATTGGGTATTACAGTTTTAAACAAAACACGATTTAAAATAAATACCATAAACAAGCGTATCGAAAATTTTTAAAAACATGTGCGTTTACTTATAAAAATTCGAATTTTGATGTTTAATACATATAATATAGTTGACTATTACTTACAAAAATAAACTCTGTAATATAATTCAAGTATGAGAAAAATGTATCGTGTAGACTTTGTGGGTAAAGATTAGTAATTTTAATTTTGTACAGTTCCCTTGAAAATTTCTGTGCATCATAAGCACATCTAATTGCATAACAAATTTCGTTTAAATCATAGACAAACACTGCAGACTATTTACTTTATTATACCATATTATATGAAAAATATACATATATTAAAGGGGGCGAAAATATGTGAAATAGAAAAATTGTTGAGTATAAATATGTAGGGCAACATGTAATATTTATTTACGTCGATTTGAAATATTATTGTTGACGATCGCTTGCGCGGACTACTATCATTCTTTGCAGTAGTTTTACAAGAATAGTCAAATTTGTTTATGAACGTAATCGTAAATTTCCTACTACAGAAGAATACGTTACGTGTATTAAGAGTACCGCACGATTAACATGACAAACATTTTCGTTGAGTTATAATGGTCACAACAGCCCGCTTCGAACAATTTACGTGTACCGAATACATATCTGTAGTAAATTTTGTAATTAACAATTAGGAGCAGCAGTTTCTTATGCTTCATTTTATCAATAATATATTACATGACTGAAGCTATAATTTATGACAACTGGGTCAGATGCTTCTTTAGTTTGCCATATTAGCTAGATCATTTTAAAGTATGTATGTCTGTATACAATAGCTTGTATTGTGACCTTATAAATTGATAATTTTGTTCGTTTAAATATGGTATTTATCAATGTTTCAAACGTACGTATATAAATTTAGATCGCTTGTTTTTAAACTTATTGTAAGATGGGCGCTAATGAGACGACAAAATTGTAAACAGTTCATTGAAACTAAATAAATGTATTTTATTCGATGTTCGTGCGTAAGTATAACAACTAATCTATCGGAAATGGTTTTTCATAAATATGTATAGTGATTCTGTAGGAA